TATTTGTTTTGTCGTTTTACTCAGCCAAAAAAACTAATCACCGTACTTAGAGAACGGCTCTCATTTTCTCGTTTATCCTCCTTTTCTTCATGATGAAGTAGGCACAGGAGATGGCCACCACAACCAATAAAATACTGCACCAATCAACCCCACGGACCCGTAATCACTGACTGATAACCCGAGCTTGGAGCGAGGGTCGGTGGTGTTGGCAGCCGTCTGTGGTGTGGCGAGGTGGGGACAATAATTACAGGGGTGGTGGCAATTGTGGGGTTTGTTAAAGAACCGGTTTGTGTCACAAAAAATGTGCTCTGCTCTGGTATGATATTGAGAGATAGTCTGGATTCTTGGACAGTGGTAGTGTGCATTTGAAGAGTCGGTACTCTGTGGTTCTTGCATTGTGGTAGTTGGGTTAGCTCTTGCACGGTTGTGTAGTCTGTGGTTCTGCGATGATGTGAAGTAGTGCTTGAATTGACGGTGGTAGTTTCTGGCTGCTGGCATGAGGGTAGTGGTGAGAGCTGTGGGGCTGGTGTTGCTAGAGAGGAGAGAGAGATGAGAAGGTGAACTTGAAAAACTACCCGAGAGCTAGTGAGGACACGGTGTGGACTCTGCCAATTACTACAGCTAGTTCGGGAAGGAACCCGGGTGGATTGAACTACATGAGACTGGGGGACTTTCCACCAGACTCGAGAAGAATGTGAGGGACTACAACGCGTTGAAGTCACGGTGGGTGAGTCAACAGTAGAGCGAAGATCGCTGATGTGGGCGGCTGATCGTGCTACTATTTACTGTTCACTGTCACTGATAGCTCCATCTGTAGCTCCGTCGATGACATCATCACTGAAAGTTGTACCGATGACGTTGTAATTATCTCAACTGATGATATGACAACTGGTGGTGGGCTACTGAGTGTCACTGAAACAGTCTGGACTACAACGACTGGCAAAGACTCAAGAACAGGAACTGCTGTCGAAGTTGGCAGAATATCCACCACACCCGTAGAAACTAAATGGAAGATCGAGGTATATATTCTCATTATGTATGAGGCAGTATAAATGACTGACTGGAGAGGGAGCAGTTGTTTCCTGAGAATCCTGTCGACAGAGGCAGTCGCCAGCATCCTCACAGAAGCCTCCCTCGCAGCTGTAATCACCACACAGACAGCAATAGTTACACTGGAGTGTGACCACGTTCACAGACCCATTATCCCATAAGGAACTCAGGTAATGGGGACTAGCAACACCTCAAAGTGGGCCACTATAAGGAAAGGAAGCAGTCTACGGACAGGCAGCAGAAACCATCAGTGTCGTGGCTATGGTCCACGTGCCATATAGCTACACTCACAGCATCCTGGGGCGTAGGTGAGCACTCAGTACAGTTGGTAGAGGGGTTCTGGTAGCCTTCCAGAACAGACTATCTCGCCATCCGTGCAGGAGAAGTGTCCGGTGCTGTCGTTTTGTCCCGACATTCGCACATTGGCCGTGGAACCCTAGCTGGCACTGTATGGCAAGTGTCAGGTTAAAACACTGTCGTTCTTGGTCCCAGCGACAGAGGGGAGTCAGTGGTAGCTGTGGTCACCAGACTGAGCCGCGTTGGCCTCATACTCTATCTCAACATCTCCACTGGGTTAGCATCAACTCCAAGGAGTTATCAGTATCTCAATTGAGCCTGTGTCATACCAAGGGATCAATTATTAAAAATTCTTTGTAACACATGACTTACTGGCCCGGTTCAGATGAATGAAAAGCTCCTCCAGAGTGGATGGGATATGAGTATGGGGCATTCGTTTGCCAATGGGTTGGAACCACGGGGCGAATACAGATGTTGTACTTTGAGATATTGCATGGTTAGAGCAAGCATCCGCTGCCTCTGCCACAATACAACAAGCTCCGTTGCATCAGTGTTGCTAGGATTGTCAAAACCGACTACTCAGATTCACAATGAACTCAGCACCCCACAGACCTGTACGACATGGAGACTCTTATAGCCAGACAAGCACTGAAACGGAGCTATGGACTTTCAGCTAGCACTACTCACCCACTTAATGGAGAAAGAGCAGAAGGGAAGCTAGACCAGGGCCTGTAGCAGTTCCATTCAGCCCTATGAAGGACTGTCTTCATAGTGCTTCTGCCGTCAGCTCTATGCAAGACTTAGTAGCTATGTTCTCTGGATACTAAAAGCAACTGTGAACCTGGACTGTGTGTAGAGAGCTGTTATGACGTCCTGATCAGGAATGTGGTTTCCTGGACCAAGGAGGCTTCTCTGTGGCTAAACATACTCTGTCAGTGCATTTCCGTTAGCCCATATGTGTGTGTGTTGTACAGTATCATGGATGGCTGCAGTTGTGTAGCAGAGAATCCATTTAGCCCATGGGGTATTTTACTGTAACCTGCTGGGTTAATGGAGGAAGCAGAAAATGGCTGTTCTTGTGACTTCAGGGTCGACGATGGGTGTTTTACCCACCATCTTATGGCATGCATATCATCTCTATGATTCACAGACTGACTCATTATACGCAAGAGGCATGCATAGTAATAAAGTGAGGGGGAGTGCACAAGTGAGTCAGTTGAACTGGTATTCATTGAAGGCAGAGTGCAGTTCACTAGAGGCCTTGCTGGTCTCTCCCTTTTGCAGAGGATTATGGTCTCCCTTCTCAGACTTCATTGACGACCAATGGAGGTGGTGCTGTAGTGCAACGAGGGGTGAAAATCAAACTGGATAAACCACCAATGTACACATGCACACACCTCATTGTCCTCATCAGGCCAGGGGTCACTGTAGCCAGAGGGGAATTCCATCTCCATACTCTGTGCTCCTGTCACTTCTTCTTCTTCTTCATCATCTTCTTCTTCAACAACTCCTGCTGAAGTCGACGGTGGCTGTGGTGAGCTGCGATGGTAGTACACGTGAAGTTCATGTCTTTGTTGCTGCATAAAACAGAGCCATAAACCAAGAGAAAAGGAAAAAGGAAATATAGGGTTTGGGTTTTGACTTTGTCTCGTAAGCAATACCAGTAGGGGATCTGGATATTTTAACGTGTGAGACTTGATCGTTTACTCACTTGCTGCTGGAGAAGGGTGTTTCCATTCATGAATGTGGTGACAGAATTCTCCAGCTCTGAGGAGGAAATGGGTGTGGAACTCCCCAGGAGCCGACTCTCATCTAACATTAGCAGACATACACATAATATCAGCATGCTAGCTGAAATTTTCTTTCCTTACCATACTGCGGATTCAGTTCAGTTTGTTCTGAAGTGGAAATCTCGTGTTTTCTCCTGTGACCTATTAGAACTGTCAGTTGTATTTACCAAACATTTAATTCTCTCTCCCTACCTCTTTTTGCAGCTGTGAGCAGTGATATGATGCCCAGCAATATTATCATTAACAGCAGGAGTCCCCCCACAGCGGCCACTACAGTCACTGCCAGGTAAAACCTCCATCTGTTGGTGGAGGTTGAGGGGGCAACTCCACCAACAGTTGGGAGAAGAAAAGGCACAGTTTTCACTGAGGCACTGGTTGTGGCCTTGTTTCTCGCTGTTGATGATGATGATGATGATGATGGATTAGCAGAAGATGATGTTGAGATTGTCACTGATTGTGGCATGGAGCTAATATGTGTACTTGATTGAAGATCTGCTAAGGTTGTGGCATGTGTACTTGATTGAAGATCTGTGGTAGCTGCATGTGTACTTGATTGAAGATCTGCTAATGTTGTGGTAGCTGCACATGATAAAGAAATCTTAGTTTCATCCATGGCTAACGTTAGGGATTATACTGACTGAGGTCACAATAGTCTCCCGAGTAGCCGTCTCTGCAGATACACTCTCCAGCATCCAGACAGTATCCCCCAACATCAGCTGTACAGCATACAGTGTGATAATGCTAAGTTTCACATGGTTATCGCGGTTCACTCACAGCAGTTTTGGGAGGGAATACATTCAGTGCAGAGGTCTCCGGTCCAACCATTCAGGCAACGACAGCTCAGCGGACCGTCACAGATTCCATTCACTGCAGCATCCAGTGAATGACTCACTACAATACCCTACCTCTAGTAGCCCTAGCCCTAGTTTTTCAACGTGTATATAGCTGCTGTATGAAATACTGCTCTTACTGCATCCGTCTGCTGCAACACACTCGGTGCAGTTAGTCTCCAGGTTCTGGTAGCCTTCCAGACACTCTATGACTCCGTCCTGGTTGCACTCATAGTGGCCATCCGAATTGTCTCTCCCGACACACTCCACATCGCAGAATGGACCGTACCGGTTCCCGTCACAGGCCACACCAAACTGTAGCTCTGCCTCCACTCTCACACCGTCTCCAGTGAACACCATTGGTGGGGTGGGTGGGGAGAAGGAGGTGAGGTTCTGGATCTCGATGTACAGGTCGTCAATGAGGACATCGTCTATGAGCTCCAGCTGCTGGTCGAGGTCTCCGACTGTGTGTGTGGTACGGATGTACAGCTGAACAGAGCCCTGCATCAAGATAACCCCCATTGAACTGCCTAAAATACAGAGTTCTAATCTTGCACAAGGTAGCTATATATAACAGCTCAATTTCTAGTTACCTAGTGCCTTTGCCTTACAGCCATGTTGTTTGTGGGAATCTAGAATGTGTGTGGTATACCGACACATGATGCATTGCATCACATGTCAGTACTGCTGCAACACTATACACATCTCATAGTTAAAGATGTCCCATTATGCTATATACTCAGTCATCTCAGACTGGATGTCAACACCTACTGAAATCTCACTACTCTGTAATCCGATGCTAAATTGATATGGTGCAATTAAGTTTAACTGCCATGAAAGACCCAGACACTCTATCTTCATAACAGGTAACCGAATCAGTGCTATATAATATCTCAGCGTTTCTTCTTCTGTGGTTAAACCTGTCACTCAAGAACCTTCTCAATTGAATGCTTGGAGAATACACATCTTACTGTGTTCACATGTGTTAGTATGTTGCAGGATGTATTGAATGTTGTGCTACTGGTCTCACTGGCCATGCTCCACTGACTGCCCAGTTCCCAATCCTTGGTCTGTCATCTCCATACAGCTCCAACAATGGACAGGAAAAGTCTGAGTGGGCAAAGCCTGCAGGACGGAGGCATATCCTCAGCCCTATATCGCACGGACTGCTGCAAGAACTTTCAGCTGTCTCGCAGCAGGAACCGTCAGCCAGTGTGTTGGACGGATTGTCGACTGAAATGAGCTGCAAGACGAATAGGTAGTTGCCCGAAACGACTGTCTGCAGTTTATAAATGCACAATTATTTTATCAATACTCAAATGTGCACAACTCACGGTATGAACAGCGATCCATAAAGCACAGACAAGTCCACAAGCCAGCATGATGGCTCTCTCACTGCTGTTACTCAGTTCCGTTTCTCTATAGCGCTAAAACGCGTTGCGCATGCGCAATTTTACCGAGCGTAAATGAATTTTCCACCTATACATACACACGCAAGGATTTAAAAAAATAAAGGCAGCAGAAGTCATTTCAATTTGTTCTGAATGTCCTGACGGACGGCGTGGGTGTTGGCCAGAACAAACAGCCTGGTGCCGTATACTTATCTCCGTAAACTAAGAACACACCGCGTTTCCTATTTTCACGTGGCACGCGGGTGCGCATTATTACGAGATGCCGAAAAGGAGAGGACGGCGTGGTGGTGGCGGCAGGGGCCAAAAGAGCCCTTCCACTGGCCTACAGGGGACTGGGTCGACTGTGAAAATGCCCGAGGACATTATTGGAGGGAGTGAGAGCGACGAAGAGCTTGGCGAGGAAGAGTTAGAGGGCCTCGGAGTTGAAGACATGAGGACGATATCAAGAATGGGACTGTAAGTGAGAGAGAAAATTCATTAATTGACTTTACACTAAGAGTATTAGCTGTTTGTTGCACTGTTCAGCAATGATAGAGGTGAAAAACGAACTAAGAGACGGCAGAGTGAAGGTGAAGGTCTCGAGGACACCCTGGGAGACAGTACAGTGGGCAGGAGGAGGAAGAGGAGGAGGGAGGTTGAAGAAGGCGAGGGTGAGGGAGGGGAGGACGGTGCCAGTTGGGAGGGTGTGAGGAGTGGAGGAGGTGGAGTTGATGAGGACGGTGAGGGTGTTCACTACCTGCTGCCGCTGAAGGCTGGAGGAAAGCTAGTGCTGCAGCCTCCAGTCCCCATCCCCAATGGTACATATGTATACTCTGAAGAAGGGGCACCTTTGGAACATTAAGTGTCCTTTGTATGTAGGTATGGGGCACAACCAAGTGTATTATATAGAGAGAGCTTTCCTTTTTTCATTTTTCTGATGTTTGCTAGGCTCTTAGTGTACCCTACCAACACAGATGCAGTTGAAAATGAAGCTATCCCCGAAGAAGAGAAAGAAGAGGAGGATGAGGAGGCAGAAGTTGAGTCAGATATGGCGGTAGAAAGGTCCAATGATGTATTGCACACCAGTCCAAAAGGCAGGCAGTGCCAGTTCACGTTAGAGTGTTGTTATAATATGTGATTTGTGTGCAGTAGAGAAACTGAGTACAGCAGCCCTGCTGGCCAGGAGGGAAGCTGCTCTGGATCAGAAGAAATCGGCCATTGCTGACCTTGCCTCCTCCCTCGTCGAAGCTCCCGAAGACAATGTGAGAAGACTGTACACTCCAATTAGTACCCACCCTAGTCTTTGCCAGACTCTCTCCTCCCTCGATAGTGTCTAGCCGGTGAGATTACTGTTCCCCTATGTCTGCAGATCTCCAACGTGCAGCGACTGCTGGTCTTCTGTACTGAGAGAGAGGCTCAGGTAGCCTGCACTGTGAGGAGACTGGCCACGGCCTCACTTGCTGCCGTATTCAAGGACATTGCTCCCAGGTGAACGACTAAGACCTGAGCTGCAGCGAACACTTGTGTCATTCACTGTACTCTCACTGCAGCTACCACATCCGAGAGCTTACTGAGGAAGAGAAAGCCACCAAGGTCCATACATCTACAGTGTGTGTGTGTTGTTAACTATTCGAATGTGTTGATGAACTACTGTATAGTGTGTGCAGGCGAGCCCTGCTTTGTTAACGGTCGTCTCAATTTCTTAAACGTGTGATTTTAGTGTTTTATTTCTGTGCGAAGGTGTCCAAAGATGTCCGGAAGCTGCGGCTGTTTGAAGAGACTTTGCTCTCTAGCTACCAGAGCTACTTGTCTCTGTTGAATGACTATGTCGAGACTGGTCTAGGGGGAGGAGGAGGAGGGGGAAGTGGAGGGCAGGGGAGGAAGAAAAAGGAAGCAAGATACCTCTAGGGATGCTAGAAGATGGCCTAAGCCTTTCACGGACAAGCATGCAGGTAAAAGACTCTTGGTAGATTTCTACCCACTCACGTGAATACTGATGAGTGTTTCTCTACATTGTACGTATGTGTGGATCAGGATCTTGGTGAGGTGGCTCTGAGGTGCATGTGTGAGCTCCTGGTGTGCCTTCCTCACTTCAACTTCAGGAACAACATTCTGGTGGCAGTCGTGCCCAGAATGACCTCCAGGAGTCTGGCTGGAAAGGTCTATAGCACTACTACACGTAGCTGCAAACACATTGGTGCAGAGAGTTTTAGATGGCGTCTATTTCTCTGTCGTCGTCGTAGATTTCTCAACTCTGTTGCGAGACAGTAGAGAGACTGTTCAGAGAAGACCTTGTTGGTGAAGTGTCACTAGAGGTAACACACGCATACATCATACAATGGAGAGTAGAAGGACCTATAGATTGCATACAGTCCTAGTTCTCTTTGTCCATGCAGTGTATATCTTCTTTCAGTGTGTGAGACTCGTCTGCAAACTGGTCAAGTCAAAGAGTTACAACACGAGACCAGCGGTGAGCCACTATGAGACCGTTGGTCGGCCGGACCGGTTTCGTCTAGTGTGGTGCGGTGTTTGTATGTATGCAGGTCCTGAGGAGTTTCCTGCACTTGAGGCTGCAGAGTGTGGATGAGCCGGTGGGGAGTAGGGAGGGAGGGGGAGGAGGACACAAGAAGCAGAGGGAGAGGGATGAAGCTCTCCCAGCTAGGAAAGGCTCGCAGCTTACCCGCAAGCAGAGGAAGGTGTGTTCCATATTGAAAAAACTCAAACTACAACTCTGAGCAAAGCAAGCATACTTAGTAGTCTAAAAGGGACCTTTCAGGTATAAAAGTGTTTCTCTGTACAGAGGCTAAAGGCAGAGCGAGACTTGGACAGAGACCTGAAGGAGACAGAGGCCACTGAGAGCAGAGAGAAGAAGACAAAGCTGGTGAGTGAAGAGGGAGACCGAGGGCAAGCCAATACCCCCAGCCAACTCCCTGTGTCAGTTCTTGTTGTTTGTTGGCAGCAAACAGAGGTCCTTCAGCTGGTGTTTGCCATCTACTTCAGGATCCTCAAGAACTCCCGCCACTCGCCTCTCCTCCAGCCCGTTCTGGAGGGACTCGCCAAGTACCTACACATACATCAGACACCATACATTATGCGTTATACTATATACGTCATATATACATCACATACATGATAGATGCAGAACAGTGTCTGTATGCTGCTGATCTTATGTAAGTACCGTCTTACATTAAGCATCGGATTATACGTCATACATCATGTATAGATCCAGAACCGTGTCTGTGTGCTCCTTGATGAATGGTTGGTGTTAAATCCTTTCTGTGTCCCAGGTTTGCTCATCTGATCAGTGTGGACTTCTTTTCAGACCTCATGAGCGTCCTACATTCACTGGCAGAGACTGGGGTTAGTTAGCTCTTTTAAAGCAACTGTGTTTGGGAGAGAGAATGAGCTGCTAGTAGTTGTGCTCAGGAAAGTGGTGAAGTCTCTCTCTCTCTCTCTCTGTGCAGGGTCTGACTAACAAGGAGTGCATGCTGTGTGTGCTCACGGCATTTGAGGTACTCTCCGGACAAGGTGCTGTAGTTTAAAAATCTATGACCGCTGAGTTTGCTGTTGAACTGGCCGGTTGTCTGTTCTCTCGTGTATATATATAGGAGAGTCTCTGAATATTGATCCCAGACAGTTCTATGTGCAGCTGTACGGAGCTATCCTTCAGCTTGACACAGGTATATACAGTATGGTGTAAACTCAACAAGATGCTTATATACACGTGTCTGTGTGTGTTTGCTTTTGTCTCTGTAGTGAATAGCATGTTTTGTTCCCTTCGTACTTTCAGTTTCTCTCAACGAAGACATTGTCTTGGCAATGGAATGTATGGACAAGATGATGAGGAAACGTAGACAGGTATTTCACGTGTGCCCCTGGGTAATTACCCACTAATTACCTCGGGGCTATATACTCCCTGTTTGTCCAGGTGTCGCTACAGAGGGTGCTGGGGTTTGTGAAACGACTCAGTACAGTTAGTCTCCAGTTAATGCCCGGAGCTTGTCTGGCTGTGCTCAGTACTGTCCGCAAGTGCATGCTGGTGAGTATATATACTGCTTAATGCCCGGAGCTTGTCTGGCTGTGCTCAGTACTGTCCGCAAGTGCATGCTGGTGAGTATATATACTGCTTAATGCCCGGAGCTTGTCTGGCTGTGCTCAGTACTGTCCGCAAGTGCATGCTGGTGAGTATATATACTGCTTAATGCCCGGAGCTTGTCTGGCTGTGCTCAGTACTGTCCGCAAGTGCATGCTGGTGAGTATATATACTGCTTCACTGTCTATAGGCTACCAATGTTGCAGGAGGTTTATGACCTAATCAATAGTGTACCTCCCATACAGTTTTGTTACCCCCATACTAATTAACAAACACTCGTTTCTTTTGCCTTTTCCCCTATCTTGCTCTGACTTTTCATTTGTCTCTTGGGGTGAGAAATTGGTTTTTCTTGTCCGGATATACCGCTGCATCTCCTGCAAAATTTCCCTGGTTTATTTGTGTCTTTATCTCTATGTTTCCTGGTGTGGTCATTCTCTCCCAGAGCTACTCTCAGTGCGATCAGCTACTGGACTCTGACGGGGTGTGTGGAGGGGTGTTCAGACCCGAGGTAGCCGACCCGGAGGTGTGCCACGCCAGTTCCGCACTGCTCTGGGAGTACACCATCCTCTCCGTGAGTCTCCCCACCTCATCTCTCTCTCTCTCTCTCTCTCTGACTCCATTGTCCCCACTAAAACACTTTAGTTGTGGCCTCCTCTCTCACCCGACTCTTACTGCCTCCCTTAGAACTCTGCAGTAGTGACTACCCCTTCACCCCTCTTTCATTCCCCGTTCTCTTTAAAACTCTATAGTATTGGCCAGTAGCTTGCAACCAGTGCCAAACCTGTCGGTGATGAGACAATATCGTGGTTTGTTGAGGGTGCCGTTGTGTGCCTCGTGACCTCATTCTAATTGTTCCTTCTGATGGCAGGGACCGTAGCCAATAGCTCACCATGACCATACAAAAGGGATAGGAATGTATGCAATTGGCTCTGTCTCTGTGTGTGTTGATCTGTAATGCAGCGTCACTATAGTCCAGCTGTCAAAGGCTATGCGACTCACCTCCTGCACGGAGCTCCCACCCAAGGCAGACACGCCCTCCATCCCGACATTGCCAAAATGTATGATGTAATTACACGTCATAATCCAGCTTCTTTGTATGCACGTTGAACGTAAACTACATTTTTTTGATCATTTGTACATTGTTTGAAGTCATCGTGCCAGGGAAATGGTTTGGTGAGTTTTTCATTTTGCTCTGTTGTTTGTGTTGGCGCCATACGTACCAATGCCTTATGCGTGGTACATATATCAGCCTAGCCCACACGAGCTTACACACAGACATAAAGGTGAAATGCCAAGTCTGTCCCATGGGTCTACTGTTTGTTATATGTTTTGCCTCCTGCCTGGTATTCAACTTAACCCCAGTTCCCAAAATAGCCCCTGTTTTCTTTACTTCCCTCTCCTTCTGTTTTAGTCAGACATCTCTCTGTCTGTCTGTCTGTCCAGGACTGCAGGGGATCTGGTGTCTAGTTTGACTCAGCCTCTCCCTCCCTTCCCTCCTCCTCACCCAGCCAACAAGACAGCTGTCAAGGTACGGCACCCCCAGTGATGTCGTGCACTACACATGCATACGTGTAGTCTGAATGCAAGTAGAGTAAATGAAAATCTCAAAGTTGTTGGTCATTTCGGAATTCATTAGTGTTTGTTTTGTTTACCATTTACCAAATAAGTATCCTTGGTATCCTCCTCAATCCTTGGTATTTTAGTGTACTATATATAATTTTACATTGTGTGTGTTCTTATACAGAACAAAGGGTACTACTATCATGATGCTGGAATTAGAGATGATGTCATTAGAAAAGCTGAACAGGAAGCCATAAAGCTGGCAAAATCACATAACTTTGATTGATGCAATAGTTACTGAAATTCCGTTTTTATTTCACACCCAACTAGTAAATTAAACCACATGCCGTCAAAAACTACAAAAATTGGTAACGTAGAAAAATAAATTAACGCGCTTGCACTAGTGAGTGGGTGACTTGGGCACAAAAAATACCTGCCAATGGTGACAATAATTGTACAGTTGGCATCTCAATTTTTTAAAAACGTGATTTTAACATTCGCCACTCAGTGGAAAAAGGGCAATCGTCGTTGCTTTAAAAAAGAGTGTGTTGATTCATAGCAGAGTGTCTTCATCGTCGTCCGCTGGTAGGTGTGATTGGTCCCTCCAGTGCCCCGGCCACTCTGTGTTCTCGCTGTCTTCACCATGTTCGTGAGAAACGATGTGTACGCCGTCCTTGAGCAGGGGGTTCCCCTGGTTGGTGTTGAGGACCTTGGCCGTCACGAGGAGAGAGAGAGAGGTGGCAGAGTCTTCCTCCAGTACCAGCTCGATCCTCTCGGCTATGTTGCCGTCTTTGATTGTCTTGATGTGGACCGTCACGGGCGTCTTGTAGCGATTGCCCGTCTCTCGTACCGTCGCCGTCTCTCCGACCGACTCGACTCTCACGTAAATGTTGTGCTGAGGGTGCTGGGCAGTGATGCTAGTACCTGTGTTGATGAATTCAGTATAAAGAGCGTAAATAATGATGGGAGCTGGCACATGCAGTAATGCTATAATTATTTCCTGTAGAACAGTCAATAGTATGGCATAACAATGAAATTAATGTTAGCTAAAGGGAATATAATTGACATAGCATGGAGCACAACAGGATAGCTGTGTAGCAATGCTATAATGTATAGTTCCTGTGAAAGAGTATTGCAAACCACACTTGTGAGGAGTAAGGGGGCCTTTTCATTGCACACGGCATTGAGTGTGTGGGTTAGGCATGTGTGAGACTGAAGTACTACTAATAGGTGCATCCCCAACACACTCTCCCGTGGCTTACCAGGTGTGAAAGAGCAGGAAATGGTGGACACGATGGAATGCTCAATTTTGTGTAGGTCAAGAAGCTGTATTGTGTTACATTGTGTGGTTTAGGGGGTGCACAACTTCCTTTTAAAATCCCATTCCTCCTGTTCGATGATCCGCATAATTATACCCACTTTTGTGATAGAATAATCAATGTGTCTACGTATTGGTGAGTTTCCCCCACACGCGGGCGAAGAAAATATTTGGTCTAGGCAGTGCCAACAAACACCTCACTCTAGATGAATGGGCCAATTAACTCATCATGTCCCACAGTTAGTGGATATAATTATAATGCTTGATGTGCCCGATCACATGCTTGGCATATTGAGGTGCGTGTACTGACATACACGGTTTAGCATGGGCACTAATACTTGCTAGAGGATGCACACATACCGCAGTACAGCCAATGCGAAAGCTGCATAGGTGAGGGCGAGTGTATGCTCGGTCTAAAACCTATGCCCAGCTCTTGGGAGACAAAATATTCTCTCGCGTGTGACCCATAAACTGTGTCTGTGCCGGCTGACCTAACGAGTGAGCGACGGGTATCTCCGCACTGTAGGTGTGGTGGCTCTTTAGCATCCCGATGTGGGCCTCCAGGACGCCTCCCTCCCTGGGCTCCAGCTGAATGAGCCCCGTGTCCAGGTTCGTGTCCACTGCGAACTGGACGTGAGAGTTGGGTCGGTTCCGTCGCGACTCTGGGGGAACGGTGTGAGAAAATCGTACAACTATGGGCTATCCACGAAACAATAGAACCTACTTGACATGGCTTTTGTGAAGAGATGAGCTACTGCTGGGATCACTGAAAAACTCCCCGACGGTGAGGAACGGTCGAACTTCCCACGCAGCCACTTGCCGGCCGCAAACTGCACACAAAACCGCTACGCGCATATGTAACGTGCGCGCGCACCGGATGAAAAGGGGAGGGGCTACATTCTCTTTTAGTGCGCACTGCAGGATCAAGGATCGACAATCCTATAGCCTCTGAACATGGCGACGTCACCCCCCTTGGAAAGCGTCCATTTGTTAGGTATATAAGTGTGCTATGAAAGCGGGATAGCATAGGGTGCAAGTTCTTGCCACGCCTTTATTGACCAAACCTAACAAACGTTCCTTCCCCCAAACACAGAGAAGGACACGAGTGGCGAGTTGCTGTGGGTGTGGTCCTTCCCGTCCATCATCCCGGGGCTCCGCGGACTCATCACCTCCAGGTGTACGATCCCTCCTGGGGAAGGGAAGGAGGGGGAGGGAGAGGGCGAGGGAGGACTACCTTTCTCATTCGGTCACGCTGGTGTAACCTGGTACTACCTTGCCAACTTCTCCACTGGAGATGCAAAAACTCTGCCAAGAGTGAGTTGTTTTGCCTGTCGCCAGTCACACCAACTCCCACCCATACTTAACTGTGCACTTCCAATGAAACTTTCTGCTGTTTTCACGTGCAGGTCACTACCTTTTGTGTCATCGTTCTTGCAAAGGTACTATCAAAAAAATCGTCTCCTATCCATGGCCTATAGTATTGACACACTGTTTCTCCTTGGAAGGATTTCAATCCCGAGAAGTACCAGCAGCTGTGTGGGATATTTGCGGCTGCCTATCTCTCCGGTGGTAGTCCAGTCTCCATCGTCCCTCATTTCCTCAGTGTCTTCACGAGGGGAGAGATCACCCAGCCTCCCGTCTCCTGCCGGCCGTTCTCTGTGAGAGATCACGATATCCGAAAGGCATACGTTGCCTGCTCTTTCAAAGGTACAGTACGTTGCTCTGTGTATGTCTCATTGTAACATCAGGAGCCTATCGTGGGCTTTGTGTGCTCCTGCTATATATACACCATACATGGTACACTTTTATATCCAACCAATAACTGAGTTGAGTGACATGCTTTTTTTGATTGGATGTGGAAGCCACCACGGCTCCCACTATAATTATTAGGACACGTTTAAACTATGACTGTGTCTTACGTGGCAGGTCTGGTACAGCAGTTTGGGCTGGAGAGTATTCTTATTTACACTGCTGCTGTGCTCAAGAAGAGGATCGTGGTCTACGCCTCGTCTCTTGACTCCCTTCTCAGAACATGCAGGTCTACTGGTACTTGAGTTCACAACAATCAATAGTTTTTTTTGCCAAGTATATATGCATAGGCATTGCTTTATTCAAACAAGCGATTTTGCTAGTAAGCCTAACCATTATACGCACCCTTTTTCACACGCACACACATACACACACGTCTCTCTCTCTCTCTCTCTATGACCGTGTGTGGGGGGTGTGCAGGACTATTCCACTGTTTGTGTGGCACCGACAGAACTGGAACGTGGTGTTTCCACAGCTGAGTCTGGAGCACAAGGGAGAAATGGAGGACCTCGCAAAACACAGCACGTACATCGCAGGATTCCTGGACCCCCTCTGTCCAGGGTCGGACCGACCTCTACGACCTTCTCATCAACGGTGAGACTCTCCAGTGTTTGGTATACACATTGATTCATATGTTTGTTGTAATCATATCCAGTTCCTGAAGCAACCTTGACAGTAGCTCCACATGCAAAAGGTACATGGTATAGCAGAGACGTGCATTTAGGGCTCCGCGGTGTGTTTTATTGTGCGTACGATGTCAATAGATTCGTTCATGATGACCAAACTGCACAAGGACATCGCCATCCACATGATGCAGTGCGTTCAGAGTGAAGAGCACAGTGACAATAGCACCATCAAGGTACCGCCTGCGCTTGCCTGCGTGCGCATCCCGCATCCCTACGTCATGCGCATGCGAATATCACTTCACCCCTCCCCTACCTACAACTCTTTAACAATCCTAGGCTTCCCTGGTCTTCTCAGATTATCAGTTTGCACACAGGTCAAATGCCAAGAAAGCGGGCTAATGTCAAGGGTAGAACTCAGTGTAGTAATTGGAAGTCAGCGTATATGGTACTATGTAGTGTATGGGAATGGGCATGGTACCCAGCATATTGGGCTATGAAAAGACAAGTTGCTTCGTTCCTTCAATACCCACATCTGCAAAAACTCTTTGCCAACTCTGCTGCAGGAGGTGTCGAAGAAGACAAAGGAGCTGATCAACAACGTGAAGGGGGCTGGCACCGGAGAGCGGCAAGATATCTCTCGAACTGCTGCACAAGAGGAAGATGAACCCTGCGACAGAGACATTTCTGTTCACCCTGGCCTCCGTCGAGGGCCTCACTGAACTGTAGACATCACGTGAGCTCCTCAGTGTAACGAATTTGTTGTGAGTTTTTTTATTTTTATATTATACATGATTAGTATAGTATAGTGTGTGAAGTGGATATCTATGTATTTGTGTGTGTGTGTGTGAAAAATTTTTTACATTTTTGAGAAGATTGACAATCATCTTTTAGGGATTCTCTTCTTTTGTGTCCTCTCCCGCTCCCTACGTCTTCCTCGATTTTCGTACAACGCCCTGTCGTCATGACTGCCTCCGTAGTGGGGTGCGCGACTATAGTGCGAAGCTGGGTTTGTCCAACTGTCGGTTCTTCTAGTGGAGTAGTAATCGTGCACGTGATATTGAGGGGCTGCCTCGTCGTGGGAGTGCTGTGTGTGGTGTGTGTGTCTCCACGGGGTGGTGTGGTGAGAGGGGCGGTCCCAGCGGTTCACTCCGGTTTGAAATGATCGATAGTCGTCGTCTCCGTAGTGTGCTGCATCAAGATAACATGAGAATTTCGGTAAAGCAAGCCTTGGGAGAGTGAGTAAACGTGATACACCTTGGGAACCCAATATATAGTGAAATTTTCAAACAACTTTGTTAATATAATTGAGGTCAATAAAGAGACTAGCTAAGTATATAAAAGATGTTTTGCTCGCCATCGCCTTGTGAAAAATATTGCAGACACAAAGCCAAGAGCTCCTGCACACAGAATGAAAACAAGGACACCTCTCTTCCTAGCGGGTCCTCCTTGGCTCACACGACCATCATCTTCACCGCTGTAATCCCTCCTCCTCTGTTCACGATAGAGCTCTCTGCCGACAACTGTTTGAGATCCGGGCTCTCCTGTTTCCCACTGGATGGGGCTAATGGACCTCTTACGGCCTCTCTTTTTTCCCTCGCCACCTCCTCTCTACTCCTCCTATCTCCCTCCTCATCGTTACGCCTCGCGCCACCGCTCTGCCAGCGTAGGTGGCCGCGGTGGGCAGCAGAGGAAGAGAGAGAACCGCTGATGAGATGGTCTGTTTCTCCAAGTCTGTCTCTAGCAGGGGATTTCCTCAGCTCATCTTGTGGACACCTGAAGAGGCCATAATTATAAATCTTTAAGAATCACACTAAAACAAAGTTTCTGCCAAAACCTTTTTCAAATATGGTCCGATTCGTTGGTAAACATGGGACGCTATAACCAAAAAAGTCTTTGCATTTTTGTCATCATGAAATTCCCTAGTTGTTATGTGGTATGTAGTGGGCTGATTCTTTCTCTCTGTTAGACTGGGTGTGAAGACTATTAACATAGTGTGCCAATTGCTCACCCATTCCTCAGATGTTTGAGGTAGTTTTCCCGCTCAATGTCGCAACCTCTGCCGCTGTTGAAGGCTGCAAGAGAATGAGAGTCTGTAACAAAGACCACTCGGGGCATTTCATGTATTTACCTTCTATAGCTGTCTCAGCATCGTAACCACACTTTTCCATCAGGTATCTGCATAGACGAGACACGGTAATGAAACATTGACACAATAGTAAAGAGAGCCGGTAATAGTTGAACCTGCATATGAGGTAGCCAGTTCTATTGAGTCCGTGGGTACAGTGCACTGCCACAAGACCTGATGTGTGAAATATGGTGAAGAGGTGGTATTTATTGGTGATGGTGAAAAACGAAGCAACTCACTGCCATCGTTGTTTGGGTCAGACAGAAACTCAGATAACTCTCCACACAACCTGAAGGGGAATTGAAACACACAGAGCATCTGGTAAGCACACTCCTCCACTCTAGCACAAAGCCACTTATATATAAGCACCAACGGTGGTGACGTTTATACCTCTGGTAGATGTCATCAGGAGGAATGATTTGTCCAGGACACTTGATTTTTGAGTGTCTCACTCCGTGATCGATAAAATCCTGTGTTATCAGTAGTTAGAACATAATTTGGCTGTGATTGAAGTGAGAGGAGCTTTAAAAATGTTTGGACTTTGCGTGCTCACTTGTGGCTCGTAGTATCTATTGGTGTAGGTGAGGTCTATGACTAGACCCACTCTCCAGCCTCTCTCCTTGAACAGCTCCAGCATCTGTCCCGGTGTGAACCTGCAGTGAACGACAACGAGGAGCTCTCTTTGTTTAGCTACATAGTTGATTTGCTCACTCTTCTTCAATGGGTACGCCTCTGAGTATCCGTGAGTAGTCCCCACTGTGGTTGGCTGCCATCCCAGTGTTGAATTGCTGGGAGAAAGAGAAAAAGAAGCCGGCAAAGTATCCAACGCCCTTGTCGAAGCTAAAACCGTGCATAGACCGCAGCACATTGTCTGCTGGCACAATGGGGGAAAATAGCTAACTTTCTTCAGCGGCGTCTTGACGGCCACGATCCTCGTGGAGTCTATGGGGCTTCCGAAACGGGAGTAGTCGAACCACCTGTGAGGCAAATAAATGTCTGAGTACACTCGCGGGTCGTGGTCGGACGGTGTGAAAAGCTACTCGACGGGGAGCAGCGACATTGGCGGCAGCTCACCCGTCAGGAACGTGCATCTTCAGAGCCCAGACCACAAAGCCTCCGACTCACACACTGCACATTCTTCCCCGAGCCTTCAGTACTCCAGTAAAGACGACCAACGACGAAACGGAAGGTATGGGGAAGTCCCTTACAGTGTTTTGTTGGGCGCTAAAACATAAGCGCGCAGTGTAATGATCACGTGTTAGTCATACATCAGCGAAAGCGCGCTAACACAGCAGCAGGAGGAGCAGGCGGCGACAGCAAGCTCGATAGGGGGCGAGTGAAAATGGGGCTGACAAGAGAAGAAGCTCTCAAAATCATGGGCCTGGAGGAAGGTCAGAGAGATATGTGGCGGGGGCTGCAGCAATCTAGCTTTGCGAGGAGACCAGGGACCTCTGTGTCTGATTGGACGCCTGTTTTTACGCTGTGTTTACGTTCGTGTATGAACGTTTGCGCCTATGGATGCGTATAATACCATGTTGCCTCTCTTTGTAGGCTGTTCTACTAAAGAGGTCAGGGACAGATTCAAGAAATTAGCTCTAAAGTGGCATCCAGATAAGAACATTGATAACCCTGATGACGCTCAGAAGGTTGCTAACTACACTGCATGAATTCCCTATGTCCAGTGACTGTGTTTTCATGCAGAAATTCCAAGCGATATCTGCAGCATACACTAAACTGGTATCTTCGGACAGTGAGGAGGAGGATGATGATATTCCCAACGTGAGTTCCTCTCTCTCTTGTGTTGCGGCGTGCCACTCCCCCATACATAGCTACATAGCTGCTGGACAAGGCATTTGGCTTTCCTCGCAAGTTCAATACAGTACACGACCAGCATTCTTGATGTGTTCTGTGTGTTAGAAGAACACTTTCTTCTGACATTGGTTGGCCTCAGTGTACTCTTGTTCTCTTTGACACACACACACACCTCTCTCTCTCTATCTCTCCTGGTGATGGTGTTTGTGTAGGATTCCCTCAGAGAGATGTTTGCCAGGATATGGCAGTCACACAACAGTGAGTTATACGCATACGTACACACATACGAAATATCCACATCAATCCGGCATCGTCTGTAGCTGTGTAAACTCTCAAAAGTAAAGTAAAGCTTGGCTATGTATATACTTACTTACCGTAAAGTATAGACTGGTAGTGGTCTCACAATATGTGGCTCGTCAGCAACTAGAAAGCACCCATGCAATTTGCAATAGAGCGCTTCCTAGTGTAATTCTATCTCCCATCCAATCGTCCCCCTTTGTATTTGAGCCCTTCTTATGTATGAAAACATAGCATACCAGCCATGTACAGCTAGTGATGTTGCGTTTTCCCTCTCTTCTACCCTTCCTGCCCTCTCCCTCTTCTCACTCCCCTCCCCCTCTACTATGGTCTCCTTCTGTCCTCTATCTCCCCCATCTTCCCATCCCCCCCTCCCTCTACTACACTCCCCAGGAGGAGCCTTCTCCAGCGACCCTCACCTGTTCTGTGACTGCGATGCCTGTCAGGCAGACTGGGAGGATCTCTCTCTTGATGACTTCATCGGCTCCGACTCTGACCCAGACGACGATTTCTACTATGACGACAGGTGAGACACCCTCTCCAGCTCACTGCTGCCCCACCAGTCAGAGGAACATCTTGAGGCTATTACTAACTGCTCCTTGTGGAGTTTTTTTTTGGAACACATTTTGCAAAGAGGGTGTTAAAGTTACAAAATTCAGGAAGGGGGGCGGGGGGTGCACAGGGCACAAGTTGATCTTATACATAGGCTTACTTCAGGATTAAGGAGGAACACATACCTTTCAGAAGGTCATTTGCTCTCCACTCTATCCCTGCTGCATTGTGGAGAGTGTGCATGCCTTTATGGATGTTCTAGTATAGTAGGACCTCCGTACTTCCCCCCACTCCCCTCCCCTCCAGTCTGTATGCCGATGACCTGCTGAGGCAGTTTGGAGAAAAGCTGTACCGAAAGTACAACGAACCCTCGGGCAGAGCCGAAAAGAAGGCCAAGCAGATGTGGACTGGTATGTATACACTATGCATCCATTGGCTCACACTGTATGGAATATCAAAGAGCAGTTCAAATGTATAGGGTATAGGTGTTGTTAGTAAGTTGTGTGTCTCAATGTGCCAACAGGTTCAGGCTATAGAGGAAGTGTGACTGCAGAGGTGAGCTCACTAAGGTAAAGTGTGTATAACTGTATGAACTTCTGTGTGTGTAGGAGGCATCCAGGAATGCTGATGAGTTACTGGAAGCTGAGGAGAAGGAGAAGAGAGCGGCGGAGAAGAAAAAGAAACGCAATAGGAAGGTTTGTCAAGTATACTCTTTCAACATCCCCCCACTCCTCTTCCGTTTGATTTTCCAGAAGAAGGAGTCTAAGAAACGTCGAAAAGCCGTAAGTTTTGCACAGACCATTCCCCAACATTGTCCTTACACCAGACGCTCTTTGTGTCGCCGTAAGTCTGTCTTGTTTTCACACGCGCCCCTCTCCCTCTGTTTCTCTGGTGTGACACACTCCGTGGACATAGAAACCAGAAGACGGATGTTCGGAAGAGACTCCGCCTCCAGACAAGGAGGAGGGAGGAGGAGGAGGAGGAGAAGGCTGCAGAAGATGAAGAGCTTCAAGATGAGAAGGTAATCCGTGAGACGGCTGAAGAAAGACACAAACCAGACAAGACTGATAGCAAGGATAAAACTGAGACTGTAAAACAAGCGAATGTTGTGGACAACAAAAGTAGAAAGAACACTAGTGATAAGAAGAATGGCGGGCAGTCGGTGGCATCCAAGAGGGGACCGACTGCTGCTGTGAAGCCAGTGCCTGGTGCAGTGGGGAATAAGAAGAAAGGGAGAGAAGATAAAGATGAAGAGGAGGAAGAAACTATATCAAGTGAAGATGAGGTGAGGGAACGTTCAGCAAGAATGAGTTGTTAAAGCTCTTTCTCCCTACCTCCCTCCTCCCTCTCCTCCCTCTCCTCCCTCTCCTCTCTTCCCTCCTCCATAGCTGGATTACAGCAGTGCCTTCCTCAGCCGTGCCAAGGTGCTAGCTGCAGCACGTGGCCCCAAGACAAAAGACAAGAAAACTCCTCCAGCGACTGAGAAATGGCAGCAGGAATCCCGGCAGAAAAAGAACATTACTGAACAGAAAACTGATACGAGACCGGATCCCGACCCATCTGACACGAAAACTAAAAGAAACAGGTTCAAAATTCGGCAGCAACCACCGCAGCAGCAGCAACAGCAGGGCAGGAATTCTAGAACTGCTAATAGAGGACCTGGACATTCTAAACTGGCTAGCGCGGGGATAAATGGCTCTGCCCCTGTGTTTACTGCTAGTAACGGACACGACCAAGTTCCCGCGGTGGGTGTGGTGGTGGAGGAGGAGGAAGAGGAGGACGATCTGTCTCCAGTTGACATGTCCCAAGTGAGTTCACCGCACCATGTAGTCAGTTGGAATGTTAATGATCGAGACACCCATATGGCACTCGCTGCAAGAAAATTTCGCGATTTGAAGCAACTGTCCAAGAGTGTTATTTTCTTTGTGGGTCGAGAATATTTCCACTGCTGGACTGGTCATGTTACGTAACTGCCTCGAAAGCTTCGCACTATACAGTAAGCTTTAGAATCAAGCAAGTCCGTTGAGTTTGATGGAAAAGTCTGGATAGCTAGCGTAAAGTAATAGTTGATGTTGGGTCGAGTGACCAGTACAAATGCAGTAAACTGTGGGCTCTGTTGGAATATTTATAGAGTTTGTACGTATGTAGTGTGAACGCTGTTGCATTGTTCTGGGTGTCAGGCAAAGCTGTACCAGGCCAACATCCCTCAGAGCAAGCTACTGGCTGGGGAAGGCAACAGGGCAGCTAAGGCAGGGGATTTTGAGGAGGCCGTCCTCAAGTATTCCGAGGCCATCTCTCTCTATCCTTTTGATCACAGGTATGTGCACGACACACTATGCACGAGTACCTAGAATCCAGGTACAAATATGTACACATGTTTAGAACAGATACAAGCATGCGTACGTACATATTAGGTCAGAGGTCAAATGTAGCACATGTCAGTACAACTGTAGAATGTAGCATCATATGATCGTAGGTATACGTAGCTATAACTGGTGTGTGTGTGTGTGTGTCTGTGTGAAGTGACTGCTGTGTGACTTATGTATGTACTTTTCTCTCTCTTTATGTGTCCACTCACAGATACTTTGGGAACCGTTCATTCTGCTACGATTACCTCCAAGACTATGCCAAGTATGTCAGATACATTACCTCTTTACCTAATACTATGCATCGTGCTCCCATGTGAAGGGCTCTGACTGACGCCAACTCGGCTCTCAGGATTGACATCAACTGGGCCAAGGGGTTCTACAGGAGAGGGAGAGGGCTGGCTGGACTCAAGGTCTGCACACCATCAATGAGTACAGTACCTAGCATCATAGATGTATGGGGCTATGATGGAGTGTAAAACACTCTAATAGGTACGTACATATGTACGTATCTTGCCTTGTACAGCAGAGGCCCCTTTTGCATACAGTTTGCTTACTGTTAAACTAAGAGTGGATGTGAGTGTGACGGTGTGTGTGTGTGTGTGTGACGGTGTGTGAGTGTGTGTGTGTGTGTGTTTGCAGAGGTATGAAGCTGCGGTGACATCCTTCATCAGAGCCCTGGACCTGAACCCAGAGTACGGCGAGGCCAGAGAGCAGCTGGAGATGGTTCAGCTCGAGCAGCTCCAGGTGTGGCTCACAACACCTGTGCACCTTCCTTCTCCCCTTCCTCTGTCTCTCTCGCCGGCAAAAAGCGCAGCGGGCATCGGGCGATGAGCGTGCGTCGGGCAGGTAGCGCAGCCGCCTGGCGGGGGCTAACTTATAGCCGACCACGCAGAGCGTCCGAAGCCCGCCGAGGAGAGCGGTGGCACTTCCAGCCCCGCAGCGCAGGCAGTCTCTCCTCCTCTATGTGTGCCCACGCCCCTCTTCCCCACTCCATCTCCCCTCCCTCTCCTCCCCCTCCCCCTCCTATGCACAGGGCATGGGGTTTCCTCTGGAGGCTAGCAGGAGAGCTCTGGCAGAGTACCACACCGTTCCAGCCGCCATCGAGGCTATGGTCAGAAATACAGGTCTGCCTTATCCTCAAAACAGCACCCAGTCTATCACGGAATGTCTTATATTTGGCGTTTCACCTCTCAATACTTTTCATTCCAGTGCTATATGTTTGTGAAAATAAGGACACCACTTTATAAAACACACACGTATAATGGTGTCCTAATGATATACAAGATTTCGTTGTATGTCCACAGTGATATGAGATCAGTTCATTGTGTCATAATTATAGGAGGAGGAGGAGGAGGAGGAGGTAGCGAAGGAGGAGGAGGGAAGAAACACAAGAAACATGGGCCAGAGTACACTCCAGTCTTCAACCACAGCGGCTTTGAGATTCCTCCCAGAATGCTGACCCAGACGTGAGAACCCCCTCCAATTAGCCAGAGTTATTGTCATTCGTCCCTCTCCCTCTCCCCGTCTCTCGCAGTATTCCTCCCAAGAATTGCTCTCTGTGGGTTGGAAACATAAACTCTCGCTCTCTCACGCAGGCCGTGGTCACCAACCTCTTTCAAAAGTAAGACGACAACTCTCTCTCTCTCTCACCTGTATAGCTATGTCGTTAGCTTCATTCTCAAATACCGAAGCTGACATTGCGTCTTTTCTCCCATCTCGTTCCCACATTGTATCTCGTTCCCACATTGTATCTTACCCCCATCTCGCCACGACTATCTCGCTCAACAGGGTTTCCTTTAGGGGTGTGTGGGGTAGTTGCCCCCACCCTGTAAAATAAACATACGGTATGCCTCTCAAAATTGTTTTTTTTTCTGGTGAATTTGCTCACCTTTGCCTTTTTTTCACATGAGCCTGGGAACAAGGCTAAACTGAAAACCATCTCTGTGACTTCCCACACACAGGCACGGCCAGGTGTTGTCAGTTCGGATGCTCTACGAGAGGCGGTGTGCGTTTGTCAACTATGCGAAGCCAGAGTCGGCTGCGGTGGCACTCACGAAGCTGCAGGGACACACCGTCGGTGGCTGCGTCCTCCTGCTGCGCTACCCGGAGAGCAACCCTGCCAAACCAGCCAACGAGAGCCCCCAGTCTTCTGCACCTCCTCCCAGGTGAGAGTGGAAGAGAGCCCACAACATTAGACTCCCCCTGTAGTAACTAGACCATCATAGGAGTGTGTCCCGATACCTGCTCTAGCAAGACAATTAGACATTTCGCACGTAGTGCTAACTAGTGCATGTAAATTCCACCCCTTTTCTGTGCGTAAGACAGTAGGCTACTCCTTCCCTCGTGTAGACATTAGTTGCGCAACACTTCGCCTTGTCCAACATTAACATCTTGTAGAAGGTGTCGGTTAACCCCCCCCCCCTCTCCCCTTCACACCCCCACACCTTCCTACACACACACACACACAGGTCCAAACAAGGAGCCGCAGCTGCGGCCGGAGCAGTTGACGAATGCCAGTACTGGAGGAGGTCGTCGGGGTGTTACTACGGCGATCAGTGTCGCTACCGCCACCTCCCTGAGAGTCGGGGTGTGGACTCCGGTTACTACGGCGACCACCCCAGCCAGTAGACCACGCCTCTTTTGTCTCTTCCACGCAGTGCACTAAACGACCGAGCACCATTGTACTAAACCGACTGTGCGATATTTGCACTGTTTATAACACTCCCTCTCTGAGCATAATTATTATTATTATAATATTGTCTGCCTGTACAACTCTCACGTCCCTAACTAATACATGAACGTTATATATCCATAATTTATCCACCGTATGACACACTGACGTGATCTCAAGTATAATTTTATACTGCACTGACAGTAAACTGCATGAGCTATAAACTTGCTCATAAGCAAATGGTAGCTGGCCAAAAACACCAGCACTCCACACGCGCTGAGTGAAGATGCCTGCTTTGTTTTGGAAAATTGGCAAGCAAAGCGAGCCTACACCTGGCTCACAGGACATTGCGTATGTGCAGAAGTCACATAATGTTCACTTACTCGCGCTCGCTTTCCAATAGCTCACTGCGCAGCGTACGGTTTGTCACAGATGTCAAGTTATTTGCTTGCCAATAGCATGTTCAAGTACCATTTTTCCACCTGAGCGATAGCTGATTACGGCAATAAACACCATTATCTCATATTAAAGTTGAATAACAACGATATTAGCCAGTGATGTGTACATCATCTATAATAATCTGTGTGCTCTGCTGGGTGACCCGTGTTTGTATGTATACATACATACATACATACATACATAATGTTTGGAATGTTTGGAATGTGAGGAGGGTGTTTGCAAGTGTAACACTGTGATGTGACAGTTTAACTGTAATATTATGTATCTATGACTCTGTGACACACACAACAACAACAACAACAACAACACGGATTGTGGAAGACTATATGCACACGTACAGTAAGGAGGTAGAGCGATTAAAAAAAGAAGTGACGATTTGTCCTGACGATAATTATAATAATATGGCTCTGAGGGTTGTTTGGATGTCTTTGCGGTGCTTCACCCTACATTACTTCTGTGGCGCGGGGGGCCGGAGAAGGGGTGTGGCTTGCGACGGAGCTGCGAGCGGCCACGCCCAGCTGACGGAGGTGCACAGCATTTTTTGTTGTTTTTTCTTTTTGAGTCTGATTAGCATTCTTTGTACCCTCACGTTGTCTTTCTGGGTTGCCGTGACGACCCGCCAGGTGCCAGGTTGACTGGCAGCGAATGAGGGGAGCATCGTCCACACACCACCTGTGGACCAATTAGCATTTAAAAGCTCTATTGCATAATCCTAGACAAATCATTGCATGTAATGTGTGCATGTACATTATAAAGAGCGTGTATTGTGTACATAATGTGCTATTTATCCCTAATGGAGGGTGAATAGCTTCTGAGAAAGGCTCTAGAGAGGGGGGTAGTGGATATGGATTGTCTCTGGCCAACCTAGACCCACAAACACTCTGCAGCTATTCACCTCCCGGTCCATATCCCAACACCGTGTTTAGCATCTTGGCTGTTTTCTAGTTACGTCACAATACTACGGAGTACAAAATTCATTTTTGGTGCGCGTTTATGTTAGTACTGCAGTTTGATTTTCTGAGATGTGACTTCTGTACCCTTGGCTATTGTGCTCTGTCTAATTTGCACTCCTTGAAAGGCCGCTACGTTGCCCTAGATTTGTTACAGAGAAGACAGAGAGCAGAGGGAGGTAGGGAGGGTATGTACCTGGCCACAGGTGCGGCAGTGGTGTCTCCTCTTCCTCCAGGAGAAGGGTTCACTGCAGGCCGCGCAGTTGAGGCAGTCTGAGTCGGGCACCCAGTTGCTGGACGAGCTGGGGGAGCCACTCGCTCCAAAACCCAGACCTGCGTGGAGACAAAGAGAAGCTTGCATCATGCCGGTAGATATACGGCGTTCTTGGCTTCATTATGGGATTCCATTGCCATTGTGAAGTGAAAAGATAATGGAAGAAAAGGGTTTTTAGCCCCTAAGAGCGTGGTGTACTCACTCACCCTCTGCGTCAGAAAGGTTGGAGCTGGACTGCATGAAGATATTCCTGTCTTCCTCTCCATCCGTCTTGTCGCTGGCCGATGACTCAGGTGGCTCCTCTTCGGGCTCGCTGAGACACACGGCAAAGACGTGCTTGAGAATGACCCTGAGGTCCCTGGCGTGGTTTGTCTGCAGCTGGTCTGCGACTCCAGAGATGGCCACAAACAGCCTGTGCATGAGGTCCTCGGCACTGGCAAACCCTGCCGGCCCGCGGCTCCGCTGCTGTTGGCCGCCGCGTCTTCCCGCACCCCCGGGCCCTCGACAACTGCGCGACTGCCGCTGCTGTTGTCTGACTGTCGTTGCCGACACCAGAGGGTTCTTGTCGTCCTCGGTAGCTGTTGTCAGGAGGAGCGGTGGGGAGATGATAGGTGTGGCCATGGGGAGCTCGTTGACGATGGGCTGATCGGGCTCAAACTGAGGAAACTGTTCTCCCTCTCTTCCAATAGCTAGAGACCCAGCTTCACATGTCGACGTCATCTCGGTACCAACAGCTGCAGCATCTTGCAGCGATGGCGTGTGAAGAGTGTTAGCAGCATCTTCTCCGCATTGTGAGGGAGAGTTGGGAGCTGGCGGGGAGATCCAGCCCTGTTTGCTCCCCCACCGCAGCAGTCTCAAGGTGGGCTTGGTCAGCCAGGTCATTTGACCCGAGGGATCGGCTCCGCTGATGTGATGACGGCCGCGAGACCTGAGGCGATCCCTGGGAAGAGGGAATGTCTCTCCGTGGAGGGTTGGGGGTCACAGGGTTCGACTGCGGGGTCGTGGGCGAGGAGGAAGCGGCTAAAGAAGTGGTGCTGGGAGTGAGAGGAGAGAGATGTGAGGGGTTGCTCAGTGGACGTGAGGAGGCTCGGCCAGGGGCGAGGGAGCTGGGTGGGGTTAGGGCAAGAGAGCCGAGTCCCTCAGAACTACACAGAGCTTTCTCGAGAATCACCAGTTGTTCATCTGTGAGGTAGCCAAGCAGCTCCCTACATTGGGTGGAGGAGAGTTTACATTATAGATTGCCTTATAGCAGTTAGGTGTGGGTTCTTTAGTCCGAGAGTGTACATGCTCAGTATTACATATACTGGAAGTGAGACGACTCGACTGAGAAAGGAAGACGAGGAGAGGAAATGACGTAAGGTTGTTTAGGTCAAAAACACCGCCTTATTAGTAAGGGCAGAGTGTGGAATTGGTACTTGCAGTATATCAGGAAGGTTTCTATGGTGATGGACCAAGTACATAACTTCAAAAGAATCTACTGGAGTTCACACAGTATACCAAATGCCTGGCACTCAATATCACCGGCACAGCCCCGATAAACATGAATCACGGACGTGACTACCGGGGCACAGTTCAATCTGGGGCAGTTGCTACGGTCCATTAATCACCACTAGGTGTGGAAGACCACACAAGATCCTGCGGTACACGGACTCACTTGATTCTGCCGAGCAGAGTCTGGTAGCCTCGGAAGAAGGGAGGAAGCTCTTTGGTGGGTTGCGAGGGATTGATAGGGCCGTCCGGACATACCACCAGTCCACTGTGGATACAAAGGGAGGAAAGTCACTTGAGCACAGTCACAGTGCATATTTCGTTGTACACTAGAGAATGGGAAGAGAGAGAGAAGAGAGATGGAGTTTTGCGTACCACACGATGGCCAGTCGTGGAATGGCAAACATGATGGAAGGGTCCATCATCTCGATCATGTCGCTGTCTATGTACTCGTTCTTGAGAGCCCTAATGAGGATGGACAAAACGCACACACTAACAGCTATGTTGTACCATTGTCACACGACATGTTAATTGGACAAGCTATAGATGTTATGGAGTCCGGTGGTGGCATGCATGCAGCACTAATGCAGCAGTTTGATAACATTGTTATTTGCATACATCATGCAGGCTTTGCACAAAACTACTGACCCTTATCTTATCCTCAACCCTCTCATGTGTGTTTGTGTGAACGAGCTATATACTCGGTGTTCAAGCATGCGCGGCAAGTGGAAGCCACTGTGCTGAGGCTGACGTTGCAAGTCCACGCGAGGAATGCGCTGCTTCTCTGTGAGGCCTGCCCTTTCCCACTGGCTCAGTTTCCACCAGAGAAACAGGTGATCGCGTCACCCTTCGTCACGTGGATAGCTAACAGGATGTGGGCATCTCCTCTACCTCGTTGGGTGGCGGGGCACTCCTCCTGTAATACAGTAATCCTGCGAGACAACCCGTCTTCCCCAGAGCCTTTGTAGACATTACAGGCACATGGAACAATTTCTATGCCCTTTCGACCCTCTTCAAAGCCAGTCTCATAAATCGTGCTCACCTGTGCATGTACAAGTGTACTGTACTGCTACTGATCTAGACAAAACAGGCTCCCTGTGCAACATACACTCCTATATACCTGAGTGTGGACTCGCAGAATAGGACAATGACGTCTTGTTGATGGTAGTACTGTCTCTCTGATTTCACGCTGCACATTAACCCTACATACCTGCAGATAGACACAGCAGCAAAAGATGAAGCAGAGACCCAATTCAGAAAAAAAAACCTGGCCTGTGTGTGTTTATGTGGCTTCAAACTTAAAGCCTCGGTTGGTAATACATGTGGGAGAGTAAGATATCGTGCTAAACAATCCGACTGTGTGGTCCTATAACATGTGGTATTTCGATCCGAACGGAGAGACCAGATTGTTGTCTAGTGTGTGTGTGTGCATTTGTGTGTGTGTGTGTGCACGTGTGGTGTCCACTCACCGAAACTCAAAGTCTGCCCACATGACATCAAACTCTATCAGCATGTCCTTGAGCTGCGTGTCGAGGAAGGGGAGAGAGAGAGAGAGAGAGAGAGGAGGAGGAGGAGGAGAAAGAGGTAAACAATGATTTCCATTGTGTGGTCTTTGTTGGGAAACATGTAATGTGATTGTGGGCCTGCAGTTTCACTCTTTGGTTTTCTGTGTCATGTAGGAGTTAATGGGAAAGCAAACAAAATGGTGTTTATAATACAGTAGTCCCAAGAGTTTAATAAAAGAAGGGCATTGCCAGCTCTGAAAGGGAAACTGGCAGGGGCATTATGCTGGGCAGGAAAAAGGGTGAACCCTGAGAGTGGGGAGGGAATGTTTTCAGGACTTAGAGGAAGGAAGTTTGGCAGACTGCAGGATCAGGGAACAACAGTCGGGTGGGTTGGTGAAGATTCAGTGGAGAGTCTGAGTGGCTTCTCTGACTGAACCACTGTAAGGTCAGGTCAGGAAGACAAGGAAGCTTCCATATTGTGTTGCTGGGATCAAGTCAGGACATGGCGAGGAAGTATGGCGGAGGAGAGCTAAAGGGGGTTGTGTGGTCGATGGGTGTATGCATGTACTGGTAAATGGTAGTAGTTCGAACGGCGTGATGTGTACAGAGGAGTCAACAGTGGGCACTTTGAAGCTATTAATACCTCCGTGGAGGGGTGGACGTGCACGTGTGTGGCCACTAGTCCTGGGTGCATCTCGGATGTCACATTACAATATCAACCTCCTCAAGGGAGGGAGTTGTGTTCCTTTGTGTTTTCGAATTCCTCGCATCATTCCATAGTAGGGCAAATTTCAGTAGACAATCACCCATGTATAGTGATATCTGCCTATTTTTTGCTGATTCCCAGAAAACTAGGTCTACCACACAAAACTGTTGTCATTCTATGAAAGGTAAGTCAAAAAGGCAGAGTGAAAACAGCAAACCGCAGAAGTAGGGGGAGAGGGATGGGAGGAGATAGTAAACGGTTTCTCTTTCACAGTGCAGCCCCCACATGCATACTGTGGTCTTCAGCTAGTAACTAACAGATCATAAACAGGGGATATTGAAATGGGCTGATATCGGTATTATACACAGAGGAAGTGGGGCTGGACTAACGCACAAAGTGAAAAGGTTTTGAGATTATGTGTGGTCCGGTTTCTTAGGGTTATGTTCTGTGGCAAGAGAGGGTATTTTTTCGAGGGCAGTGGTTGGTGGCTCTGTGTTGACTGGAGAGGGAAATGGCTGGTGGATGTGTGCATTTCATGGATCAAGTACCACAGTCCATAGATCAGACTCTCCACAGTCTTTGAAGTCACAACAGGTATACGTGTAGCCAGCATGCTAAAACTAACACAGAGGTTGCATACATTTCAGTGTACCCTCAGCAACCACTGCATATTCCTGCCATTTTCCCAAGTATTAACAGCAGTGGCCTATCACGGCATCAATGCAGCTGTGAAAAACGCACTGACGGACACTTGGAGTGAAATAATGATGTGAACAGAACAGGTAGGCACTCGGATCGTACGTACGTCTGATGCAGTTTGCCGTGTACGTCTTACATAGTGTCTGTCCCGAAACATGTGCTTCCCAGTAACCGTAAGTCCATTAGTCACATACAATGATTGTTGGCACACCAGCCCCTCTATTCCATATGTACAAGTCAACATCAGCGAGACTGGCACGACTACTCAAACGCAGCACACACTCTAAAATCTCATTTAACTGAGTTTTGGGGCTCTTACTGGACGTGTATATATGCCTATACAGCTGAAGTTACATACGTACACAATGTACTACATTGCAACTGGTCCAGCTGTCTGGCATGGGAAAGCTAAGGGACCGTCTTGTCTTACTGCCCATAATAAGACCAGGGAACACAGTATATGGAACCGTACAGGGAGTCTTAGCTCCTATTATAACTCGGTATATACTACCGGCCGGTTTATCAAACTAGTTAGAGCCATCGGCCTTTTGGGGGCATTTCTGAGCATTCCGTACTGGCAGCAGCACATCTCCGGGCAAGCAGCATCATACGTCTGTATAATTATGATTCCATCGACAGTGTATGGGCTCTGTTGCTGGCAACCTGATCAACCTCTTTACCAACAGAAGCCAGTTGCTCATTTTACTCCAGAGATGCTCAGCTGAGGAATGGCCGAGAGTGGCATGCAAATCACGGACAGTATTAGAACCCCAGACCAAAGGAAAATGAGGTTCCGGATAAGTATATACCTACTAGGGAAACCAGAAAAAATCCACCTCTTTCACTCTCCCTCTCACACACCCACCCCCCCACACGTACACACACCTTCTGGCTGTAGACTTGTCTGTTGGTGAGACACTGCTCCTTGAGTGCTGCTCTCACTCTACTGATGGTCTTGGAGAGTTGGACAGCAAATGGCCGCAGTTGCTCCGACTCCAGTTCGTGATTGAGAATGTGTGACCCTGCAGCTATACACTGTGGGGAGCAGAGAAGAGAGAGGAGGAAGACAGAAAGGGGGGTTGCACTAGAGGGATTTGTGGAAACTTTGTATAGTCAAAATAGCTTTAGTATTCATAACCAGAGAGATGCATGCATGACATCATAATTATCATGGTGGACACAGTGATGAGATGAGAGACAGTTGTTTGAGAGAATGGAAGTAACGACAGATGATGGCATGTTTGATGCCAAGCACACAATATCCAGCATACGCTGGATAACATCATGAGGAAATGCTTTGAAAAGTTGAGGCAAATCCTTTCCTATATAGCACCTAGCCAATTATACATACTCTGCAGTACAGAATACCCTGATGTAGTCTTCCTTATGCTATATATAGCTATATTACTGACCACCAGCAAGTGAAAAGGCGAAGCCAAAAGGTACATACATTATACTGAGAAGTCCAGACGTTTAACTTCCAGGCAGGAAAAAAGACCTACAAGGTGAACTACATTCATTACCCTTGAGCATTAGGTCCCGCCCCAACAGTTCCAGGCAATCAATTAGGTACACCCCTTTGTTATACGTGGGAATAACGCAATACCTTGTTACGCGTAGTAGGTCGAAAAGCTAACAAGATCAAACACAGCAAATTTGTCACTCGTTGTCCTCCTACAGGGTCAGACCCCTCCCTCTGCTATATGCAGAGTATTATCAGGTCTTGGATGTAAACACGAGAACAGACACACACGCGAGTGAGTATTGTGCACGAATGCACACACACGTTGGGCTCAATTTTGTTTCAAAGGAGTGAGAACACGGGGCTCCTATTCAGCCAAACAGGGCCAGGCAATGGATGTGCGGTTCTTCCATTTGTACTGTTCACTGCACACAACTTTGTTCCCGGCTATTGCGGTACAGAATAATCTGTTCACTACAGTGCTCTGCAAGTGTGCCTCTCACTATAAAACTTATGCCACACAATGTACAGGTATTATACTTCTTAAACAGACACAGTGCATGCAGCATATCAGTGGTAGAGTGCTCACCTCTGCTCCAAACCACAGGGGACCTGCAGTGGGAAAATGGAAAGTGATTTTTACTGTAAATGGACGTTACGTATATCGTGGAAAGGCCTGGATGGGGTTCCTACCACTGTAGCCAAGAGCTCAACTGTTTACGGAGGGGATTGCCTCGGAACCCTTTCGTTAACTGGTAATGGTGTGTTTGGGGCTCGCGCTTTCTGTGGTATTTTTGGTGGCAGCACTCTGCCAGTTGGCCCATGATGGAGCCATTTCGGAGGAAATCCACGCCTCCCTTTCTGGCCCAGGAATATACACACCCCCTATCTCCAACACACACACCCTCAAACTGGCCCACTCTCTTGGATAAACAACAAGCCCGTTCTAGACATGCAAACCGTTCTGTTTACGGCAGCCCCACCCTCTATGATACACACTACCTTCCAAACCAAACGCATTCCTGTGGTCGTTTGTTAATTCAACTTTACACTGGGTTTACGACTGTGTACGGCTTTGCGCTGTTCTGCGGCGGACTAGGCAGACTCACCGTTGATCTGATCCACTAGAACGTCGTCTGGGTATTTGGCTCTGAAGTCTCTGCAGGTGTGATGCTCGGGGACCGCGTCTCGCGTCACCGCGAAGATGACGTTCATGAGGTTGTGCTGCGCCTCCTTCAGCTGTCGGATGAGTGTCGCCCGGCGGTCCAGATTGTCCGGTGTAGTCTTCATGAGGTAGTTCAGCTCCTGCATCTGGTGATTCACCGCCTCGTCGCAGTAGTAAAACACGCCAGCGGGTGACCGTCTGTCAGCTAAAGAATAATGCAATGCGGATTTTTCCTCTCGTTACACTTGAAAAGTAGACAGCGTTACCTTTGGTTTGTTGATCAACTTGCGAATTGCCAGCATTTCGACCGCTTGAGAATTCAGTCAGACCTTTGGAAAAGTAGGTGCTTCTTTGCAAAGTTGTGCTTTTATATCTGCGGAGCGCAACCGCATGTGCGTTCGCGTTGGCGTCGTGAGAGTGCGTGTGGCCGGACGCGAAATCCCGCTAATAGCGGAAATTGAAACGATCGGATCGCGGACGAAGGACCGCGCCAAACAACGCCCACTTTGCACAGCGGTCGGGTAAGGTTTTACAGCAGCCAGGGATGCTGCCTTTCAAAGAGAAGCGGGCCTATACCCTCCAGAGAGACTTTTGCGTGTTGGAGAGAGAGAAGAGGGTTAGCAAGATTCTCGGGAGCCATGCCTTCCGCGCGGAGCTGGAAGGGATCCTGCAAGGTCAACTGGACGGCTCGCGGAGCCCCCCCAAACCCTCCCGCGCCCTCAGAAGCCTGCAAGAAAACGTGGTACCAACCTCTACGGTGGAGGCGGCTCGCAGAGGACCTGGGGGACCCGCTGCCTCGTCAGTGATCCCAGATCAACGACTTGAGGGGTGCCCGCTCGTCTCGCTACGTCCTCCACGAGCGACAGCTCCGCTGCAAGCTAGCCTCCCTCTGTCGACTAGTGGATTGGTTCAAGTGGAGCCAGCTCGTGGACAACCACGTCTCTGTAAGTTTACTCTCTAGTCGGATCTTGCCTGCTTGACTCAGCCCCACCCCCTTTTCCGGTTGCAGGCTCGGGGTGTAGGCGAGAGAGGAGAGTTCCTCGTGAACCCTTTCGGACTACTGTACAGCGAGGTAACGGCGTCCAGCCTCGTGAGAGTGAGCGGGGAGGAGGGAGGAGGCATAGTGGACGGCGGGAGCACGCGGCTCGGGGTGAACAGACCGGGCGTGGAGCTCCATTCGGCCATCTACGGCGCCCGGAGAGACGTGCAATGCATTATGCATCTGCACACAGTCGCAGGAACAGCGGTAAGAGATGTCTATGAGATACACTCTAGCTGTATTTTTTCACGTCTAGAGCTAAACATTGTTCCATCATGACATCAGGTATCAGCAATGAACTGTGGACTGCTGCCAATATCAGAGGAAGCATTGGGTGTGAGTCACACGGTATCGTGATACACATATCCCTTCACATTTCTCTCTGTATATTATTAGGTGGGGAAAGTGTCATACTATGAGGGCAGGAAACCGCTAGTTGGTCACAAGGAGTTTGCCAAGGCTCTCGGGAAGAACAAGGTCAGATAATAGATAACTCTGTGCAGATATCGAAAGCTCATTTACTCATAGCATTCCTGGAAAAAAAAAACCCAACACACTGTACATTGTAGGCTAGAGTTAGTATAATACTTGTAAGGAAATACTGATGTTCTTAGAAAGAACAAGGCAACTAATTGTAAGCAAGGTAGGATTACTGAAAGACATTATGTATGTATAGGGAGAGACCACTGAGTAATATACTCCCTCTCCCTATTCTCCTCTCTCCTCTTTTAGGTTCTCATCTTGCCTAACCATGGCCTAGTAGCTGTCGGGAACTGCGTGGAAGATTGCTTCCACGTCATGTACAATCTCATCATGGCCTGCAGGATACAGGTTTGTGTGTCCACCTACCACACTCCAGTATAGTGTCACCCAGTAGAGAGGACCAGTAGTGTCTCTATGGAGGAACATAAAACCACAGAGAGTCTGTTTCCCAGGTGGCAGCAGTGTCAGCAGGTCTGTCCAACCTCACCTTGCTACCTCCTCCGGGGCGTGGTGCTCGGGAAGAGTATGCGGGCACCGCGGCAGCCGCGTGGAGCACAAAGGCACAGATGGAGTTTGAAGCTCTCATGCGAATGCTGGACAATCAGGTGAGTGAATGAGGGCCACTTAGGCTCTGGTCGTTGTGGTTTTCTCGGACACCTGGACTCTACTGTGTAATAGTTTCCGCACCAGATCAAAGGCTCCATTGATGAAAGCTAGAATTTCAGTACCTTGGTTTTGGTGGCAAGTGTTGTGATTAATTTTTGACCTGTGTGTATAGGGATACCAGACGGGGTATCGATACCGTGGTCTGAGTCTGCTGGAGGCTGGTGGGGACTCGAGTAGGGGGGCGGCGTGGGAAGAGGTAGTGGAGGGAGGAGAGACAGACACCGCTAGAAGACTGCGTCACAAGAGGAAAGGTGAGGGAAACGTACTTTAGAGTCGGTATACACCTTGAGTTGATGCTTTTGCAGGTTATAAGGAGAAAGGTCCACACGAGGTATGTTTCTTTTGTCAGAGATTGGATTGTGTGAGTGAATAGTATTATGTAGGCGTGGGCATTTCTGGATGATAATCGATCGCGTGACAAGCCACTCACCAAGAACACAAAGGTATTACTCTGTGTCTGTTGGTCTGTGTAAATAAGTTCTCTCCCTGCACGTTGGGGCACAGATAAGGGTGAGAGTGGGGGACTCTGGAGGGGGTGTGTCACCAGTGGAGGAGGAGGAGGTGACCGAGAGTGGGGGAGACCCCTGGCAATTTCTCACCTCACGAGAATCCTCAGTCATCTCGCCTGACTCTAAGGTCAGTCAAACTCCTCCTTTCTGAATTTGTAGCTTCCCATCAATTGTAGATAAGTCTGTCGTGATAAGTGGTGTTTGCCTCATTTGGGGCGAGAGATGTAAATTTAGTAGTCACTAACATGCAACAATTATGCAACGTTTTACGTGGGTTTCTGCGGAAAAAGGCGTAATTTGGACCCAAGTGTTTTGTGATGCCCCTCATAACTTGACTAGTTCCAGTTCACTACTTACTTTCAAGGTAATCTTGTTTGCAAACCGATTTACAGATGTTTGCATGTACTATGCTTTGAGCAGGTCCCTAATACAATCATGTTTACCTACACTTAGTGTGCATGTGAGTTGATGTATTCTGCCCCTGTACTGTTTCTATCATTGCGTGTGCAGGCTGGCAGTCGTCCCAGTACTGCCCAGAGACTCGCCAACACCAGTGCCGGCAGTGGAACTACAAACGAAGACCCTGCCTCTCGCTCCCACCACCACAACCACCACTCGGGGAGGAGACGAGCTCACAGGAGGAGGAAAATCCAACTCTGCCTCGTCCCAACAGGACACCCACTGCACCAGCAACCGGGCCGAACCTCTCTTGCCACTCTACTTCATCAGCTCATTCCCACACATCTCACATAGCTGCTGGAGACACTGCCACTCTACCACCACCAGATCTGAGTACACTGGAACAGACTGCAGAGAGAGTGGCCCATTCTACCGGCGTTGCGGTCCAGAAACTCTCTCAGAGGAGGGTCACCGAGGAAGAGACGGACCGAGGGAGGACCCACAGTGATCCAAATATCGCATCGACCTGGGATGACCTCTCCCCGAGCAAGCACGATCCTCATTACTACCACCATAGGCATCTGGTGGTGGATTCCCAGGGGTATTCATCAGGTGACGAGGCCTCTTACCTAGGGTCTCCTCGCAGACCAGCACAGACTAGCATCACTGAAAGACAGTCAACCCTCCCCCTCAATACAACCTTGCACCATGCTCCCAACTTGCACACCCCTCCCACACTGGACACGCCCACTCCTCACACAAGTCACACCACCTCCCCACCCTCACACGCTCACCCCCCACTCCCCACACACACCCCGGCTGTCATTAGCTACCCCGTGGGGTGGAGCTCGGCAGAGAAGGCAGCCCACGTGGCAAAACTTGTGGCAGACTCCACTGGCTCTGCGGTGCAGAAACTCTCAGAGACTATGGCCGAGAGACAACAGACTGGCACCAGAGACATCACTACTGTCCTCACACACAGTGCAGAAATCTAATCTAGCTCACAATTATAGGGGCAGCCATTATTTATTATTATATGCACAGGTATACAACTTCAAAGAATGCATCATTGTTTCCTTTCAATGAAGCAGTTTATTCTGCGGTGATTATTACTCTGACGGGTGTACTCAAGTTTATGGGTTTAGATATGAAGCAGCTCATCACTGGTCTTTCGTCTGCAAAAAAGAGGGAGAAGAACAGCTAACGAATGAAATAATTTGGCAGTCTGTCTGCCAGGCTTGGAATTATATGATTGTACATGATTACCGATAAGCTGACTGCCTGTTCAGGAATAATTTAACGGTCACAAATATTTCCAGGTATTCAGTACCCAGTCCACCCCAATGGAGCTCTCACTTTGCTCTCAGTCTTCTCTAGCTCCATTGCCTCCTCCTCTTTCCCCTCCCCTCCTCCTCCTCCCCCGCCCTGTGCCTGGGCCGAGGAGGAGGTGGAGGCCTCTGTCATTTCCCGCAGGTTCCTGAGGGCCTGCTCGGGTTCACCCCGGGCAGAGTGCTCAGAACAGACTCCAGGAACGCCTTGTTCTGCATCAGCTCCTCCATCTCCGCTCCAATGACATCTGCAGCCACACCACAAGAGACACAGTACAGTACAGTACATGTCAACAACGAGGTCATAAGCCAAAACCAAAGCAAACAACGCAACTACACCAAGGATAACTCAAACTCGAGCGTTTAATGCACGCTTTGAAACATCAACAGTGAATTGCATACACCGCAAGCAAAACTTTTAAGCCTTGAAGCCAGTGTGCATAGGTTTTGCATACAGCCTCTCTATATATCTCCTTCCTTGGTTCGTATGTGGGGAACTGCACTTTCTAGGGAGAAAAACTATTTGGTAAGGGTGTTAAAATTGCATACTGCAACTAGAGAACATTATTGTGGATGACTATATATGAAACATTAGCTGTAAAGTTTCCTGTCTAGAGTTTAGTGGGATGTGGTATGACAACCGATACTTACTGTCTGAATCCTCGGGTACTTCAGTAGTTCCAGTTGGCTGTAGGGAGCAATGAGAAGAAGTTTATTTTCCACACTCCTAGTGGGTGTGGTTGTGTGGAGAGACAGGGTATGCCCAGACAGACCTCTCCCCCGTCGGTAGCCACAGTGGGTGTGGTCTCGGTCTCCATGGCCTGCTCCAGTAGGCCACTCATGCCGGCTCCCTGCAGGGACATCTGGAGAGCCAGGGCCAACTCTTGCTCCTCCGTCAACTCCTGAGCACCGTACACGCACACACACACACATCAGCACTATCGTTGCCACAGCACAGGTACTATAAAAAGGGCCCAAAAGGCAGTCATAAGCGTCCTGTGAAGAAGGAACTGTGGAGTGCAAATGGCCTGGAGAGAATATTGCATGCAACAACACATCAGTGTCATCTGGTCGAGTTTTTAAAATAATGGAGAGAGAGTGAACGGCTTACTGAGGTTGCCATCCCTGCAAAAGCCTGCAGTGAGGACAACTGAATGTTAACAGAGGGAAGAGTAGTGTTGTAGTGACTGACTGGATTATATGGCAGTTCAGCAGTTTGAGCCTGTGCCAGTATCCCTCCACCCTCCTGACTCACCACCACACCTGTGGACAGAATCACAAGAGGAGCGAGAACAGTCCTCAACCAAACCACATAATGGTGAAAGAGAATAACACACAAGGTGCTGACTTTCATTGTGATTTTTGAATGTGAATTCATCACTCATCGTAACGTTTACTCGGAGAATCTCTCACACACAGTGGTGTATGTACGTACCACTGTCCTCGGTGATGGTGGGGGGAGGACCCTGTTCGTTAGACTGCTGCGTGGCCCTCCTGACCTCCTCCTCTTGCCTCTGTCTCTGCTCCTCCATTGACACACGCAGTGCCTGCACACATGAAATGCATTGGGCAGCCATGTCCTTCTGACTGCAGTCATTTTTACGCGAGCAGACTATCATCACTGAATTACATATTCTTTGGTAAAGGCAAACACAAATTTCATGCCAGGTCAGGTGATAGTGTAGTGTGCAGAGACATTATCACCATTGCTAGCTCAGGGTCTTCTGTGGGGTCGATGCCAAATTCGAACCCCTGTCCCAGGGGAACGAGGGGAGCCCCCTCCTCGTCAGTGAAGATTGGAGACGAGAGGAGAATGTCTGATAGCAGAGGGCCCGGGTGAGCTGTCACCAGGTGACTGCAGAGAGTCACATAGTAGAGAATAGGTAAGAGAAATTTAGCCTTTGTACACATGTAATACCTCGTCCTGTCTTTGCCATTCAGAGTTTCAATAAACTTTTTCAGTTTCTCAGCATTTTCTTCCTACAGGGAGAATAAGTTGGAAGTTGGGGGGGGGAAGATACACACTCACCGTCTCTCCAAAACTGACAATATCAATCGTGACCTTCTCTTTCTTCAACCTCTTTGCCAGCTTGGTCAGCTGCGAGTCACAGAGAATGTACGTTAGGCTAGGTTCACAGTATTTCACAAAGGTGTGCAGAATTCTGTGTACATGCCATGTCGGGAGACTATTTTCACAGCACAAAACATCAGGGCGATGTGATACTGTGTGTACTCAGACTGTAGTATATATTAGCCCACCTCTTTATCAGAGACAGTTAGAGGACTGCCGATGAATGCCACAACCTTCATCTTCTGGTTCTTGTTCTGTCGGTGCTTCAGAGCCAACTGATCCACACAACACACACACATTATGTAGAACAAGACAATGCATGCACATGTGCATCCCGAGGTGTACGGGGGTTTGTATAATACTGACGTGGGCAATCCTGAGAGAAGTGACAAAGTTGACGGACCCCTTTGGCTCCAGGGGCTGGAGGGCCTTGAATATCTTGTTCTGGTCTGAGGTGAGCGTCACGTGAACCTGAGCACTGTGGGACACAGTACCACATATGTAGATACTATACACCACGTAGTGTATAGCTATCACATGGAGGGTGAGGACTGGTTTCTAATACTAGGCGGTCTAGTGTGTGAGGCTCACTCTGATAGTGAGAGGAGTCCCACGGTGTTCTCCGCGTTCTGTCTGGTCTTCATCCTACACACCACGTTCACCGCGTCCTGCTGGGCCTGCATCCGCGTCGGGACGAAGTCTCCGTTCCTCATCCATTCGCTGTTGTCCACACTAGGACGTAAAGAAGCGTGGCTGAATGCATGCTACCATTATGGACAGTGCACAGACTTACCACACAACCGTAGCTTCCAAACCCATGACGATGATGGATACTTAAATAAATTCCAATTGTAGCGCATCACACCGAAGGAGGTAAGGGGGCGGGTCAAAATGGCAGTTTACAAGCCTACTGACGGTTCTTTCCCATTTCTGGAGTATGACAAAGAAATAATGCGCCGATTGCTTTCCCAAAATCTCGTTGAAGGAAGTACATGGTGAGTCCTTATCAGCCCCAGAGAATAGAAAACCAGAAGTCACCCTCCACCGTCAGTTACTTTGGCTTTACTTTTAGGTATCTGATTGATGTGAGTTGGATGAAAAAATGGAAGAAGTATACTGGCTATGATAAATGGGACCAATCTGGGAAATGGAAGTCAGAAAATTTCCCTGGACTTGTGGTGACCAGCAGTCTGTTTGTAGGTATACACTGCCAGATCATGTGCTCTATTGCAGCATGATTGTGGGCTGTTTTGTAAGTACTAGAAACTGGTGGGCCTCTTTGAATTGCAGATTTGGATACTGGTGTTTTAAAGGAACACCTAATGGAGGAACTGGACTATTCTCTGGTCCCAGAAAAGGCATGGCGTCACCTAGTGTGGCGGTATGGGTTGTCAGATGGCTCCAGACCAATAGCCAGGAGAGTAGTGAAGTATGGGCTGTATATGAAGCACTGCAAGGTAGAAGTGTATCTTCTCAATATCAAACTGACATTACATCCAAAGCTGTCTGAGGCAACAACTGTTGAATTAAGCAGAGCTGACACTGTTGGTATGCTCTAGAATCAAATGTGCCCTAAGGTGTCTCTACGTTATGTCTCTATGCCTCTAATTCAGGTGATTTGGGGGCTGTAATGCGAAGGATATACTCTGTCTCTGACAAGACACCATGCAGAGTGTGGCACCGAAACATGTCACACCCTTATGAGCTCCTATCAGATCCCTTTCAGACCTTGCAAGATGCTGTTTTATACAACATGCAGGTACGTAATTTGGCTATGAAACTAGTAAGAAACAAGTGATCTGATATTTTTTAACACTATTTAGACCATTGTTGTTGAGGTTCAAGACAGTGATGGGACATGGCCTAGAGCCACGCAGAGGGCAGGATATGGAAGTGGCTCCCAAAGCATGGAGAACACTACAAAGCAGGTGAAAGCTCCAAGAAAAGAAAAGGGCTCCAACAGCAAGCAAAGAACTTCAGCTAAAGCAAAGAAGGATGGGAAAGTTGCTGAAACAAATCCAGTGGCAAGACCCAGGGATTTGAAAACAAACACTGGTGATAAACTGGCCATTAAAGAAACGACAGGGGATGAAATATCACCAGAAGAGGATGACTGGCTCAAATCACAGCAGAAAAGCCAACATGACGAGCTGGTGCAGAGTGTGGCTACTGAGCATAAGAGAGCGAATCAGGCCAGTCAGCGAGCACAAGATGCCTTGAACCGACTAGCTCAGAAGGAAGGGCAACTTAAGACCTTAAACAAAACATTAGAAGAAGGGACATTGCAAATCAAAGAGCTGGATAAGATGCTGAGGGACCAGGAACAAAAGAGGGAGGGAGAAAAAAGGAGAGCTGTAATGGCAGAGCAAAGGGTGGCACAATTGCAAACTCAGCTCCAACAGCTTAACCAGTCTCTCCAAACTGCAGAAGAGGAGAGAGATGAAGCTCAGCAACAACACCAAAGCACCACACACCAACTGCAAGCGTCGCGCCAACAACTGCAAGACACTGAACAGCGTCTCCAGCAAGCCAACGAGAGGGCTGAGCAGCAACAAGAAAGAGCTGACGTCGCAGAAACACAGCTCCAGCAAGCCAATGAGAGGGCCGATCAGCAGGAACAAAGAGCCGCTATCGCTGAAACACAGCTCCAGCAAGCCAATGAGAGGGCCGACCAGCAGGAACAAAGAGCCGCTATCGCTGAAACACAGCTCCAGCAAGCCAATGAGAGGGCCGATCAGCAGGAACAAAGAGCCGCTATGGCTGAAACACAGCTCCAGCAAGCCAATGAGAGGGCCGATCAGCAGGAACAAAGAGCCGCTATCGCTGAAACACAGCTCCAGCAAGCCAATGAGAGGGCCGATCAGCAGGAACAAAGAGCCACTATCGCTGAAACACAGCTCCAGCAAGCCAATGAGAGGGCCGACCAGCAGGAACAAAGAGCCGCTATGGCTGAAACACGTCTCCAACACTCGGATCAGATGTTCCAGGACATGTTCCACAGGTTGATAGGTCAACTGCCTCAGAGCCAGCCGCAGTGGGTCGTCCAGAGAAATGAGATCGAGCTGACTGGGGAAGAGCTTGGTTCTGGTGGGTGGGCAACAGTTAGAATAGGAACATTTCGAGGGAATCGAGTGGCAGCCAAGTGCCTCCATCGGCAGATAGTGTCTGCCCACAACGTGAGGATCTTCACTCGGGAAATGAATATGGCTGCCAATGCCCGACACCCCAACCTCCTCCAGTTCATTGGAGCCACTCTCGACAGCCAGGAGCCCATCATCTTGACGGAGCTGATGCCCACCAGTCTTCGCCGGGTCATGGAGGAAGGCACTAGGCTCTCCCACCCCCAGATATCCAGCATTTCCCGCCAGGTAGCCCTCGCCCTCAACTACCTCCACCTCACACAGCCTGAGGCCATCATCCATCGCGATGTGAGCAGCTCAAATGTTCTCTTGGAGCCATTTAACTCTGGTTTTAAAGCCAAGCTCTCCGACTATGGCTCTGCCAACTTTGTTCGCCACACCACCACAGTAGGCCCTGGAAACCCGACTTACGCTGCTCCTGAGGCCGGGAATCCAGAGCAGCAGTCGACCAAAATGGATGTGTTCAGTTTCGGCGTCCTCCTTGTGGAGATGTGTGCGGGGGAATTGGCCCCCAGGGAGGTGAGGGATCGTCTCCTTGCCTCCATCCAGTGGCCTCCAATGGTGGCTCTCATTCGAAGCTGTCTTAGGCACAAGCTGCAGCAACGTCCAGACATGGCTACCATTATTACCCAACTGGACCAACTCTAGAACAAGTTAGGTTTTTTATTTTCTAGTTTTGTGATTTTTAGGCGGCCGCTCACACGCATGCGCACGGGAATCAAGAGAAGGTGTGCTCTCGAGAGACTAGACGACTGTCATTGGTCGTCATGTCGCGTTCGAGCTCCAAGACCAAGCTAAATTCGTCTGGCTCGCGCTCCAGCCTCAAGGAAAAGGGCAAGAAGAGAGGGGCGAGGTCGTGGTGAGTAGCGCTGCTGCTTCTACGCTCGTGGTGACGTCGTACATGGAAACGTACTTTAGGACCAGACGGAGGAGAGGTAGTAGAGGAGGTGGTGGAGCAGCTGTCGTGAAAGGTGTTAGGGAAGACAGAGACAGCCCAGCTGGCTGGGATTGACGATCCTCACCAGATAGCTGGGAGGCTGGCTGCAGTGTTGGGCCTGGGCCAGTACGAAGAGAGCCTGTCAGAGGCTGCACTTGTCGACTGCTATGTCGCCACATACTGATATCCATCTCACACTATTAAATGCACACTCTGAACTCACCTCACACTATTAGTTACTGTAATTGCACACTCTGAACACTGAAGATAGTAGAGTTGTTTTTCTTGACTCTACTTCCAAGTTTGCCCGTGAGCACAAGTTCACAGACGAGCAAACTACAACGCTCATTACAATCACACACACCCTCATAACCAACCTCAAAGGTATGATAGTACTGTAACTCTATGCCAAATAATACATGTACTGTCTCCAGAGCACCCACTTTTCACTGTGGACAATATCCAGCAGCTGAGGGACCTGCTAGCTGGAGTGGGCGTGTCTCAGAGGACAGCGTTCAGTGTCTCACTCCAGAGGCCGCCAGACTAGTCGTAGAGTGCGTAACAACTGGTCTCTCTCCAGCACTACTACGCCTCTTTCAATTCCTCTTGACGAGCAACATACCGAGCAAACCATTGAACTCTCAGTAAATTCTTCACTCTCGGTGGTTCATAATCCTCTGCTTGCTACAGTTGCCTGTGAGCTGCCACCTCCACTTTCCACCCACTGTCCCCACCCCGGAATGAGGCCATTCTCTCCAGCTGTATGAGATGTGTCGGCCCATCGCAGCAGCAGAGGAGCAGGAACAGCAGCAGAGCCAGAGGAGACTGAAGTACATTAATAGATCAATGCATCCAAGGTTTTGTGTGGATTGAATCCCCTGGTGTTATAGGTGGACAAGTCTTCTGCCCTGGCTACTGACTCAGGAGGAAGGTAACTGTTGACTGTATGCACACCATACACACACGCATGCTAACTGTGACTGGTTTTTCAGGTGAAGCACTGATGAAAGTGTCCTCAGAGAGCTGAAGGTGTCATGGACTCGTTGACCACGACACACTTTCTACCTATCAGGTCCTGTCAATGAGATTCTATTACAAACGACCATAAGAAGATGTGCGTCCAACGCGCACGCTAGAATGTTCGAGATGTTTTCTAATGTATGTGTCTACAGCTTGCAAGAGAAGGAAGTATGATCTATTCAGCAGCACCTCTCACACTCTGGTAGCATCTCTCAACTTAGTCTTTAAACCGCTGATTTCATAAATACTAGTGGCATATTTATTTGATAACTGACAATTAACACATCTGACAAAATCGGTGTGGATCACTAAGTCATTATAAGAAATGGTACACATGAGTCAGTTTTTGACTAGTGTAGTGTGGTTTTCAGTGTCGTCTGGACCCAGTGCTCCTGAGCCGGCAGAGCCACGTGCACTTCTGGCGGGCGCATGCTCGTGCCGGAGAGTACTCTTTTGTGTCTTGGAGAGCGCTGCGTTCTCTTTGAGTCTGTCCCTAGCTGCTGACAGTCTGACAGCTGACACACTGCAGCGTCCACTGGCAGCGCACAGAGTTGGTAATGCGAGAGCGTAGTCGGGTTTCGTACTGTGCTCTGAGGCTAGTAAATTATGTGGGGATTCTTGTACATCATTTTACAACATTTTGCGCCTCAGAATATAGGTGTTGATGATTCTACAGTACTCTACCCACAAACCACAGGGAAACGTGTGGTTCTTCCTTGTAAGGAGAGTGTTCTATAATAGAAACCTACAGACTCTTTTCAGTGGTGTTGCTCTCCATTGTGCTCGCTGCTACTCTCACGAGTGTGCGTTCAAGTTCAATGAGACTAGATCAAACGACGGGAGCTGAGAAACGTCCTTCCCCACCTTTTCTGATTATCACACCACTCCGTCATACTTCCTCTGAACACAACACAACAGACAACAGTGAAAAACTCAAGATCTCAGGAGTTCCACCGACACAGCGATTGATTTGTTCACACCTCTTCCTCCTCCTCGCATACACTCTCAGGAGGGGAGTGAGGAGACTGTGGGGGTGAAGTCTCTGAGAGCTCAGGGTCAGGTCTAGTCCGAGCCAGGTCACGTGGATACACAAAAGTCCCTTCCTCTGTGGTGTCCGTACCTACAGCAGATAGCACAGAGCAATTCAATACTTGCGTCGCGGAGTTGACACAACCGTCCACATATGAAAACTTGAGGAGAAGACTTCACGATTCAGTGGCAAACAAGAATTGTCGCAGAGTAAACGTTCGCAGATTGCATTTTTCACTTGTACAAATGCTCTTGCTAACAAAAGTGGCTGAGAAGCTTTCACACCAGGCCTCCGAAAGAAATGACAGGATTTGCTAAAGTTTTCACTTTGTACGTGAGCATTTTATACACCGGTAGTACATCGTACAGCCATCTCCTGAGAGACATAGCGTGAGACGTCTCTGGGGCGCATGCCACACTGGTGTTCTGAGAGTCGGTAAAACGTCAGAGCCGGCCGAGGAGAGGGTGGCGGTGTCCTCGTCCACTGGGAGTGCTGAACACTCGCACGCACCGTCTCTCGCCAGAGAGACCAGGGAGGACTGGAAACTGGAGACAGACTCCACCACCTTCGCACATGAGCCTACATGAGATTTACATATGCAGTAATACTGTAGAACAACGGAGATAATTCAGGTGACACCATTTGAGTAGCAGAATGCAGACACACTAAGTACCATTCATACAGTGGTAAAAAGCTACCATAGTACGTACTACGTAGAGTAGTTCAAACGTGGTCAAACATGAAAGTATTGACCTGCTATTCAGCAGCATGTCTCACCCGTCCATGTCAGTCTCAGTCTGCTGCTGGTGGGTAGCAGCAGAGCCATGGAAGTGGCACCAATATCCTGCAATGTCGTCACGTACGACTCTTTGTTTCTGGAGTTGAGATACATCAAAATAATGTAGCACACATACACTCCAAGCTTGCAGTGACCCACTCTCACGTAACAGCTCTCTCAACTCAATACAGTCTCTTCTCTACAGACTCTACGAATCCTGAAATCTTTCTTCAACCTCTCACTTATCCCTGTTGAATGTGGCAGTGCCGCTCTCCAGAGGCCTCTCTGGTCCTGTGTAGAGAGAGCCTTCCTGCTCTCCCTCGCTCCTCTTGCTGCAGTGTGAGGAAACAGAGACAGTACAGCTAGCACACATGCTAGTGGTGAGAGGCTGTACATAGGACACAGTTAGCCTGCTGGTAGCTCAGATTTGTGTGTGGAGAGAAGACACCATATAATATTATGATATAGTACCTGAGAGGAGTAAGGAGTCCAGAGCAGATGATGTCGTGGAGGTCATGGTCTCTGTGCTGTCTGCCACGACCACTCGCCCATTGGCCAGACCTGACAACTCCCTGCATGGCGAGGTATGAGTGAAAAAGTGCTGACTCACACAGACACGATTTCTATAAGATGCGGGCTTACTTTGTTGAAGCAGTCGGTGTGAGTGTGCTGACTCTGGGCTGCTCTCTGCATCCTCAGTTCACCTACAGTAGAGGGCACAGCAGAGATGAGCAGACAGTGTGTGTGAGGCTATCTATAATTTTATCTTTACCATTATATTCTATTTAAAATTTTCCTATATTCTCTCGCACGCGCCCACCGTGTCACGATTGGCTTGCCAGTTGCTCCTGTCCTGCTGTGCCTCATGGATCTCTCCAGTAAGCAGCTCCCATCTCAGCATCACTGACTGCCTTCAGTTGCTGCGTCGATTCAAGGACGTGTGTATATACTCACATGACACTACTAACAGTACAGTCTGACAGCTATTGGTTCACCTCTGAGAGGACACTCTTCTGCTTTCACCGTAGCTGATATGACTCCTGATGGACGCTCATCTGTGCTTGCTGGGAGACCCGAGAACCACAGTTTTAAAAAACTTGAAACTTTTTGGCAAAACATGACCCATTCACACACATCTTAGAGACCTTTTAACTATAGGAATGAGTCCCACATTATTTATTACCTGATGGGAGTTCTCTTGCTGCGCTGCGTGCACTCAGTTCTGTGATCTTCGTGTTCTGCTCACAGACAAACTGAGAGACCAGTGTCACGTGGGACTGCAACTGAAGATAGACAGAGAGAAAGTAGACTCAGCAGTTTCGCAGCAATGCAAACAAGAGCGTAAGGCGCGGACAGTAGAGTCAGTGGTGGCTGACCTGTTCCCTGAGACTGGCGTGGACGTGTTAGTAGAGAAGACTGGAGAGCCAGCGGCTGCACAGACCGGCCCAGGAACGGAAGCGAGAGTCACTGTCAGAACACCGTCCGCTGCTGAGGACACCAGATTCTCCTGCGACACCAGACAGAACAGACTTACGTCCAGCCTGAAGCTAGAGTTCTCATGTACCTGAAACTGCCTTACTCGCTCTGAGATGCTGAGGGAGCCTTGCATGTGTCGGTCTAGTCTCCCCCCAACCTGTCCGTGGCTTCAACTGGCGGCAAACAAACACCCCACTCCCTCCAGCCCCCCCCCGGATACCCTGGACACACCCCTCCTGCTCGCTACCCACTCCTCTGCACACGAGATTAAAAAACAACACTTTAGTATATACATAGCTCCTCTCCACTGGTAACACTGGTGGTTATGAGGAGTTTGCAATGGTGTGGTGCGCACCTCTTCTCTGTGACATGTTCTGGCAGAACTGGGTCTGAGTGCTGACTGAATTCCTGTAGACTCTGCTCGCATCTCCTCACAACTCTCCGCCTCGATTGTCTGCAGACACAAACAAAAGAACTTTCAAGACCTCGGATTCTTCTTCGCACAAACAGCAGGACTCACAGATTGCAAGTTCGGGCTGCGACAGTGTTGGTTTTCGCGACTATAGTCGTCATAGTCCAGCTTTGAGTGGAGTCTCGTCCCCATCTCCAATGGCACCCTCCACCACTCTACACGCTACACAGTACATGACACCACACACAGTGGACAGAAAAACATCCAAACTTAGACACAAGTGTCTGTTATATTTAGTGTGATGTGTCCTTGGTTCAGGGTATTTAACTTTCATGCAAGAACTGTCTCTGAAGAAAAGGTTTCTTATTACAGAGTGGTGTCACCAGTTAGATCTATGGGTGCTCTTGTTAGAGCGAGGTTCCACGTAGTAAAAGATACTGACTTGATGGAGGTCGTCTGTGGTGTGTGCATACCTTACCGCCTGTCCAAACCACCCACCCCCCACACCACCAACACAACAAACCCCAAACACAAAAGAAGTGTCGCTGTTTCTGTGGCGAAGTGTTCCTTGTAGAGGAGCCTCTTCTGCTCTCTCTCCATGCTGGTCTGGTAGAGGCTGTCTCGTCGACTGCCAGACTCACCTTCGTGGTGGCAGTCGCTGGCTGTGTCGTCTCAGCTGTCGACGCTGATCTCCTTGCCAAGCTCTGTCTTGACGTCATGAACAACGCATTCAACTCAGTGTGTGAGTCGGGCGAGAGAGAGGAGAGGGAGATTGGGGTCGTCCCTTCTTCCCTTCACACTAGTTTGGAAACAACCTCATTTCTCACGGACTGTACTTTCGTGATCTCGTCCTTGTGTTTGCCGCAATGGACCGCTCGCGCTCGTCAGCTGCAGGTCCCTCGCGCCTCCCTTATGTGTGCGAGACTTAAGCACTCATTGGCCCCTGCATCAGCAGTCACACAGTCCAAAGTCAATTGCGAGTAGTGGACGGCGTCGGATACAGGAACTACGCATATAGTTCTCGGGGGAAATGAGATGTCAGACTGTCCCTACGTAGTGTCCGAGTTGCAAGCAAACACCCTTCTGAGCCTCTCAATCTCATACAGCTGCACTCTCAAGCACACACTGAACACTGACAACAGCACCCATGGCACCCACGCCCCTCTCCCCTCCCGAGAGAGGAGAGAGAGCGAGAGAGCGAGAGAGAGCTGCTCACCATTGATGAGTGCTTTCTTTGGTGAGTCTCTGGTTGATCTCAGGTCTGTTGGTGATGTTCTGGCCCGGTGGGCATAGTCCAGCGTGGAGAGGGTCTCCTCGATGTTGCACACGGCGGGGCTGACCGTGGCAATGATGGAGGTCTTGGTCCGTCCTCCAGCGAGTCCCTGCGGATCCTCGTCAACTTGCTCTCACTGGACACACAGGGACACACAACATACATGCATGCATGCAGTGAGCAAAATGGTTTTAACGGGAAGGGAGCATTGCAGGGGATGCCTCATTTGACAAAGGTTTTTAACACGCAACAAGTACACTGCCAAATACTTGATCCTGCTCATTGTGTCACTCCCCTAAAATGTCTGTGTATAAAAAGATGTCCCAGGTGAAGGCAAGTCTAATTTTTGAGAATGTCAGGATTGGCAAAAGAGCGTGCAAGTTAAAGACTCCGTAGACTAAACCCAGGTAGCCAGTACACTGACCGATAGGGGACATGGGGAGCTCTCTCCACGAGGGAAGTGATGACTCGACCGAGAGTCAGCAAGCTCTGGTTGATCTGCCCGGCCTCTCTTGCCCTCTTGTCCACTGCTCCCCCGACCGACTGATGTTCTCACTCCCACGCACCGATCCACCTGTGAGACAGAAAAATGCAAACACATTTTTGGCGAGTTAAGAATATACACAACTGCAAATTTTTACGAGTATCTGAAACATTTAATCTTACTAACTACATACATATGATACACATTCAATATGGGAAGACATGTCACACAAATGCTAGAATGTTGTTGAAAAGACACTTACGCATGCATGTTAGCCCATGTTTTGCTGTACAGTGCTACAAATGTGATCTTAAGAAAGGTGACGTACAAGGTTGAGTTTTCCAGTCTTGAGCAGTTCCTCTCCCTCGATGGAGTTCTCCTTGATGTGGACGGTGACGGAGAAGACGGAGTGGGAGCGGGAGGACTGGGCGTTGAGGAGGGTTGCAGCCGTCTGTCTCCTGGCCCGACCCAGCTCCAGGATGGAGTACACCTCGTCTTTGGAGTGGACCTGGATCTCATCAAGACCATGGATCACCACCGAGCCCTGCACCAACACACACAAATATATGCAATATATGGATATTTCACCCCCCAGAATTAACGCTTACACAAACTTTAGTCAACGCTTGTGCAAACTTTAGTCACGAGCCGTTTACCCAGGGGAAATGCCTCTGACTCTCTAAAAGAGTGTGGTAGAGTCTTAACATACCTTCCTGGCAGAGTCTTCAAAGATCCTGAGTTTTGTCCCGGTCTCGTCCACCTGAGAGAGCAGGTCAAACAGCTCCTCGTTGTACAGTTCCAGGAACGAGACTCGGATGGAGAACTCCGACACATGCTGGACAACACACACACACACACACACACACACGACAGTCAGTCATTAGAAGAAAAGACACATGAGAGAGAGAGAGAGAGAGAGACCTGTGCTTCAATTTTCTGAAAGAGTTCGTGCAATGACCGTGGAATCACGCCAGCAAGTGGGTCCTGTAATAATATACAAATACACTGACTTCTGATAAGTTGTTGAATTGTGTGGTGTGTACCTCTTCCCAGGATAGTGAACCATCAGCACTCCTTTCTCCCTCCATTGTGAACGTCTTTCCAGTGCCAGTTTGCCCGTATCTAAAGATATTTTGTCATTCGATCCATGGGGCACACACAGAGCGACGTTTGAGCTTACGCAAACACAGTACAGTTGTATCCCATGAGAACCTCCTCGATGAGGGGCTCGACCACGCCACGATAGACGTCGATCTGTCTGGAGTCCGGTCCATAGACTTTGTCAAAGGTGAAGGTCTTGGTGGTGGTCTTGTCCCCCACTTCCTGCTTCACCTGCAGCTCTCCCTTCCTCGAGTTGCACTGCACCACGCTCTGGGACCCGCTCTTTTTCTCGTTGTAGTTTCGAGGCCTGGTAGTTGGTATTATAGGAAACTCATTGGCACGCTTCTCGAAATTTTCCAGATTCCTTACCGACATCGGACAACTACTTGGATGTTCTTCTCCTGGGGAGCTGATTGAGGTTTCCTTGCCTTCCCTGCTGCTCTCGCAAACTCCATGACCGACAGATTTCTGCTCTCGCGCTCTTTTTCAGATTTGAATTCTAATGTATTGCGCATGCGCATTAGTTCACGTGATCAAAATTGTAGCGGCCACTCCACTCGATTTACCGCGGGTCGGAGGTGAAGGTGAAGACACCCTATGTCGTGGTGATGTTTTCGTAGACAGAGTCATCGTCTGGGTCTTGCGTACAGCTCCATTGCTACTTCTAAAGTCAGAGACACACCTGGCAGTGAGTGAGTGTGAGTTCGTCCCGTGCCCCTTGTCCTTCCGTATTCATCGTCCCCTGTGTGTTCCGGCCGGCCCGGCACCGCAGTACAATAGCTCCAGGCATAGAAACAGTGTCCCCCTCAGCCTCCCTGGCGTGGTCTTGCAGCTAGCTACTAGATCTCCGTTTCGGACGACGCCCCGTAGCGAGAGACGTTACATCACACCTCGTTCAGGCTAATTGCAGGACCTACCGGCTGCCCACACCTCTAGCTCTGTGACGGGCTGGCCTCGTTTGGCTCTGACCCCCCAAGACAGGGAAAGCACACAGACCACCATGGCTGCCACTAGCTACAGGCAGTGGAGCGTGGACGACGTCACCAAGTGGCTCGAGTCCATACACCTCCACTGTCTCATTCCCACCTTTGAGAGGCTGAACATCGCTGGCTCGGACCTCCCCCAGCTGGACGACAGTTTCCTGAGAGAGAAGCTCCGAATCACCAAACCCGCGGAGATGATCGCCCTCAAGGGAGCCATTTCTAACTTGACAGACGCACCGCTGGCTACCACGAACAGAAAAGTCTCCAATGCAGTCGGTGGTGTAAAACCTGTGGAGAGGTCGGGGTCGTTTGAGAGGATAAAGACCTATCCACAAGTATCGAGAAAGACGACGAGCTTTACACCGACAACAATGCCGAGGAATTTCACAGTTCCGTGTGGCGAGAAGGAATCGATTGTGGGGACTCGCGAGCCCCAGCTCAAGAAGGGGGCGTCGGCTCCCGAGGTCCTGGACGACCGGTGCCGCTACAGCGGGTGGATACGCAAGCAGGGAGGCGGCTATAAGAGTTGTGAGTCCTCGTCCTTGTATGTGTGTGTGTGCTAAACATTCAGCATGATGTGTTCTGGGTTTGCAATGGTATCCTTGTCGTGTAACATATATACTATGAGATGTGAGCGAAACAAGCTAGGCCTTGTTGAGAATTTGTTAAAGACATGTAACGTGACCATGAGTAGAGCATGGTGGGGAAGTCCCTTAAAGGTGAGGTAATCACTGTTGAATTATAGAGGCACGATGTTGTGGGTGACATGTATATACCTGGCATCTGTGTGTAGCATAGTGCTGCAACAGTATTGACCCCTTGCTCTACATATGTACAACGTGTGTAGGAAGCTGGAAGACTTGGTTGTGTGTTAGAGAAACGTAGCTGGCCCAGGGAGAGCTTGTGAATTTCACTTGTCACACTGGATAGCTTCGATGAATTCCGCAGCTTTTTGACACTCTTTATGGAACCCTACTTGGTCCACACGATTGTCTTCTGCGTTTTCTACTTGTTCCGTCTTCTTCCGCCCCTCCCTTTCTCCTCTCTCCCCCCTCCCTCTCTTTCTACGATCTTACCTACCGGCCACTTTTTGTGTGTACTAGTGGACATACGTTGTGTGCAAGTTGCGTTGCTGGTAGCTGGGTTTGTGGCTGTGTAGCGACTGACGGGCAGGTGGTGGGTGAGTGTTTGTATAAGGTATATACAGAAAGGAGGAAACAGTGGGGCTTGCTCTACATAGTGAAAGCACGGGAAAACCGTATCGTAGTGTGGCTCACCAACTGCTACATTTATACCTACCTATACCCTCACGCTCATCTCTCCTCTTGCTGTTTCCATCCCTTTCCTTGCATTCTCTCAGCTACTATGTACGTATGCAAGAGATGATGTGAAATGGTTTTGCGGCACCTTGTGTGCGTTTGTAGTACGTAATTCAGTATAATTTACTCCCACTGTGTATAAAGTAGTATTTATGCTAGTATACACCCTTCATACTCTAATGCCTGTGTTTGGTGTTGTAAAACTCCATACAGAGTTAGCTTGCCTGGATTCTTGGACCAACCAAATAAGGTTGTGTGTGTGCATCTACGAAACATGCCTGTACGGTAAACTGGTCTTTACACACACACACACATCTGTATGCATGTGTTTTCCAGCATCATCCGTGTACTTCTAGACCAGTGGACAGGTAGTGTCCTCCTCTTTCCATTTACCTTTGTGTGCATGTTTGTTTAACAGCTTTTTTGCCAGGAGGCAAGTGGTATAATATGTCTTGCCTCATGTGTCATGACCTCCTAGGCGCAACCATCAGTGCATGTTATTGCCTCTCCAGACCTATGTAGTACGATTCCAGTACTGCACGTGAGAATATGCATTTCAAAGAGCGAAGCGATTGTACGTACGTACGTGGATGTCTGAGGAATTGCTCTAATTTGGGACGTTTATTAGCAGAATTCGACTGCGTTCTCTTTCCCATTCATTCATAATGTCACATTTCGTATTTGTTCAGTAAACCAACCGGACAGAGGCTCTCTCTCGTTGCCATCTATAATGGAGGTCTAATTTTACCCCCTCTATTTGGCCTCATTATTGATTCAACCAGATACACCCGTATGTAAGGCCTTCAGAACAGAGAGATACGTCTGATCAGGAACTGGAACCGCCCGAGTGGGGGGCTCTCCGTGTTTCTTTTGGAACTAAACTTTCGCTTCAGCATTCAACCTCTTGTGTGTTTACTATGGATGACTTCTGCGGTGGTTTCCTTCCGTGTACTGTATTGTGAGACAGGGTGTTAATATTAGTGTATGTAGTAAGTGCTTAGTTGAAGGATAGTGTTTAGGTTAATGTTGAAGGTTAGAAGGAGTGAAAGTGCAAGAAGTGATGTGTTTTTGTAACCAACGGTGGCAAAGTATAAATTTTCATCATGGTGTGCAGCTGTTGGTGCTGAAATTGATACACACATACGTACAATGGAAATATAAAGGTATGCACAGTAGACGTATGCTGGGATATGTGATTGATGTCAGTGCTAGGGCTGTTAGTGGTTGACATTAGGTTGATATAGCGAACGGTGTGTAAACTTTCCCTCGTTTTCTTACCGGTCCCTCAATAACTGCAGCGTGGACGAGTTTCAGTGGTGGACATCACCCAGTCACTCGCACTCCACGCACGCTTGCTTCTCACGTACCACTAGTTCCAGATCGTAATGTAATGAGAGCACTAGGTAGATAAAGAAAGGGGGGATAAAGTATATACCCTTCTTGCACACAAACATAAATGTGCAGATACATACGTTTTTAATAAACCGCAGTCGTATATTTTGCACATCTGTAGGTGCTATATAATAAGTACACAGGTTGAGAGCCCATCCCCCACCTTCACATTATCATGTTGAAGTGTTGAAGACTTGTGTACACCATGAGTGAAGGCGTATACAGCTTTAGAGACCCATTATCCACCTACACACTTTTTATATTGCCCACCATATTATCATCATGAATACTGGATGTATATTATACTGTATGCAGTGCTTGTCGTGTGGTGTAAGATATAGAGTGTTGCATGGCCAGCCAAGGGAGAGACCGTGTGTGCATTACCTAATACACCGTTTCAGTCTCTCATAGCTATATACAGTGGTCAGGGGGGCGCTTTGTAGTCCTCCAATTTCAGTTGATTGTTTTGTTTCCTCCAAACACATTCCTGGGCACAAATTAACACTATATTTCAGCTTCCTGTTGTTGCACAGTCTGGGCTCTTTCCCTGTGCACCAACCTCTTCTGCTGTGTGCTGGTGTTATCTTTCTCTTCTTCTCTCCTCCTCTCTCCCTCCTTTCCTTCCTTTCTCCCATTCCTCTCCTCTCTCCCTCCTTTCCTTCCTCTCATCTCTCTCTCCTTTCTCCCATTCCCTCCTCTCTCCCTCCTTTCCTTCCTCTCATCTCTCTCTCCTTTCTCCCATTCCCTCCTCTTCCTCCCTCCCTTCTTTCCTTACTTCCTCCCTCCCTCCCTCCTCTCATCTCCATACACCATTACAGGGAGAAAGCGCTACCTAGTCTTGAGATTAGGCTGCCTCTACTACTTTGCAAACGAGACGGCCAAGGAGCCCAAAGGATGCTTCACTCTCGCCGGATACCAGTACGTATACATACATAATTACATCCATAATGTTTATTCTGTGTTTTACATGTATTTTACTGATAATGATCGTGTTACAGTTTAGGAGGAGTGTGCCTCCGTATAAGGCACGTGTACACTTCTAAAGACTATTGTTTGTCCACATTAGCTATATTATATTCTGGAGCTGTTTCGCCAGTTTTGAATATCTATATACAGTACTCCTACCCTCACTCCTCCCCTCCTCTTCCTCCTCTCCTCCTTTCCTCCTCCCCGTCCTCCTTTACCTCCTTCCCTCACCCCTCATCCTCTCCCTCACCTCCTCATCCCTTACCCATCATCCTCTCCCTCACCTCCTCACCCATCATCCTCTCCCTCACCTCCTCCTCCTCCTCCCTGTCCCCACAGTACAGAGATATGCAATGATCCGGAGATTCTAAAGAAACAGACGTGGACTCTCAAAGTTGAACCAATCAACGGTACTCTCAGAACGTACTACATGTCTTTTGGAGCAAAACGAGAGCTCCACGTAAGTCTCAACCCACTCTTACTGTATAAGCCAGTCGGTTGGTAATACATTTCGTGGCTGACAAAATGTACATTCACAAGTCAGTAACAAATACCAGGAAATTTTACGGAGAAGCTTTTTACTGAGTGCCGGTCAATTTTAAAAAAAAGCTTTTGGAAGTAGGCTCTAATTCTTTCTTACTTAGAACATTTCCTGGTGTATATAGCTTTACTCCAAATGCGAGTCTGTCAGTGCGTGAACCGTAACAGTACATTGAATGTCATTGCTTTGTTATTGTGTGTGTGTTGTATACATAATGGTGGGGTGTGTTTACATATAATATTGTTTTGTGACTCAGGCATGGAAGCAGGCAATAGACGAAGAGATAGCCGCCTGTGCTAGAAGGTACGGATTATATAATTAGATACTCTCATGGGCAGGGATGATACAACATTTTTGAGTACCTGATTTACAATCATGCAGATTCCAATATGTAAGGTTGTTATGACTCCGCCATAAGTAATTATTATCACTCGTGCGCTCATGTATAATGTCTGCACTGTTTGTAATCACAATCTTTGTTCTGCCGCTCGGACCTTAACACACACAATCATCCTATGACATAATTACCAACATGTCAATAAAACATTTATTGCCCAGTCTATATTTGTTGCTGGGTCAGATATACCCCGTATCATCACAGCACAGAAGATTAATTTTGCATTCTGGTAGGATGAGAGTTGGAGCAATTGAAGGCTGGTGGTTATGATCACTGCCATTGATTGTGAACAGGACAAACATGGCTGTATTATAAGACCGTTGACCAATAATTGACGAGTGAAGCGAGCCTGTACTTAGTCGCCTAAATTACGCCGTTTCCATGTTTGATTTACTCGACCGACTGACCCTGCACCATGACAATACACGTGCACGAACATCACATGTATATGTACAGCAGTTCAAAGGTCGCTTCATTCGCCAATAATGTGTTGCATGTATTTTTTTATGTGTCATGTGTACGTCTCAGCGGGAAAGGTGTGTCCAGTGTGTCAAGTGTGGCTCTGATGTATGTATGTGTATATAACCACAGACCAAAGTACAATGACAGAGTACCAGGAGGAGGGATGGTGGTGGCAGACGTGGGTGCGATAGAGGAGGGGAGCAGCGACGAGGAGGGGGATGAGGAGGAGCCCATCTACGACCAACCCGACGAGGGAGACGAGGACTTCAACGAGTAAGCCCCTGAGTTGTACCACACCTAATTACTCTGGCTGGTGAACTTCACTCTTTTTTGCCACTTTTGTTGCCTTTCCTTTTGTACTAAGAGAGATGAACGTGCTTCTATTGCCCCATCTGCACCAACAGCTCATGCATTCACATTAATCGTGCCTGAGTCCATATGACAGACCATGAGAAGTGGTGATGCATGTGTCAACTACGAGGTAGAAAGGCACAACAAACAAGTCGCGTGTTGTCACACTTAGGAATGTCAAGTATTTATGCTTTAGGCAAAAATCCATGGTCAACCCTTGAGAATTTGATGTGTATTTAGTAGTTGGTCGCGGCATACATAGGTGTTCATGGTTCAGGCTTGCGACAATTAGTAATTACGGCAAGAAATCTATCGGGGAGCGTGGAGGAGTTCATTTGCACGCACTCCCGCCAATGTCAGGGACTGGGTGTACATGAGGTGGTGAATACATGCAGTGCAAAGCACTCTGGAAGGCTACAGAAGCAGGAGAATAATGGTATATACAAGTGGACTTGAGCAGGCAGAGTGCATTCTTTTGCACATACACCTGCTGTTAGGAGACGAGGCAAACGTCGGTGCCCATCCTCCCCACAATAAAGTAAAACCCAGGGCTTATGTGTATGTATAATAAGCCTCATTAAGTGAGGTACAATACAACACAGGGGCTTGCAGTGTTGGGTGAGGGGCCTGGAAGAATCACGTCGGCTCTTTGCCGTGACTTACGCAACAACAGACTGTAGCTTGAATTTCTCACATAAAGCAATCGCGATTTCCGCTTTGAATCCAGCGAAACTCGTAACAACAATTACGCCTCGTATTTATGTAAAGACCCTGTGCCTTTAATGGACATAATGGAGGGAGTGGAGTCTTTGATGTCGATACATAATGATTTCGGCAAGTCGTAAGGCGCCACCTTTTCTTTCGGAGTTGTGGGAGGTATGTATAATTAGTATAATATATATTATATATATACATATACACCAGACAATTGGGTCCCGCCCTCTGACAGCTTAGCTCCTGCTGAGTTGCATGTGGCACATGGACATGTATGGACATGGAGCTCGCGTGTGTACGCATTGCAGAGTCTCTGTGTTCATTTCGTGTGCGCAGTGCTGTAAAGCCAAACACTGGGACTCTGCTTATATGGCATAATAATTAATGTGTGCCTCTCCGTGCGTGTCATGTCTGCGTGTTTTTCCCCAGGGACGGCCAGTCTCCGATATACGACCGTCCAGACGATGAGGAGGAAGATGACCCTTACTGGTGAGCCCACCTGTACTGTGTTACTTCATCCATTATTGTATGTGTATGTTACAAGTACATGTATGTATGTATGTGTATGTTACCAGTGCCTATATATGTACGTATATATTGTACCAGCACTAGTACTGTATCAGCCCCCAGTGATACATCCTGTTATCAACCTCCAGCAGTGTCCTTTGTTGAGGTTGTGCAAGTCCTGGGGAGGGGGGAGGAGAGGGAGAGGAGGGAGTTTTCACATCACAGGATAAATGGGGAAGTAGAGAGGCTTCATTTAGGGAAAGAGGGATGGAGAGCGAGGGAGAAATGAGGTGTCCAGGAAGTATAGCATCTCATACTTAGCAGGGGGGAAGGGGGGTGGGGAAAGGACCTTTTCTTTATTATGTGATAGCATTTTTGGTAAGTGAGTTAGCATGCAGCAGTAGATCATCAGGCTTGGGAAGTTGGTGACCTTCCTTTTCCTGTAGCTATATACAAATTTGGTGGCATTCACTTAATTGTTGACTGAAATTCTTTCCATTTTCCCAGACAGCGACCACAATTACCATAAGTCTATAACCAATTGTGGTATCGATGGTAATAAATATTTTCCCAACTAAATTGCATACCATAAACATATTAGAGCAGATTATTTTATAAGGCGTATCCTGAAGATTATGTACATGTTTAATGAGTAGATAATGACAGGTGCTGCTATAATTAGCACTCTCTCGTTCTGCTTGGCCCTTATCTCTCCATTCATCCCTCCCACCTTTTCCTCCCCTTCCTCCCTCACCCTCCACTTCCTCTCCTTCTTCCCCCTCTTCCCCTCCCTCTCTTCCCCCCCCTCTCACGTCTTCTCGCCAGTGAGATTTCCGAGGAGGTCATCCCTGGACTGCGTCCTCCGTCTCCCCACGCCACCCTCCCTACCACTGCAAAGGGTGGGCCCATGGCCGTCAAGTCTTTCAAGGGAATCGACGACTGGGAGTTGGCACCGGAGCATAGAGTACTAGGTGAATGTCGTACTCTTTCTAAGGAAGCACTAATTATGCAGGTCTAATTTAAGACTCACCCGTGTAACTAGAATAATACCTGTATAATAACCAACTATGTTGAGAATTTCCAGTGCGGCATATTATGGTGGTGGAGCTCAAAGCTGCATAGCTGTTTCTAGCAAAATCTAGCAGGAGAGAGGGTTGTGCCAAGATTCAGGATCATCGTCCTTTTTATACCCTCCCTTGGTGTAATGAGAGCTTTGTGTGCAAAGTGTAGCTTACACGTTGGTACGCAGCATAAATATTTATAAGCTGTCCATGTACAGTAAGGGGTGCCAGCGTGTATACATACACACCCTATGGGGATGGATTCCACACATGTAGAGCATCATAGACACATCCCTGTATCGGACAGAACCCTATGGGGATGGATTCCACACATGTAGAGCATCATAGACACATCCCTGTATCGGACAGAACCCTATGGGGATGGATTCCACACATGTAGAGCATCGTAGACACATCCCTGTATCGGACAGACAAAAGAGCTGCAGCGCACAGCGCTAACAGACAGGGCTACTCCTCTCTCTCTGTCCACTGTCTCATATAGCTTGCATGCGAGCATGTGCTTTTGGTACCAAAACGAAGCAATGAGAGGCAAGCTGTCGCTCGTCGCTCTGTTTTTCGCGTCTTTTCCGTGCAAATATCCCTACAAAAGTGGCGTGATACGTTCAACACATGTCCAGCAGAAATGGCATGGCAGGCTGTGTCATACAGTAGGATTTAGCCCAAGACTTTTCTGCAGGTGGTGGTAAGGGAGGAGCACCCACTGTCCCCATGAGGTCTCCGGTGTCCCTCGGACTAGACCATAAACAAGGTACGTATGTAGTAAAGTTAAATTAATCGTCTGCCCCATTCTGTATGTACGTATATGTCATATGATACCGATAGATAGCCCACTCTCTTTCCATCGTGCCACTCTCTTCCTCCTCTCCTCCCCTGTCTTGTAGTAATACACATATTGTCACACGCACCAAAAACAGTCCAAGAAATTACTCTGTGCATTCTGGCGTGGTCTAACATATGATGAACAGTCTGTGCAGTACGGCGTGAATCAGGGGGTGTAAACACAGCGCCACAGGTGCGTATCAAACAATTCAGCGACGCCGCGTCCCAGAATAGTATAACACCCGCTAGAATGTACAAAACTACATTATGTACTACACACCCACACACTTGTGGACACGTGTAAACAGTCTGTGCAAGTGGTATGTACATAAAGCTATACACACGTAAGTACACGTCTGTGGGTCCAGACACTCGGTGGTGACGTCGTATACGTACGTACGCCGTCTCGTGGCGTTCTCGCAGTGTTCGGTAATCCTCCTGGGAAACAATGTTCTCTGGGATGGAGGTGGAAACCAGAGTGTAACAGTATGCCATTCCCCAGTAACCAGAGTACACTATAGAGCGAGGCCACAGACCTTCCCCCATACACCTGCAGTGGAGTGAGACTGAGGGAGAAACTGGTCGAGGGAGAGAGAGAGGAGGACGAGGAGGTGTTGGTTTCACTCACTCACACTCTACGCACATAAACACAGAGTATATACAGGATGGCTAATAGAGCACTGCAACCGTTTTTGCTACGTGGTGTATGTCGTAAGCAATGCTGTTGACCAGTTATATTGCATGTGGTGGTGAGAGACTCTGACTGAAAGGAATGAGGTGTTGGGATTCACTCACCCACACTTTCCAAACACAAGCATAGAGTATTTTTGTTTGTATGCATTGGTAGTGCGGTGTAAACATAGCTGTGGCCGCATGTTGTAGTAAGAGAGATGCTGACCAAAGGGGTGAGTATACCTGCGCTTTCCACACACACACACAAACAGGGCGCCAAATGGTCATGCATTTATATGTACTTTTGTATGTATGCAGGTAGAGCTCCACATTTTCATGCCACTATCCATTGCGCTCGTACATTGTCCTCTATATAGCTGTAGTTGCACGTAACATTCTGCACTTTGAGTTTCAAGTATACTCGGTCTGAGACTTACTCAGAGCACCACTCTGATCGCCGGATTCATCCACGTCCAAGTACTAGCTGTACTTGCTCACCCATAGTATCGCATCATCAGTGGTAGTGTACTTACCAGACTACCTCTCGCATGGCCTCTCTTATTACTTTTTCCACCGCCACCTCGGTCCGGCTGGTAGCGAGTCAGGTCAGTGAAACTGGCAGAAGATAGGGGTGTCGCGGACTGGCTCGGTTTACCTCGAAAGACGACACCGCCCGTAGCGTATCGGTTTACGTCGTCCCGCATCGAGAGGTGTTCTTACTCACCTTTTTTTCCCACCACATCCTCTCGAACAGAGTACCAGTGGCCCATTTGATCACATGGTTCACACACTTTGGGTGCATTCCTAGGGAGTAAAGTAGGACCCCCAGTGCTGCATTACGTTTGCATGTGTACTACACTCATGTTCTGTTTCCCCTCCCTCTCCCTCTTTCATTCGGTCTCTCTTCTCTGTGTACTAGTAGTTGTAAGGAGGGTCCGCAGTAGTATATACAGTATTCCTCATGGAAACGGCATGGTAGTGGCATGACGTTCCATACATCTATTACTATGCTTCTCTCCACCTTCTCTCCCTCCCTCGTGTCTCATTATAACTTGTGTGTTTGTCACCCCCCCCCCACAGCTCCCCGATGATGGTAGGTAGAGTAGGAAATCTGGAGGAGATGGGTGAAGAGACCTACCTACCCATCATAGGCTCTGGTCCCTCAGAGTCTTCCTCCTCCATCACCTCAGAGAAGACCAAGTGAGTCAAAACACTTTCATTTGCCATCAAATACCAGCCAATGGTACTCCTAAACCTTTCTCTGACAGTAGCAGGAAAATGACATGAGAACATTTTGCAAATGGTTCTCAAACGTAAAAAAAAAAGTTCTCCCTTACAGTTTTTTTCATGCAGTTGTAGTGTACAAAATGCGCCACTTGCTGCGCAGCTCTCTGGCCCACTGCTGTTTGTGTCCATGTCTCCTCTGAATAATACATATACACAGATGTATAAATGCGCTGTTCATGAGTGCATCTGCATACCTGTGTGTGTGTGTGTGGAGTGCATGTGGAAAAGGCGAAAGCGAAAATGGTTGGGCACGTACATGTGCGTGTTTGTTTTGGCGGTGGATCCTCCACGACAGCTGTGCAAAGTCAGGGCCGGGAATGCAGCAAAATTCGCCTTTTCATTCCACCTACACACTCCCAACACGGGATACTGACAAACTGCAGCGATGTGTGGCATCACCTCCCACTACTACTAGCAGAGTGTTCTGGAAGGACAGGGGAGGAAACCAGCATTTTACATCTCGTTACCTTGATAACGAGATTTATGTAGCTTCAGTGATCAATTCTACATCCTAGAAGAAAATGCTGGAAAAAACCCGTGTGTATGTGCAAAACAAATCTCTATCTGGAGCACAGTTTTTACTCAAACCTGGAGTGTAGAAAGTGCTTTAGTTTTAGAGCAGCAACAACATCGATATTAGCATGCCAAGATGCTATTCAATTACGGTTTCCACTGGCCGCACGACTTGGCTTGCTCTCACTCAGAATGAGTGGGAGGAGGAGCGGGGCCGTGGCAAAACGTGCCACAACCATTTTTGATATGTGTGGCCGGCTAAACAGATTTCCAGGCTCTCTTTGACAGCGGTCGACGTTTTTAACTCGATCACACAATTAATTTCATTTGCTCCCCGCGCCCCTTCGTTCGTGCACGCCGCTGGGCTGGGCAGTTTGCGACGCTCTGCCGTGCCAGCCATTGGGTGGGTGTGGCTCCGTCTGTATTGGGGCGTGGCTAAATTCCTACCAGTCTGAGTGGGCGACCGACTGCTGGGGACCTGTCTATATTAAGCCAGCCTCAAGTGGCTGTTCTGGATCATTTGTTTCTGTGGTCGAAGGCCCTTGCTTTGTGTTTCGTGGGTGTGTGCCTAACCACATTAACGTTGAAGTGTCTCACCCACGTGTTTGTGTGCATTTCGGCTAATCCACCGTACACAAACAACGCATACTCGGGCTGCATGTGCTGGCGGGCTCTGCGTGTATGTGTGCCTCGCGTATCGCCGCCTGCGTGCACGTCACCTCGGAGGAAGATGGACGCCTTGTCGGAGAAAGACCCAACAAGCGTTTGATTCCCAGGCCCCTGTATCTGCCACGCCCACTCATTGCCACGTCGTTGGCCAACGGCGGGGGTGCCAGGTCTGTATATGTGCGTCGGTCTGCTAGTGTTTAGACTGCCGGTCGGCTCCGTTGGGTGTCCGGTGCATTCCTCTCACTGTGCAGCACACGGTGGTATGTGTGTAGTACATCCACCTGCATGTAGTCGATTTCATAGATTGCTGCACATGGTCCGTGTGACTGCGTCCCAACGAGATGTGTATCCCTCTGCCGTGTTGTTTTTCATTCTTCCCTACTTGTTTTGTGATGGCCGTATCACTCCTCCACTAATTGGGTGCCTTCCTCCCTACCTTCTTACCCCCCACCCATGTCCGATACTGCAGACACCTGCCACTGAACCCATGCTTTCCCTCCTCCCCCTCCCCCTCTCTCCGTCTCTCTCTCTACCTTCCTCCTTCTCTCTCTCTCTCTCTCTGCCTATCTCCCCGTCCCAGGCTTTACTCGCCTCCGCATAATCCGATCATGGAGAGACCCGAGCTGGATCAAGACTACGAGGTGCGTTCCTAAACATTCATCCGTGCAATTTCTAGTGTGTTACAGGCACTCCTTCGTCTGTCCGGCATTTCTCATCCATCACACACGACGTATTATTAGAGCATGTATGTGTTGCATAACTGTGTAATAATTATTATGGATGCAGTGTTGTCGTTATTGAGTGGAAGTATCCGTGTTATGCTATGCATGGCTCTCCAGCTGGGTGTGTGCATGGTTCATGATTTGTCCACTATTGTATCCACTCAATGTGTACAAACAAGGGTCGAGAGGGAGAAACGTACCCCAGTCGAGGATGCTCATGATCCGTGTGGGCAGCTCGCACGCCCTGCCCTCTCTTCCACGGCTTCCACCGCTGTAGAACCATGTACATACTTACAATCGCTACTTGTTGGATATCCCTAAGCAACCGACATGTATGAAGCTACGTACTGGGGAGCATATACTATCCTGCGCAATGTAAGGTGGGTTCATACATGTCGGTTGCTAGGGATATCCAACAAATCTGTTGCAGTACCCAGACAGGACAGCATTCGCCCTTACAGGGCTCGTGCTGTCCTGTCTGGGCACTGCAACATATACATACTCGATTGCAGCTACATACATACAGTAGGCCTTTACTATACAACCCCATACATACATACACAGTTACATGTACATGTCCTTGGGCATTATACTTTAGTCGTGGCTGTGGTTTGGAACCAGGAAACAACTATATCCTCGAACTAGTATGTCATTTTGCGGAACAGTGCATGTGGCATCAGGTATCTTGGTCTATCAATACACACGCGAGCGAGAACTCGAGCTTTGCTGATAATCTTGCTACAAACCAGTTAAAGCACTGTTCATGCTCTACTGTGGAATCGAGAGCCGATAATACATTGGGCTACACCTAATCGCCTCGACAGCACACCACATTCAATACATACGTGTCCAATAATGCCACATCAGTTTCCATAGTACACTTGCACCCTGCTGTAATGGATGCCCTTCCAAATTTTTGCGATTCGCTTGATGTTTGTTGTTCCGTTGTCAGGACGACAAGGCTCTGGACGGAGAGGACTACGGAGGAGACGACAGTGATGCCTACTACGTCGTGTTCCGCAAGCCCGAGGAGCTCATGCCGCCGTCGTGCCTTTTCGACAACCTCGATCGAGCCGAGGCTGACAGGTATATATATATATATACAGTCACTACTACGTATCCTACTTACTAATATGTAGTGCCATAGTATCTAATGGAGAACTAAGTCAAAAGAACTCATGCAGGAAAGATAGGAGAGGGAAATGTGCCATTGCTTCATCACAACATAACAGAAACACTGGCAAAAAAAAGAAGAAATTGGGCTATCAGCGGCATTAGCCATGTGCTCTCTGTGCCTGTGAGGAAGAACGTTTGTTGTTGAATGATGCTCTTTCTAGGTATTAAGGGTGTAGATACTTCCACTGAGATGACCCTGAAGGCACCTGTCAGTCTGTGCACAACGTATTTCCACAGAAGAGCATCCTGTAGATGGCGTCTCTTCACCGCCTTAGATAATGTGTTACCCACCTAGTAGGCTCCCCCTAGATGTCATGTGGGGGGTTTTCAGCGGAGCAGGGAAGTTGTGGGTAACCTTCCTTCCCTCTTTTACTGAAGTTAACATTGTGTATTGCTGCTGCTTCCTGGCTAAAATCCTAATATGGGCTTCTCATGTGTTGTGCGTACGTGTACATAGTGTGTTTACTGTGTGTCTTCCATGCACACTGCAGGTTACTCTACATGTAGGCTTCATAGGTGTTTTATATATTATGTACATGTGTTGCGTATCTGTGCACACAACAGGTTACTCCGTGCTAAAGGGGTTAACGGGACGTACCTCATCCGGGCCGGGAGCCGTGCCGGCTCCGAGAAGGTTCTGTCGGTGTGGCACGAGGACAGGTGTCGTCACTACAAGCTCTTCAAGGACGAGGTACTATATTATTATGGAACACACTTACTGAAAACATTACCTACTTTGCTACTCGCCTGACGTTATGATACTAGAGCAAATTCAATGCATTTGTTGCCAACCAGCGAACGTAAGTATCTCGTAGAGTGCGATCTTCGAACCATCCATTATGTTGTGTTGGCTCATGCGCATTGTCAAGAGACGTCAGCATTCAGACGACTTGTATCACCCACCAATTATGCATACCATTGCAGAGAATCACAACTTGGTATTGGAGGTATGTAGCTCTACTGTGTAAACTTGGGCAGTGATTGCATGCTTCTGCAGGTTGCCTAGCTACCGTTGTTGGGAAAGTTGGTTGCTAGGAACTTTTTGTGCAGGGTTAAGACTGCTACAAAATATGCATGGAATGACGCACACACGTGTGATTGAAGCTATGGTGTGATGGAAGCTGTGGTGGGGACCGAGGTAGTCGGTCACACGGGCAAATGCCGGCAGAGAAAGGCATTAGGACTCGATTCTCAGAAAATAGGAGGAGAATGTTGCTTTTCTGATTGCGCTATATTTGTTGGTTGCTAGGAGTTTATGCGAAGGGTAAGACTGCTGCAGAACTGTGCACGCCACCTGTCGGCTAGGGCTAGCTTATGGAAGTGAGTCACGCCACCCTGTCGGCTAGGGCTAGCTAGCTTATGGAAGTGAGTCGCGTCATGTGGAGGGAAGCCTGGGTAAGGACTCTTGCACCTGTCTGCTCGTGTGAACTGAACATGGCAAAGGCCAGCGGGATATTATGCAAGGGTTTCTCAGAAGTTTTGAGGAGGATGTTCCTATTATAATCGTGCTACCCCTGTTGCCACTTGTGGTTTAGGGAATGTCCCAAACTCCCAACTCGATTTTGGTGCCTCTTATTTGGGCACGATTCATAGAGGAAGTGTCTGCACATTGGTTACCCAGGGAACAACTGTTTGTGATAAAGACTTGGTTACGGCAGAAATCTTTAGAGGGAGTAAAAAATTTACCCAATCAGTGTTGGGTGGCAACTACACTATATGCATTGTTGGCATTTTTGATAGGAAGTGGTGGTAGACTATTGGTTGCTGTAGCTTCTGATGAAGGAATGCTGCAGTAAACTTACTGAGGGGGGCAAATGTTTCGAATCAGTGTGAAATGAGAAAAATTTCACAAATGGATTGGTTGTCCAATTGAAAAATAGACCTCCCGTCTCACGAAAGTCTCTGTTTTGCAAGATTCCTCAAACAGTTCCCACTATAATTTCGTGTTAAAAACAAGAAATACTCCGGATAAGGTGTATGTGAAACATAATATAACTGTGGGAACTGTGTGGTGAATACGTATTATGTTGGTATATCTACAATTGGCCCGGCGGTAGTAGCGAGTGAACTGGTTTTGTTCACGGAATAATCCCTCCCGGGAATTAGTTGCTGATCGATACCATATCCACTCATTACCTGCTGTTATTCCATGCACATAACTGGCCTTTTCTCAATCACTGCTCAAGCCTCCCCCCACCGCCAGCCCTCCCGCTGTAACACAAGCATGATTGCACCGGCGTGCCGCTAGACCTTTTGCTTTTCAGTGGCCTTGTTATACGAGTGCCCCCCCATGCCCCACCTGTCTCTCCTCTACTCCCACTGCTCTTGTTTCCACTGTAGAATTCGCAGTATTCGCTGACACAAGGACGGACGTTTGGGACCATTCCAGAGCTCCTACAGAACTACTGGCAGAGCGACACTCTGCCACGTTCAGACTTTCACCTGACGGAGCCTTTTTACCCAGATCGCTAGCAAAAACGACCTGCATACCTGGGTTTTTTCTCCGATTATTTGCCATTATTGTCTCTGTAAAGGATTGTTTAGTGAGCCCACCCGTGTGTTCTGTACGTAACGTGTGTGTGTGTGTTTCATGTGTACGTTTGTGTGTGTGCGAACGGTTTGCACAAGTTGACTGCCACCTCTTGTTGCTGTGTCGAGATCAAACAGTGAGCTACTCCTTTTGTCAGAACACTGTTCATCCTCATCACTAGCTCCTCATTTTCTTTTAGTCTTATATGATCACAAGTGTATGCACACAGACTACTTTTTCCCACTTATTTTTGATACTGCTCTACCAATTTTTCTGTTTTTTGTATGTGTATTGTATGTTTCGCAAGGTACATGAATGTTCACACGACGCTAGTGACATTTTTGCAATTGCTAACTCAAACATCGTGTCGTAGGTGTGTTCGAAAGAATGCAACACATTTTTGGCAAACGAAGCGAGCATGACTATTTTGCACGTTTTTACGTGTGTTTAGAATCACGCAAACCTTACGGTATGTGTTGGTCGATTCCGCACTCAGACTACTAGGCAGACTCGCTTTGCTCACCAATAAAATCTCAGGATGCAGAGTCTTGGTGATGGGCAACGATGCTCTTTTCCAAGTGGAGACTGAATGCTTGTTTCGAAACCATTTCCAAGTGTGTGTGTGTGTGTGTGTGGTTATTCTTGTGCCTTCTGCAGGTAGTGCACCTTCCAATTGGCGTGTTGTTATCCAATAGCAATGTCATGCCCCCAGTAGGCCAGCATCTGGAATGTGGCAGCTACGGCATTCGATGCTCCTCGACAGATCGCTAGTTGTACAATGCGGGGGGTCACGCAGCAATCCGAGAAATAACTGTCTCTCCCAAGATATAAATGTAGTATTGTTGACGCACATGAAGAATGAACGATTTGCAGTAGATTCTCAGGGTAAATTAGTCGAGTTTTCTATTGGTGGATATTGTCGACAGGTGTGCGCGTGGTGGTTGATGTGTACGTAGTTAATGTGCTAATGATGCGGCTCGTATTGCATACCAGCGGAACGTGGGCCGTGGCCGGTGAAACACCCGTGTTTTAGAATGAGACAGTGATGGTGTAATAACGGCTATTGAGCAATTTGCCTGTGTGCGAGCATCAAACAGTAGTAGGAGTAAAAATCGGACATTGAAGAGTTTTCTATGAGCCCCCACTGTGCGACTGGCTGAAATTCCTGTAACTGGAGGTAGTAGTTTCTGGCCTGTGCCAAAGAGTTGTTGAATTCACTGACCATGACGGCGGAGGAGGAGGTGTATTGGAGTACAGTGCCTCTCACTCACCACGGCGTCCGAGTCAAACTGAAGGGAGTGAGCCGACACCTGGCCAAGTGTGTGTGGCAACAAGACCCCCCCTTACTGTGTCCCATCCAGCACTGACTAACCACCAGGAATGCACCCTTTATCCACAACTGCTGCCTCTATTTTCAATGCTCCACCACTGTCCCCTTATTATTCTTTAATGGTGCAACGGCAGCCCTGTGATCACTGCAACTGTATCAGCAAAATCCAACCGCGTATCCCGTTTCAGGCATGCCAGACGCCTCGTATGACAAGGTGCAGTGAGAGGCGGCTAGAGCACAGAGAATTTGCCCTGTCAGTATAATCTCTACCCTACCCTCCCTCCTGCATGCAAATGTGTGCTAGTAGACCAAAGCGGACAGCAGTGGTTGGTGGAGTGTGGAAATGGCCTTGAAACCCGATCCACTTTTAATCGCTTCCAGTGGAGTACTCTGTGTACTCAGCTAACCACACAGTTGTGTTTGCCCGTTGCCCGCAATGCCTAGTGTTGGAAGGAACGCCAGCTATTTCATCTGGGTCCTTACGTGATTAATAGAGCAATGTGTTTGTGCCGGTAGATTGATCACAGTTTTCAAAATGTGTGTGTGGATCTGTAGAGGACCCAATTCTCCAGAGGCCAGCACTGAGGACCCATTCTTTCCACCACCCTAACTAGTGTGGGCTGCATAAGCTGCACGGTTCTAGACTAATCACTGGTCTATTATGCGCATTCCCCTCTCAGTCTCTGTATTGTACTTGTTAGTCTGTTGAACACACACACCCTTAGCATTAAGTGCCCTCCCTCGGTAGGCATAGGTTTGTGCAACGTAATATCAGCAAGTGTGCACATATCAGTGTGTAGGAGACGATATATACGTAGCCAGCCATTCAACTGGCTAGAATTGTGGAGTGCACAGCCAAGCAAGTTGAAAAGACTGAAGCTGAAGAGAAAGAGAGAGAGTGCACGTACGGGGAGGATCATGGATACGCCTTGTCCTGACAGATGATACACTTTTCCTTTGTAAACATTGGATCGCACTAGTGAAGGTGCAACCCCGGGCTCCTTGTTCGTGTTGGCGAGCGGTTAATTACGTGCTTTGCGGCTTTGATGGCAATTGCGTGTGAATGGAAACCACAAGTGAATCTGGGGAGCAAGTTTGGATCTTGGACTCACATCAGCTCACAAATGCAATAATTGTTCTTCCCCAGTGGGCCGTGGGCCCGGGCCGGGCATTGTTGTGGATGCCAACGTGTGGGGGCAACAAAGGGAAGTGCAGCATGCATACCCGGTGCTCAGCTAGCGGCTCGGTGTTGTGGTGTGAAAACAGAAACCATTCCTCTTGAGTTTATCAACATCCCCTTTTACAGAGGACACTGGTTAGTGTTTGGAGCTCAGGGACCGTTTCCAAACACAGTATATATTAGCCTCTAATGACAAAATTGGTATCAAATTGGTCTTAAATATGATAATTGAAAGCATTGTCATATACCCTTTTCCGGTGATTGTTTTCTATTTCCAGACTGGATAATTATAGCAACTCGGACCAAACTTCACGAATTTTCTTCTTTTGCATCACTTTCGTTATACATATACCCCTAATAACTTTAGAGTGGTGTTGTATCACTTGGCAGGGGTGACCCTAACAGAGTTAACTGCATGTACTTATAGAGCGTGCCCCCTCATGGTGCAGTGGTCCGCCTACCAAGGCGAGGTCCGCAGAGCGAGACAATGTTCCTGACTCGGTTAAATTGCATCCTTTGCCACCTAGAAACTGGCACCAGGTTACGTTTTGTGTTACTTTCACGGTCGACAGTTGCCAGCCATATACCACATACTTTCGCCGGAAAAGTTTTGGTCGCAGAGTGCAAGTTTTATGTGCACGCATTATAATATATTATGTTGGCATGTGGCTTTGATGATCTCATCTAGCCCATAGTCAGTTGGCCACCCAGGTCTGCCTGCACAAGAGAGTGTGATTGCAGACAGTCTGGTGGACTGTTAGCATTGCAAACTATGCACAGGTGCTTACATATGCACACACACTCCCTCTACCTCTTGTCTGTATTATGAAGAACAATGCTGCACATGTGTGTTCAATTATGCACTAGTGCTGCATGGATCATGCAGTAAGTATTGGATTAAGGTGAACTATGTGCCAGTGTCCAAACTCTGTCAGCACACTTCTCCACACACACACAACACACACATCTATCGCTACAACCTGTAACAATACCCAAAAAAAGCTCCTTCCTTCACTCTCCATGAATATTTGCAGGTAAGTCAGCTCAAGTTCCCCCTCCCTGGAGCCCTCAGGGCCCGAATGCATACGTAGGAGGTGCCCAGAGCTCTAGCTATCATTGCCACTTGCAACATAGCTAAAATTGTAATGGTGGTGGGAAGGTGTATTACAGTAGACTCTGCTGTGCATATATAGCTGCTAACTTAGCACGTACACACAAGCACACTTAGTCATAGGAAGCGTCCTCCAAAAATGGCGGTAGTATACATGGATCATGTTGTGTCGGGTAAGCCAGATAACCCCTTTATAATATATAAACACATGACTTAGTTGTGTATTGGTTTCAGCATTAGTAACACACTATGTATGCAGCAGAGATTTCCTGGCCAGCGTCTGCATGAGGACGAGTTTCGGGGCGTGTTTGTTGTCAGTTGGAGCATTTCGTTTGGAGCCCGCACATTATCCTGCCCTGCATGCCTGTCTGTGGTTGCAGGCCAGTTTTCACAATGCAGTTGCTTATTACCCACACAACACAGTGGGACGCCCATTGGATTGGAGTCAAAAAGTGAGGGGGGGTTATTTCTCAAAGTATGTTTTTGCCTCAATACTATACGGAACTACTGACTCCCACTCCACCACTCTCCACTACTCTCTGTTAATTGATCTGCAACCAAACACTCCGTGTATCAGTGTCCGATACAGCCGTGTAGTGCGGTGTCTTTGGTTAGTACTCTGACCGCCACCTACTATGATGTATTACGGTTGGGGAGTGACACACTAGCTTTGAAGGAGGGCCTGAATCACCCACCGAGAAACCAAATTTCACGCATGCTTAGTGCCATCATATGTCCATGAGAACATTAGTATTGTTGGAGACCGTGTGACAGAATCTTAGCAAAATGCACCTGCCGCATTCATTCAGCTGTGAGCAGTATATCCATTGCACTATTGGAGAATGGTTTGAGCAAAGTTCTGCATTACTCTGAATCCCCACACCAGACGTTTATTATAAAAACTACACCACATGAAGCTCCAGTGAGCAACATTTGGTGGACCCATGAAGTAAACTAAGGTTTCAGCCGTGGCCCAAGACTTTTCTGCCTCCCTTGCTATAGCTAGAGCTAGCTAGCAAGCAAATACTGTATATACCTAGTTAGTAATGGAACAAATATCCACAATGAACACAAGACCATCAAAACATAGAGATCGAATTTCCTGGTCTTGACCAGGAGATGTAGGCAATTACTCCACGTATGGGTCTTCCCATGAGCTAGACACACAATCGCCTGGTCTGGCACACTTCCTGCTCATTGTGTGATGATTTCACAACTTCCAGGAATCTGTACCCTGAAACTGGAGTAACCATGGATAGCAGAGGTAAGGCAATATCCAACTCCCTCTCTCCCACATATTTCTGGTATGACTATTACTAGCGCTCTGTAATGTCAATCAACTGTGCTTGGTCGAGTTTGTATATTGCAACTGTAGATGATAGACTTAGGGAAAAGAATGAGTCCCTGCACTTCAAAAGTTCCAATATGTATCTATAGTACTTGGAGCCTAAGAGTAGCTAATAGTATAGGTGTTTAGGTACGGAGAAGTCACCACTTTTTCGGAAGAGACACCCACATCGACAGCTAGCGCGAAGAATTTGTGCGCATGCGCATAAGGGGGCGATTTTTAGCGTGCGTGTGCGCACACGATTACGGAAAGACGTAAAAACTGCAGCAGGCGTAGCTATAAAGCGTAACGAAGAAGAGGATAATGCAACTTAGTTTTCCAAACCAGTACCAGTACTAGAGTCACTAGACAAGCGGTACACGGGTGCCTTGAAAATCTACTAGCTACATCGTCCCATCGGCAATTGGTTGCGGACAGAAACACTATGCTTGCTATGGAAAGATTGCCGCCGATGAGCCAGCCATTCTCCACAGCGCTGCCGCTCCCGTCTCCCACCCTCCAGTCCCCGCGCTCGGCGAGCCTGGCGCAGCCACTCTACATGCACGGTAGCCCGGTAATGCACCCTGCAGCCGCGCTGCACGTCTCCCTGCCCCCGGGACCCTACTCCAGCATGAAGCACCATCAGTCGGCCGCCTCCGGGTGTCTCGTCCACCCTGCGCACCCATCGCAGTCCAGCTCCAACCTCTCCACCGTGCATACGCCTCCCCCCTACGACCACCCGTCTGCGAGCCTCCTCTCGCTGCAGGCCGGAGTCTTCTCCCCCACGGGGCCCAGCGGTGCGCAGCAGACGAGCGGGCTCTCGGTTCTCTCTCCAGAGCACGAGCACCACCACGGACACCCGGCACCGGCTCCCGGGGATTCTCCTCGTCTCTGTCCTCCAACCTCCATCTCCATTCCCCACCTCGGCCCCATGACTGCCAGTAGCTCCGCAAGCTCCAACAGCACCGAGGGCTCGTCGGGATCTCCACCAGGTGCGTTTACGAACTTGCATAATATCAGAGGGGGGGGCTCGTTTGATTAGCTATAGCTAGCTAATAGCTCTAGTGTTGTTTTGTGTTGGCTGACCAATCAGCTGGTTCATGGTCTAATTTACAAACACAAATCCCTTAGTGCAGGGTATCTACATGCAAGCACCAGTTGAAACTGGGCTCAATCCCTGGTGTTGCAGTGACCAAATTGGGAATTTCTATAATTATATATACTCTCCTGTGCATGCTCATAATAGCTGTGGCTAGACCTTGTGGCATTGTTTCTCAGAAATATGGCGGTTTACACAAACTGAGTGACCTGAGCTTTGCTGCACATCCAGCTTTGCCTCCGTTGCATGTCCGCCAGTTCCCTTGAGACCTAATTCAAGAGGAGGAGTACCTCCCTCTCCTCAAAAACTAATTGTATCAAAATGCTCATAAATCTACTGGTGTTACGCGAGAAAGCTCCAGCATTGTAAAAAAGACTTTTAGACATCCAATGGGGTGGGTTTTTTTGGAGAGAATCCCGTACCTCTGTAGTTCAAGTGGTCAATTGAACAGAGGACACTAGTTTCATGGCTTTGAACTAATCCTACAAATTGGCTAATTGCTTGCACCTTCTTAACGCCATAAAACAGTTTTAGCCACAACTGCCACTACCTCGAATCCTTTGCACGACAAATGATAGCTATCAACTGTCGACACAGCGCGCGTGTGTGTACGTTGAACTGGTCATTTGTATATATGTTTGCGTGGATGAAGAGGATCCATCCCAGTAAGGCCACAATAACTTGCACAAGGCCTGTGGTCATATAAGCAGATGGACCCCTAGATGGCACACTGAAGTGCCACACTGTGATACTAACAAAGTGTTGCGTGGATACGTTGAGGGTGTGCTTGCCTTGGTTCAATTTAAATAGGTCACTGAAAGAGACGCTTCCTTTCAAGTTTTGTTTATAACTCAATTTTCCATTTTGGGTGGGGCAAAAATGCGATAGAGGGATTTTTGGCAGCAAGCAAAAGAGTTGTATGCACTGGCACTCATAGCATGTATAACCTGAAATTGAAATTTATACTAGTGTAACTTAACGCCTTGTGTCGCAGTTGGCAACAGACAAGAACCAGCTTCCAGCCGCTAACAGAATAGCGTTGGACCAACTTTCGGGGCGACGATAACATTGGGGGACCGCTTTACTTATAAGTACGCAGCTACGTATACACCCTTGTGGAGTTAACACCATAACCTCGACCTGTGTAATAATATGTGTCAGGAGCCACATGTAACTTATTCCCCCGTGTGCCTGTTGGGGCTGACTTTGAAGTGGTAATCCAGAGCTAGCAGGAAGGCATGCAGGGCGAGTGGGCTGTGCTGTGCGTGTTTGGAATGCATGTGAAGTGTAGCATGTTGGTCAAGAAGAGACGTTGAATGTAGAGCAGGTTCTTGTTTAGAGCAGAGCAAAACAATTGAAGTCTTCCTAAGCTGTTGTTCTTACTAGTAGGCTTTGAATATTGGTTGGCAAAACAGATGCACTTATGCTATATACATCTTGCAAGAAACCCAAAAGTATGAAGCCAAAACTTGTCCGTAATTCTAAAAAATGTGTGCTCGGATCCGTGACTGTCATGTTATGCAACTGGACGTAACGTCGTTTCATTGAGTGCCTATCCTTCATTTACGGGGCCGAATGATGTTTCCATGAAAAGCAACCACAATCGACTGATGAAATCACATATTCCTCGCTATTGGGTGCCTGCAGAGCTAGTTGATGGAAAACAGCATTCAGAGTGTTGAGTGGGACGGACACTGTAAGTCCGACCCCCTCTCTCTTTTGCCTCTTTACACCAACAGTTCATGAGTGTCACCCGATACCTTCTCAGGCTACAGACACCTCTCCGTGAGTCACAATGCCCTTTTGACTGGCTCATACCGCGAGTGGCTTTGACTCAGGCCGAACGGCTCGCACTGTGAAAGTGTTCAAAGCTGGGTCGGGGTGTGTCCTGCGCTGGCACTCAGACGCAGTCTCTCTCTCTGCGTCCCCCAGCACCTCCCTAATTACGGCGTCAACACACCTCCCCCTCACGAATGCGATTAGCATCGAATGGCAGCGCGTGAATAACACTGAATGTCGGGTCCTCAAACTGACGCGAAACGGTGCCAACACCAGCATCCCGACCGCTGCACAAGTGTTGTCCACTTACCATAATGCACTGAACAGTGTACACACACAGTGGTCCATAGAGCCCCCCAGTGTACCCTTTTCATCAGACTAATGGAAGTCCTCATTCTCTCTATCTATCTATTCTGCAGGCTCCAGACAGAGCCGTGAGATGCCAGGTCCCTGCTCAGCGCGGCTCAAGAAACAGAAGAAAGACAGGAAGCCCAGGACTCCCTTCACCAGCACGCAGCTCATAGCCCTCGAGAGGAAGTTCCGCCAGCAGAAGTACCTCTCGGTGGCAGAAAGAGCAGAGTTTGCCGAGTACCTCAAACTAACTGAGACCCAGGTGAAGATCTGGTTCCAGAACCGACGGGCGAAAGAGAAGAGACTGCGTGAGGCGGAAGCTGAGCGAGCAGCGAGGAGTCTCGGTCTCCCACTATCCTATGCCCACGCTTACTCCCACGAGTTCCTACAGAATCCGCTGCTGCAGACTTCTTCCCCGAGCAGCATGGTCCCGCTGCAGCCGTCCAGCAATCTGGGGTTGTTTCATCAAGGGCCCCTCATAGCGTCCCCGCCAGTGCACCACAACCCGCACTACCCCGCGCCAACACCGGTTCTCTTTCACCCCCACCACCAACACCTCATGAGATACGACAGCCCCCTGTCAACACCGTCTACCATGAACCTCGCCAGTCCTCCTCTGCAGCCCCAACCTACACCCTCCCAACAGCAACAGCAACAGACTTCTCAACACAACATCATACCCCACACATCCCACTAGTCTTTAGCACACGACTGCCACTCCAATCACCTCTCATTCATCCCATCATATCGTTATACACATATCATACCGTAGCATAGATTTCAGTCGCCTCTCTGTCGTATCAGAAAGATTCATTCATCTGCTCCCCTCTCACACTTATAGCCAATCCCCCCCTCATCTCTAACTGGTATCATATCGTATAACTCCGTGTCTTCACTGTATCGTATCATTTATTACACTGTCAGTTTGGGAGCACTCCAAGGGTCCCATTAAATCATTCCTCACTATAATATAGATATGAAATGTTCGCGCATTATGTTTTATTTTCTCCTTCAACTGTAAAATTATAATGTTTACAACACCAACAGTATGTCTGCAACACTCGCGGTGCCTGTCTGCGTGTTAATCTCGGATTAGAAACATGTGTACTGTTTTCCTATGGTGTCTTCACCCAAATGACCCCTAATTCCACAAACGCTGGAGCAAATGTGCCGAAACGGAAATCGTCAAAAAGCAATGAAAACATTAGAGAGTTTGCTTCCAAGAAATCAAGGGGTTAGACGTTTACCTGGCCGCGCCGCATGACTGCACGACATTTGGTGTGGTAAAGCATAGCCATTGCTGCCCGCAGGCCACCTGTGTTGGTATACATTAGCTCTGTGAGATGAGGAAGGTAAAACAAAGACTCAGACCATACGGTTCTGGGGATTCTCGCCGAGGATAGTGCATTTGCACGCCGAACACTTCAAGCACAGACGTTTATCCATACGCAGTGTACGCCACAAGTTTGTGCTATAAATAAAATTACTGCATTTTTTCACACACCTCATTCATTGGACCGCTCAATGGTCACCAGAGATTTGTATTAACACCCTCTTGAGAGCGGACCGCCACACAATGATGTGTATGTGAGCAGGTGTGAGCTATATACACCAGTACGCCAACCTATATAGGTCAGCATGCGGAGATAAACCACAGACTCTTTAAAGCATTATGTGGCAGTGGGCAATTTGTAGCAGCAAATTGTGCATGCAGTTGTCCCTTATTTAGAGAAGAAGGGGATGAGTGGAAGAGGCTTTCGGAACCCGACTCCCGTTGTGAGAGTACACGTTTCTACTCTTTTATCATAGCACAGAGTCCTGTGTGCGGGTTTTCAGTGGCGCTATTATAACTGGTTGAAAAGATTTTGAGATGTTTGAGCGTCACACTGCATGGCCTGCGTATGGTGTGATGGTGAGTGGAGGACTAATGGGAGCCGGCATTATACCACTGACTATGACAGGGGCACCTCAATGTAAGCCTCTGTGAACCGTCAATAGCAGCAATTAGCTGTTCATTCTCCCACCGTACTATGGTAATGGAGAAAACTGTCCGTATACACCCTTTGAAAGAAAGGGAAAGAGAGGACCACCATTGGGGGGGAAATAGGTTTTTCCAAATGTTGGACAGGTCTCCTTTAACCAAGTAGGAAACATTAATTACCTATTGGGTGCCCTCTACTTGGACTTCAAAGGACACTGTGTACACTAAACGTGAACACGCAGAGGGTGCATGGGCAGAGTGTTTGTTTAGGCTAATGAGGTGCAGCCACAAGTAGTCCCGCGGTGAGAGCTCCCTGAGAGTGAGGGGACTGGATACTCTCTCTGGTTCTCCGTCAAACAAAGCCTCGAGTGTGGTGGTGACTGCCAGGCTGGCAGCAGCTATCCCACTGAATGGCTGTAGTAAACAAGAGTGGGGTTTCCTGACATAGAATGACCTTAAGAGGCAAAAGGGGGAAGGGCTGCACTAAGGCCTCCTGGTGAGTATGTAGAGGGGGGAGAGGGAGGAAGGTAACACTTCAGGGTGAGAACCGATCATGCGTAGAACCCCTTCAAGAATTCAGTGTGTGCATGTACGTAGTGGTAACAGTGCGTAGCCATATACACACACACACACACTCGGTCCGAGGTGGCCAGAGGGACTGCCAAATGACATGCTATCGACAACAAACAAACAGTGCTAAATGAGATGATGTTCTGAAAGTGTAACGCCACACTCCGCACCGTGTAGCGCACACTGTTTGAGCCTACTAGAGCATTGTACCACACGTGTGTGGCTGCTTGTAGGAAAAATCAACTTGTTAGTCTCCTACTAATGAGGTAAGGGTGCCGGGAGTTGGATCAGCCGTTGTGTACACGGGTGTACAAGTGACGAGGCTATGTGAAAACAGGTTGAATCACCCCCCCCATTCCCAGACATCAGTCCGCTCGCTTACAAAGAGCATTTAGTGCCACGTGTCGGCTCAAAAGGTGTCGCATTGATGGAGATATTGCCACAAGCATCTCCAAGAACAGTAAACAACAAAAGCCGAGTGAGGTAATAAAGTGACTCTAGATGCTTATACCATGAGGTGGGAGACTGTGAACACTAACAGCTACAAATTTTCTCCCTCCCCGCAATGTTGCTTTGAGACGGTTAGAGCATCGCTCTCAACTGTGGCTAAACACATCACTGAATCGGAATTTAATTCAGGTGCTCCTCCCTCTCCTCCCCTCCCCTCCCCCTCTCTCTGTGTCCAACACGTTGTGCCGATAGCGGCAAAGTGAAACGTCTGGGCAACGCAAATGGAAACACAGTTGTTGGGCGGGAGGATGACGACCCCCCACAGAGCAGGCATTCACGAGTGTCCACAACTAACGCTCGATGCCGCGACAGCTGCCAAGGGTTGATTTGGACGCCGGGCCCGTCCAGCACCCACCCATGCGGTGAGTGGCTACAATGGCATGCGATCGAGAGAAACAATCCACTCCTAATCCGATGGGATGCACAAACCGCCAACCACAGGAGAAATCTCACAGCTACAATCGTAGTGAAAGTGATACTCTTGTGAACGTTCCGCCGTATACAAATGAAAAGCTCGGGAAAGCCAGATCTTGCTACGACAGAGGCTTCTGTATCCCTCGTGGAAAATACCTTCTCAAGGCTCGAGAAGCCATTCGATTCCATGCAGATTAAATCACTATGGGCTTAATTGTACCCTCCTTTGAGTCAATTATAGTACCCCTCTCTTGTATGGGCATACCGCGCTGGCGTGTCTAGCTACATCACGTGGAATAATTCGATGCTCTTGAGGGTCCCTCCAACGGAATGCCACGAAACTTTTCAGGCAATAACGAGTCAAGAGTGCTTCAAAATGCAAGCCACTTGAACTTAATCACGAGTCCTTTCGTCGCGTTAGCGTAGAACTGCACGCGCACAACACCACCCCCGCACTGCACGCTCTGTATAGATACACATGGTCGTCAAACGAACAATGATTTATCCCCTCTTTCTCATTCTCTCACAGACTCAATGCCACAAATTTGTGCCGATTGGCAGCAGGTGCAGCCGCGAGGGGAGAGTGGGTGAGCATTCATGGCCACTGTGGCCGGAGCAGGTATCAACAAATTGCATTTGTCGACAGAGGAAACACAATGATAAACGCGTGGAAGGAATAACGCCGACGTATTTGGGGGGATATCTTTGGGGAGTGTTGTGTGTGTTGCATGCCTGTGGCAGCACCGGTCGCGACCGCGTGTGTCGCGAGGTGTACGTTTCCAGGGAATGTGTGTATGCGTGTATCTCGCACGCGGGTCCCTGAATGGAGGCATACGAAAGGGCGAGCGGTGACGTCATCTGTTTTGGGTGGATTTCGGGTCCATTGAGAGTGTGGCACCTCGTCGCATTCTGCGGTGAAATGCCTCTTCCAAGCCTACACAGTGTTTCGAAAACACATTCCGAAAGACGGCAGCCCACACATCGCGCACCTACGTAGAGCCAGCGCGCAATTTACACATAATAATTGCGCTAGCGTAAGGGACAGTAATAATCTGTGTAAAGATTGTAGTACTAGGACAATATATACACTTACATACATACCGGTGGCTTTGGCTGTGGAGACAAAGAACGTAAGTAGAGTTATGGGAAGCTCTCACGTCTCAAAATGCAGGTGGTTGGATTCCGTTTAGATTCTTACACCTGTTTCCTTCGATGTGTGTGTGGGCTGCTGATATGAAAAGTGAGATGGACATTGGTGAGGGGGTTGGGCGAGATTTTTGGTCCAGATTCAGCTGGGGTGCAGTTTTCATACCTCCCCTCCCCACAAATTAGTTCAGGAGCCAACTCAATGTGCCCTGTGAAATCAACACATTGTGTGTGTGTCGGTACCATCTGGTGCACACATACTGGAACAACTGCCACTCGATCTTGGCAAGCAAGCACAAACTGTCAATAGTACACACTACGTCGGTTATTTTCATGCATGCGCAGTGCCCTGTGCGACAGCGTCATGTATGGGCAAATTGTGCAGTTGCTCCACTCGCCGATTTTGAAACTTGTGAAAAAATACACATACAAACACACAAAAATCCATGCATCAACTACACTTTATGGTGTAAAAGCACGATGCAATGGCTCCGACAGATAACTCTAGAACTGACTCGAGTCCCAAACGATCCTTTGCCAGTCGTGCCTTGGCGAGACCGAGGAGCCGCGGTGGGCCGACACTCGGGAGACTGGTACGGAGGTCCGAGACCATCGCCAGGGCAGCGGACCGACAGGAGGGCGGGACGTACCAAGGGAGACACACCACAAAGTCGAGGAGCCCCTCTTGCTGTAGGAGGGAGTGGTACATGGCCATGGAGATCTTGGAGTGGAGGAAGAGGAGTATGACTCTGAGGCAGTCGTCGCGGAGTCTAGTGGGGACGGCCACAGCTCTGCCTCTCCCTCGGTGACTCGGGGTGGCCGGGAAGTAGAATAGCTTCACGTAGGGGAGGAGGGTGGCCCAGATGGTGCCTCTATCTGTCTCGTACTTGTGGATGTCGGTGATGGTGGTCTCTGATAGGAACTGAGCCACGCAGTCGGTGATCTGCGGGAGCTTTCTCTGGGGGAAGGTGAGCGGCGAGTGGAGGAGAATGATCGACATCCACACCAGAGTGAAACACCTGCAGTTGTGTATGAACTTTGCTAAGGCCTCTTGGAGGCTGAATTCTGTTGTACATATATATGAGGAGGATGTAGATATAACACCCAATAAGTTGTTCCCTATCCCTGTGAGGTATATAGGAACCGTTTCATTTTTAAACTACCGTTTGCATTACTATCAGTTGCATTTCAATTGTATAAGAAGTTTGTCCTATGTACATGCACACGTTTTTTCACCAATTGTTGTGTCATTGAGTGAAAACACGTCCATAAGTTTTCAGCTACGATACACACATGGCAGTATCGTATGGGATTATGTAATGCATAACATAGCATAAATTTATGCTTGCCCACAAAATTTTCCAAGAGACCTTTCTCAGATGGCGCCTCCCAAACCACAAAATTTGATGCAAAAAATATTGAAGAAAAAGGGCCATGGCACCCCTCTATACTGCCCCATACACATTGGTGCACTATATTACACCTCTAAACAAGGGACACCTCTGAATAAAGGAAATTGTTCGTTACTCAGAGGTTTTACTGTACTACAAACCTGAGTCCAGTGAGGCTGTTGAGAGTGGTGTCAGGGTTCTTAGCCTCGTCGTCCATTGCCTTCAGCATGCCAGAGATGACTGGCTCAGTGGCGAGATACGGGTGTGTGGAGGAGGTGTGGGCCAGACAGAGGAAGACCTCCGAGGCCAGGGCTTTGGTTGGACACGGGTAGGAGGGGCTGAGAGCCATGGCCATCGTCTGAGAGATGACGTCTGATCGGCTCGCTATGGCCTGTTGACACTCGGGCAGCTCTGCTATGCTGAGATGTCGAGGAGGTGGAAGAGAGAGGGAGGTGGGCCAGTGAGAAGGAGAGAGTAGGCAATGATTAAGTGGGAGAGGGGTAAAGGATAGTGTGAGTGTGAAAATGAGAGTGAGAGGGGAGCAACAGTAGAGCTAGAGTGGTAGAGAAAGACCAAACTATCGACATTGAGGGAGAGATTTTCAGTTACTTTAGAGAGACTAGATTCTCGGCTAAGGATAGGTATACTAACCAACACATGAGATGCAGAGCATTGTCCAGCTCTCCCCTCAACAGAGAGTCGTTAACCTCCTGATCTGCCGGCTTGCTGGACGGATCAGACACCGGCTGGTTGAAGGGGATCGGAACACGCAGCAGGGACCTGCAGCAGAGGTCCAGCAGACCCATCCCCACCAACTTCCTCCGCAGCGAGGCTGTCTCTCCGTAGTTGGCAAACGCCTGCGTGCACACGTTCTCCAGGTACTTCTGGTACACTCGGAGGCTGGACCAGGGGCGCGAGAGGACCCGCTGGTAGAGCTGCAGTAACAAATCGAGGCCACCCACGGCCTCAAAGTAGGCCTTGTTCACCATGGTTCGGGGGATGAGCCACTCAAACAGATCGTAGCCCAGAGTAGAGTCGAGATTGCTCTGGACCCCGTCGTACACCACAACCTCCACCTGGTAGTCCCTCTGGTCCACCGAGAGGGAGTTGTCGTCGAACGTCCGCAGGAGTTTCTTCATCCAGGCTTTGACTTCCTCGACGGAGCGGCAGTCACCCCGGGAGAGAAACGAGATGTCCACGGTGTCCCCGCTCCTGAGACGGCGCGATGCCAGCTCCGCGTCGTCCGTGAGGACCTCCGTCTGGAACGCCACCGTCTGCGCGCAGGCCGGCACCGAGAACTCGTCCTGGGCCAGTTGTTTGAGCTCCAGAACCGTCCCCGGGAGAGAGGCAAGGGAGAGGTACTTGACTTCGGTGCTCCCCTCGCTCCGGGAGTGTAGGTGACACTCAAGCACCACCCCACCCTTTGTGCCGTTGCTGGCCATCCCTGGCTCGCAAGGGAGAGACTTCCAACGGTCTCCTCTCTGCTTTCTGGAGCAAGAGGAAGAAGAGTTTGCTGGAAAGTTGCTGACGTTTGCACTTTTTCAGCCCCTCCCACTGTTTTACGCGCGCGCGCCGCATTACGAGCCGGCCGAACTTTAGACTATTATTATATCCACATGCACTGCAAAGCAGAACAACCAGTGGGTGGTCAGAAAAGCGCCCACGATGACGGCAAAACCAGTGGAGAATCCATTGGTCAAGTACCGTCGCAGGGCGTCGTTCAGTGTCCCTGACCTGAGGAACTACCTCTACGGTGGAGAAGAGCTGGTGAAATTCACATACCAGGTATCAATGATGCTCATGAATCAATCAGCGTGTGATCAAGATCAACTCTCTCTTCCCTCAGATCTGGGACACCTTGGAGAGAGACCCCCTGTTTGCCCACCAGAACGTGGACCTCACTCTGGACCAGAAGAGGGAGCTGGCCTTCAAGAGAGCCAAGCGTATCTTTGAGTACGACTTTCTCCCCCCAACTGAGGCCCTGCAGAATCCCGCCAAAGTGCTGGCCTTCACCTCCGCCGTCCAGATGTACGATATGTCAACTGGTGCTGTCTTTGGCCTCAGTCGATCGGTGAGCCGGGCCTGCAGTGTCCCATTCTTTAGTAAATGTGTGTGTGTGTGTCTATCAGTTGGTGATAGTGGCAATCAGAGCCAGTGGTACTGAGAGACACAGTGGCATAGTAGAGGACCTCCTTACCATGAAGGTCAGACAACGACCGATCACAAAACTGACCCAAGCAATACTGTTTCCGTTGGTTGCAGGCATTTGGTTGTTTTGCTCTCACTGAGATCTCTCACGGTACCAACACCAGAGCTATGAGGACCACTGCCACCTACCAACCCTCCACTCAGGTTAGTAGCTGCATGTCATCTAAACTAAACAGCGTGTTGCACATACAAACTTTATGCAGAAAGTTGAACGGTGTGCATACACATTATGGGGTAGCACGGTGAAGTTTACGTTTCTCCCATCGTCCTTGCACAAAATGAAGCGTTGGAAGTGTATTTGCCACTCTTCTATATACCATCTCTGGCAGGAGTTCATCCTGCACACACCAGACCTGGAGGCCACCAAATGCTGGGTGGGGAACCTGGGGAAGATGGCCACCCACTCTCTGGTGTTTGCCCAGCTGGTCACCCCCGACGGAGTCTGTCACGGACTGCACCAGTTCGTGGTGCCCGTCCGAGACCCTGCGCACCCTCCTCCCCTACCCCGGGGTCTTCGTTGGGGACATGGGGGAAAAGTTGGGGCAGAACGGTCTTGCTAACGGGTCAGTGTAGCAAACAGACCAGTTTGGAGAAGTTTGACAAGTAGGATATATGTACTCTCTCCTCAGGTTCATGAGGTTCTCCCACTATGCCATTCCTCGCGAGAGTCTGCTGAACAAGAGAGCAGACGTCACTCCGGGGGGAGAGTATGTCACTCCCTTCAAGGTTCCCAGACACCGTCCTCTCCCCATCTTCCTTCTCTCATTCTCTCAGGATCCCAGTAAGAGGTTTGGAGCATCGCTCGGCACACTGTCCTCTGGTCGTGTGGGAATTACAGAGTTGTGCGTCACCAACCTTCGACTGGCTGTCTGTATTGCCATCAGGTGTGTTCTTATTTACTCCTCCAGTCTGGATACAATACGGTAGTGTTTCCGCCTCTCCTGGTGTGTGGTATTAGGTACTCTGCTGTCAGGAGGCAGTTTGGACCAACTCCTGACGAAGAGCTGCCTGTCCTGGAGTACCAGACTCAGGTACAGTTATAACACAGGTCGTGATATCAAGTACAAACCCCTTTTCTCTAACCTCTTCACACACTCTTACTTTCCAAATTCTGCCTCCATCCTCCTTTTCTTTCTCCATGATATAGTGACATTGACTCTCTCTCTCTCTCTCTGTGTGTGTGTCTCTGTCCAGCAATGGAGACTGTTGCCCTACGTGGCTGCGGTGTACGTCATCTCCCACTTCAGCAGGAGGCTACACGGAGAGTTTGTCAACTTCATGATAGCCAGCATGATGGGAGACAAGAGTGACAGACAGGTATAATTATACTCACACTTGAATCGCCGTTTCCTCTCTCTGACTCGGAGTGTGAAACAGAGAACTGGCCGTGTTTGTGCAGGCTGAGCTGGGTAGAGAGATTCACGCCATATCTTCCACCAGCAAGCCTCTGTCAGGGTTCACTGCACGGGATGGGATCCAGGAGTGCAGAGAGGCCTGTGGAGGTCACGGCTATCTGGCAGGTGGGTCCTCTCTCTGTCTATCAAGACCTCAACTGCTTACTATTTTTTTAAGTAGAACTTGTCTTGCTGTCTCCATACCTATCTCGCCGTATTTCACTATGCTCCCTCCAGTTTCTTTGGGCTTTGCATAGTGCTTGTAGTGCATAGTGTGTGGTAGGTTCTGTGGGTATATAGGGAGTGTAGGATCCTTGGTGTGTGTGTGTGTGTTGTTTAGTCAATAGATTGGGGGTCTTGAGGGATGACAACGACCCCAATCTGACCTACGAGGGAGACAACCACGTTCTCCTCCAGCAGACATCCAACTACCTCCTCTCTCTCCTCACTGACAAGATGGCCGGTGAGACAGAGAAAAATGAGTCTCTAGCGTCTGTTTCATGTTTCCGCGTGTTGTGCAGGAGGTGTTGTCAGCTCTCCACTCGGGAGCGTGGACATTCTGGACAGCTACCAGACTGTTCTCCGGAGACGGTTCTCTCCTCCCTCCACCACCTCTCATCTCACCCACACTGGTATATACAGCTAGCTTATGCACACCCTGTACAGTTACGGCCCAAGGGCATAATACTCTGGCATGCTTGAATCTGATGAGTGAGAGAAATGGCTTGGTAATGTGTTTTTAACTAGATACAGAGACTATTTGAAGATCCCGAAGCTTTAAAATGATCCCTGCAAAAGAATTTGTGTCTCATCATGCATGAGTGTGACTTGGAATTGCTGCAGATGTGCTGCCAGTGTATGAGTGGCTGGTGTGCCATCTCTGTGTGGAGAGCCACCACAGACTAGAGCAAGAGCTCTCTAGGAAGAAGGTCAGTCAGTGGATCTTCTAGTGTCTTCATTTGTCGACTCTCTCTCTCTCTCTCTCTCTCTCTCTCTGTCCCCCACAGAATGGATTCATTGCGAGGGAGGAGAGCCAGGTGTTCTATTCCCATACTCTGAGTCTGGTGTTCCTGGAGTACTTGGTCGTGAGGTGGTTTGCAGAGTTTGTGGAGGGAGCGAGGCAAGAGGGAGGAGGCCTGTACTCGGTCCTCTGCCGGCTGGGCAATCTCTACAGTGTGTGGTGTCTCCACAAACACTCCGCCGTTCTCTATGAGGGTACGTATATAGGAACAGACGCTCAGTCGCATTGTAACTTATTAATATGCGAACCGTACACGTATTTTGTAGTACAAGTTGATGCAGGTTGTATATATATATTGCACAGGTGGCTATTTCACTAGTCCAGGAGATGCTCAGCTAGTAAAAGATTCAGTACTCCACTTCTGCCGAGAGGGTATATAGCGCTTGCATCTCCAGGTAGTGAATGATGTTCTGCTGCCATTCAGTTGAAAGATGAGGCAGTGTCACTGGTAGATGTGATAGCTCCTCCTGACTTCATCCTCAATTCCCCTATTGGTCACAGCAGTGGACAGGTGCCTTGATACTAACAAAATCCATGTGCTCATTTCCGATTTATTTTCTATACTGCAGGTGTACGAGAGGTTGTTCCAGGCAATGGTGACGAGGCCAGGGAGCCTGGAGAGGCCTTCCTGGTGGAAAGAGATGGCTGGGCAGACTGCTGCAGGCAGCCTTCATAGCCAAATAGCTCCTCCTAGGGCCAAACTGTAGCAAATCATCAGTGATTATTCAATCTCAGTAACATTGTATGTAGCTAACCAGCGCTTTCACCACGTCTGCAAGTAGACTGTAGGTTAAAGCTGAGCCATAATGTGAAACGTTATTCTGCTATCACAGCAACGGCATATGTCCAAATCATGATTCTGAAACATGCTAATTATTTTTGCTGCTGGTGTATTATAGACTATCAGAGCATGATAGTATAGAGCTGAGGCCAGGGAGTCTGGAGAGACCTTCCTCGTGGAAAGAGATCATGGCTGAGCAGACTGCTGCAGGCAGCCTTTACAGCCAATGTTGATCCTGGACAGATGAATTCTCACATGTCAATTATCAAATACCTCTCATGCGCCTTCTTCCTGCCGACACAACCGACGTGTGGAAGCGATGCCTCTCCGCGAGCCGACGAATGGGCTGCGCTCGATTCATGTACTGGGAGTTTCACTACTCTCGTTTCTGGCTGACTTACCGCGACTGGAAGCCGTTCGCTTTCTCCCCGGTGAGTAGCCAAGCAATGTGTACAAATATACAAGGTACGTAGCTAGCTACTTCGGTGCAATACTCTCTGCAGTGGCTACCGAATGAGATCAAGTACCAATGGATCTACCTGGTGTTCCGGTGGGCCATGGCGGCTTACTTCTTTGGCTGGCTGGTACCCAGTGGCCTCCTCGAGACCAATGGTGGAGTCAAGTACTTCATCTTCCTCACTAACTGGTGCTACCTCATGTGGAATGCCTACCTCATCGTCTCAGCAGTTTCAGCTACAGTCAAGGTGGCCCTAGTCTACCTCCACCCAAGCCATGCTGGCAACACAGCCACTAGCACGAGCTTGCTGAAGTCCCCAATACCACACATCGATATTGATGTTCCTGTCGGGTGCTGTGGCCGGGAGGGAGATGCTAGCAGTTGGTACCAAAAGATTCAGTGGGTGCTCTTCTCCATTGGAGTTAACATGGCAATAGCAGTGAGCATTCTCTACTGGGCCCTTCTCTACACGGGGGATTTGTGGACCCAGTTGATATCCATACTCATCTAGTCAATGCTGTCATAGCTCTGATTGATGTGGTCTTCTCTGGAGTTCCAGTGAGGATTCTCCATTTCGTCTACCCCGTCCTGTTTGCCATCACTTACTCCGTGTTCAGCGGGATATACTTTGCTGCTGGTGGGACAAATTCCGGGGTGCGCCCCTATATTTACTCTTCTATTGATTATGGGAACAGACCGGGTTCTGCGGCTGGGTTGGTGCTGGCAGTTGTCCTTGTCGTCATACCGGTCGTCAATCTTCTGCTGTTTGGTCTCTGCTCTGCCAGGTTCTGGCTCACTCACTGCCTCTGGGCCAGGAGAGAGTCTTCCGCCTCAGGGGGTGGCGAAGTCGTTGAGTTAAAGTAAAAAAATCAGAACTTCTATCTGAAACTGTGGTAGAGGTTTTTTAAAGATTTGTCTGCTATTCACCTGTTAACAAATCATGGCTTAGTTGAATGTTTTGTGGCGATCATGTAGCCGTAAGGAACACGTAGGGTTGTTGTAGAAATGGCACTGAAGCCTGTATAATTATATATAGCCCGCTGTGAATACAAGAGTTATTGGGCCTCGTGGTGTGACTCACTCAGACTAATCTGTCCCACCGTCTACGACTCACTCCACCACATTATGTATATAATATACATGCATTCTTTCTTCACTGCTGCACTAACTCAGAAAAATTGAATGTCACTCTAAATGAACTCTCACTTGCCAAACAATTCGTTCTATTATAGTATAGTCTAAGTGGTATCTCTATGTGTGCCTAAGGAGGCCATAGTATGCAGGTGGATGCTTTCTGATGACTGTAACACCGAATGTAGGGCTATGGTTGAATAGGAGGTAATTATTCTCACTCCCAAACATCTAGTTGACAATAATAATTTCTTATTGTGCACACTCTGAAACAGAAAATATTTTTCATCTGGAGAACTGTACTGCAGAAGTATAATATACAAACACTGTATATACAATAATACTCGCTCTGTGTATATAGCTATGTAAGTCAGAGGCTGTTTTATGTGAGTTCACATTTGGTTTTAGTGCATTATCTTTTAGTCCTTGGTGTATGGGGCACCCTGGACAAGGACATCGGTCAAATATTGTGTGAATTTATTGAGACCCGCGGGATTTTCCCACCAATTGAGGGCCACTAGTGCGGCAGCACCCATAGTGTCACTTATTGTGCGGCCGTCTTCAGTTGCGAGCAAGATCATGGTATGCATTTCGACGAGGGAAGGTGCCACCGGGAGAGTTAGGAGGACTGCAACTGTGTCGGGCAGAGCCACAGTGGAAACGTCGAGGTGGCACGGAATCACCCCCGCTGTGCACCAGAAGAGAGTGTGCTCAGTCAGACCGATACTCAGCCCATTTGAGGCAGTCACCAGTTCCTGGATATCTTCTGGAGGCAAGTTCATTACACCCGAAGTGTCCAAAGGAGCGAGCCATACTTTGTGCGCCCAGTTTGCCCGGAGTAGGAGATTGAAGCAGGACGGACACAGTCTGACGTTGTATTCGGCAGTTGGGGTCGTTGAATTGTCATAGCCACGGAAGATTGAGCCAGCCATGGTTCTGACGCGAGCATTGTGCACCACATTGGGCCACTTTTCCAGGAGGTAGGGGAAATTTACAAAGGGAGCGAGACCGATGATTTCGACGACCTGATCAGAACTGTTGATGATGCTGTTCATTCTGTCAAAAGTGTCTTCGTAGTTTTGCAGCACCTCTCCCTTGTAATCCGACAGGTTGAAGTCTTTGGCCCAGCTCCACAGGGTGTGGTTGGTTAGGTTGCTGTTGGGAGCTCCCACTCCTATTGGGATGGCTTCTCGCCCCGCGACCGTCAGAAATTTGGCCGCTATCTTGGCCCGCATCAGTGTGTCGTCCGTGGCCGTCACTATCAGCTGGATGTCCAGCTCGCTCGACTGTAGCGCGAACGCTAATGCATAGCTGTCGTCAATATAGGAGCCGATGTCCGTATCGATGATGACGGGAGTCGGCGACTGTCGCTTCGCCAGAGGGAGCGGAGGCGAGCGGAGGGAACGCGCCTGGGGCGCTAGCAGAAAAGTAGCGGTACAGAGACACTGTAGAATCAGGGAGAAGGCTCTCACAGTCATGTTATGAGACCCCAGAATCTGTCAGGTTGATCCGGGCAAGAGATTTTATACGGATCGGGTTACGGCATACCTGAGAAGCGCTTGGGACTGAGACAACGCAACAGGCTTGCGTCAACGGACAAAATTCACAGGGCCATCCGACCACTCTTTCATCAGCCACGGAAACGCGTGATGAATGCATTTTTGTGGATTCGCAAAATGGGTATACCGCAAAATGTCAATATTCATCACTATGCACTTAGAGCGCTGACCAAAAACATCCTGTACTGGTTTAGGCCAACAAGGTCTTTGTTCCAGTAGAGAGCGACCTGGGTTGGGGTGCCTTCCCTGTCATCTATCACTGTATATCCATCGCTAGTGACTCTGAGATTTAGCATCTTTAAATCGATGAAGTTCCCGGCATTAGGGAGTGTGAGTAGGGTGGCCACAGTATCGTACAGAGGGCTGGTGGCCTCGTTTAGATTGCATTGGAGGACAGTGCAGAAGTAGAGAAGAGATGAGCTCAGGGCAAGGCTCCAGCTATTTGAGGCTGCAATAAAGAGGTCGGAGTACTGTGGAGGTAGTGTGGTGGTGCCACATGTGTCCAGTGGAGTTACGCTCACGTTCCAGCCAGCCTGGAGCAACAGCTCCATACAGTAGGGGCACATCATGACGTTGTACTCTCTTGCCGGTGTTGTAGAGTTGTCATAGCCTCGGTATATGGAGCCGGCCATTGCTCTGATCCGAGCATTCTTCACCACCCCGGGATATTTCTGCAGGAGGAGGGGGAAATTGGTCATTGGCCCAATGGCAATGATATCCACCACTGTCTCTGAAGCCAGAATGATCTTTGCCATCTGGTCGACCCCATCTTCGTACACTCCTCCCTTATACTCGGACAGGTTAAAGTCCTGCGCCCAGCCCCACAGCGTGTGAACAGTTTCGTTGGCGTTGGCCTGTCCGATTCCAATCGGGACGCTGTCCTGTCCGGCAATCGTCAGCAGCTTCGCGGCGATCTTTGCGCGGGCGGTCGTGTCGTCGGTGCACGTAACGATCAGCTGCACGTCCAGGAGCTCTGAGCTCTGGAGAGCGAGCGCAATGGCGAAACTGTCGTCAATGTCAGAGCCGATGTCAGTGTCGATAATTACCGGTTGTAGCGCTGATTTACTTCCGCCCTCGACGATTACCATGCATGCTACAATGATCAAGAGAATCGATAGAAGTTTCATTCCCGCCATGTCGCGTCGACACTCGAGTCTCCCGAGTCCCAGACGCAGCGCGACGATTGACAGAGGAGGTACATACCGGTAGGTGTGGCTCGAATGTGCGCAGGTAGTTTACTGCGCATGCGCCATGCATGCGCATGGGGGGCCGGGCAAAGCTCAGTCAGGGGGGCCCCCTATTATGCGCGGATTTGCTTAGCGCGCGCAAGCGTGGAATCACATGGCTTGGAGAGCTGACAGGAGACGTGTCTACGTACAAGTGGCGAGCGCCAGTTTTAACGCTTTTTGTATGAAAACTAGTAGAAATGACTGCCTATAGCTAATGCACCAGATACGTTCCCAGAAAGCCAAATTTTTTCTGGGGGCGCGCTGGTAACAATTCTACATAATGCCCCATATAGCTACCAGTAACCCGACTTCCTGTCTACGCCACTCAGTGCATGCCCAGTTTTTCAATGCCGCGGGAGATTTGCCCAACTAGCTCATTGCTTCGCATCACCTCCTCCACACAGCAGTAAAATGGCAATAGAGGTGTTTCCAGGTCTCGCGCAGAGGGTGAGTTGCTCGGCAATGGCTTACGTAGAGGCATTGTTGCAGACAATTCTCTTCAGATTGCGCTTGTCTTCATCATCTTGACGGCCATCGCTTGGTTCCTGATCGTGATTGGCTTCGGAATCGGCAGCGAAGAGTTGGAGAATGTCGAGGTCGGGTAAGAAAAAGACCCTCTGCCATCTAGGTTTGCATTTTGCATCGAAAAATTGCAGATATGGGGCTGGCATTTTCGCTTTCCCGATGGACGCAAACGACCGCGCTGAGCCGCCCTCCTACATGTATCGGATGACCATCTTCAGCGGAGTCGGTGCGGTGGTCGTGGGGCTGTTGCATGCTGCATTCTGGAAACCCTTCAGCATGATCTTTGGAGCTATCGTATCCGATCCCTATACAGAACAACTAGCGTAGCTACTACTATAGCATAGCTACACCTGTTATTTTATTGTTAACTAGCTGATTCATATCCAGACAGCGTTCTTCAGTGTACTGTTCCTCAGCTCCCTGGGAATGATCCTCTACTACAATGGAAACATCATCAGAGTCATAAACAGCAATTATAATAATGTTGAAATCTCTGCCTGGTTTGCTCTCGAGTTTGTTGGAGCCTTTCTGGCCATCCTCTTCTGGGTAGGCATATCCATTATAGTGCACATGGAAGCTTGTGTTTCTGTATCAATATAGCTACATACAATCATACGTCATGTGGTGTTGGCTTGCCCAGCATGTACCTATAGAATAGAACCTACCATTCCACTACGTAATTATTATTATAGCTTCATACACTGCAGGCGGTGCCAGCATATACCTAATAGAACCTACCATTCCACTACGTAATTATTATTATAGCTTCATACACTGCAGGCGGTGCCAGCATATACCTAATAGAACCTACCATTCCACTACGTAATTATTATTATAGCTTCATACACTGCAGGCGGTGCCAGCATATACCTAATACAACCTACCATTCCACTACGTAATTATTATTATAGCTTCATACACTGCAGGCGGTGCCAGCATATACCTAATACGAACCTACCGTTTCACAGTCGCACACATAATGCATTATATTCATGCAGACTCCGGTCATGATGCTGTGGTTCTTCTATGATGCGGAGGTGACATTTGACTGCAAACTCAAAGCAAGCAACAGAATTTGAACTCCCATATACCTAACTTTCTGTCATAGTCTTATATATACCACCAGTGTCACTTAGTATATCTCTTTTAGTCACGAATTTGGCTTTACGTCCGATAGGCGCGTTTTTTTTAGCACTCCTGCACGCAACCTCCATGCCTGCCTTTCAGTCTGCTGAGACATGTCTCACTCAATCCGGACATTTTGCTTTTTTTTACTGAAAGGGTATATAGATGAAAGCAACATCAAAGCTCACTAGTATACTGTTCGTCTTGGCAGTGGGCACAAGAAAATTTGGCACACGTAAAAAACACTAAATATCTGTTAATGCATTGCATGTTGTATTACTCATGTTTGTGTCCCTGCTTCTCGAACAATTTGGCTCGGTCTGATGGTGAGTCAATATCTATAGCTACTGAAACTTCTACACACAGTTGGAGCATTGCGGCTGACATGCTCTGCGAAAAGGGCCCTTAACTCCGCACTTAACTCAATGGACATTTGTGCCCTTGGCTTGCCATACCATTTCTCTATCTCCATACAGAGTTTCACTCTTATACATCTTTCAGTTCTGAAGTTACAGGGCAGTGTATGCTGTAATTCACATTGCTCACATACGTGTTGGGATATTTTGATAGCCTGTTTCTCACATTTATTAATTTCGTATGGGCTGTGTTCAAACAAGCCCATCAGATAAAGCCATCACTCTCATTCATGTTCTGCAGTGAGAAAAAAGGTAGATGTATATGCATAACAGCTAACTATTTGTCAAAAGAACTACATTCCACAGGCAGAAAAAACACGGCTACATATGTCAAGGGGCAAGATGACAAACATTGGGTAGTCTTTGAAGCTTCTAGATGAGCCACATTATACACTGTCCTTGAAACCTCTGTAAACCATATTCAAGGGGCAGAAAGGACATGAAACGTATCTACATGGCAAGCCAGTGGAGCACACCCAGCTCAACATTCGACTCAACCTATTCTGCTCAAAACTATTCGGCTCATCTGCTCAGTGTTTCTGTTCTGCGCCTGAATGGTTGAGCTGGGTGTGCTCCACTGGCTTGCCATGTAGATACGTTTCATGTCCTTTCTAAGTTTGATTTACAGTGCTTGGCTTCTGCAATTGTCACCGCGTACAGTGCTTCCGTTGAGAGACTCTGTTGAATATGGTTTACAGAGGTTTCAAGGACAGTGTATAATGTGGCTCATCTAGAAGCTTCAAAGACTCCCAGAGTGTTGCATCTTGCCCTTGAATATGTAGCGGTGTTTCTGTCAGGCGGTGTTTGCTAAGAGTTTATGCTAAAAAGTGATGCGGTGTTTGCCTAAAGTCGTGCGTCGAATGCTATAATCACACGAGGTTTAGCTAATTAACCCTCGCGATATTTACACGCGACGTTTAGGCTTGATCCAAAAAAGTACAAACGGCACTTCATGCATACTCGAGGTCGTCGTCGTATAGAGATACCCGACCCACTCGCGCAGACCACGTGCGTGCAACAGCTGGCCGCGTTGATTGATAATAATTATGAGCAGGCAAACTAAGTTGTCAACGTTCTGTCAACCTACCGCGGCGAAACGGCAGCGTATCAACACCGACAGCGAACCTAGCTACGACGAACGTCAGTGTCTCTGAGCAGTCGCCTCATCCCGAAGCTCTTCCATCGGATCTTTTGCCCGTCAGTGTCCACGCGCATGCGCATCAGTGTCTTAGGAACCCCCTTAGCTTGTAGAAGCCACTGTGACAACAACTGACTAGCGAGCGCAATGGCGAAACTGTGAATTGTTAATTCCCGTCATCTCGCGTCGTGTACATACTGTCGCGTCGACACTGGCGTCTCAGGGTAGGAGTAGGTGTGGCTCAAATGCGCGGTAAGATTACTGCGCATGCGCCCCGCACTCTCGTTCTAGTACGCATGCTCAGTTTCAATGCAGCGGGATATTTATAGCTGGGGCACAACAACGGCCCATCGTTTCGCATCACCTCTTCTACACAGCAGTAAAATGGCAATAAAAGTGTTTCCAGGTCTCGCGCAGAGGGTGAGTTGCTCGGCAATAGCTTACGTTGAGGCAATGTTGCAGACAATTCTCTTCAGATTGCTTTCGCGAACCAATCTTCATCATCTGGACGGCATCGCGCTAATGGTTCCTGATTGTGATTGGCTCGCAATCGGCATGCGAAACGCAAAGGTCACCAGGACGGGTAAGCACAAAAAAGACCCCCTGGTGCCCTCAAGGTTTGCATTTTTGCACGAAAATTTGCAGAGATGAGGCCGGAGACATTTTCACTTTTCCCAAGACCCCAAACGACCGTGCTGAACCGCCCTCCTACATATACTGGATGACCGTCTTCAGCGGAGTCGGTGCGAGTTGATGGTTCGCGGGCTGCTGCATGCTGCTGCTGGAAATTCCTGACACCCTTCAGCCTATCTTTGGATGCTATCCGTAGCCCTATCAGTACAGAGTGATCGATCATACTACAAAGAATACCTAAACTAGCTCCTCCCAGTGCCCCTGTTATTTTTGTGTAACACTAGCTAAATCGTATCCAGACGGCATTCTTCAGTGTGCTGTTCATCAGCTCCCTGGGAATGATCCTCTTCTATAATGGAGACCTTATCAGAGTCATAAACAGCAATGATAATCTGGATGTCGATATCCCTGCCTGGTTTGCTCTCGAGTTTGCTGGAGCCTTTCTGGCCATCCTCTTCTGGGTATATCCATTATTGTGCACATGTATCAATATAGCTACATACATGCATGTGGTGTTGGTTTGTCCAGCATGTACCTAATAGAACCTACCATTCCACTAGTAACATTATTCGTATTGTATCATGCAGACTCCAGTCATGATGCTGTGGTTCTTCTACGATGTGGACGTGACGTTTAGGAAGGCCTAGAGTGCAGTATCAAAGCAACCAGATGAACACCCTAGGATTTCAACTCCCATATATATACCATAGCTACATAACTTTCTATCATGAACTATTAGTCTTTCCACCTGTAAAGTTATTGAAAACTTAGTAGATGTGATTATGGATGGAGAATAAAAATCACAGGAAATTTACGTGGCAAGAGTGTCAATACTAGCACCGTTCGTTTTGCAGGTAGCACGATACACTACAGCACCACGTAAGAACATGAAATGTCTGTCGAATTTATTATGCATCATTGCACGTTGTATTCCTCATGTTTGCGTCTCTGCTTCTTGAATAATCTGGACCTCAATCTGATGATGAGTCAAGGTATATATACCTTACAGAAACAGCTATATAGCTAGTATAATTATAGCTATTATGCAATATGACTGAGGGAGCTGGAGCTTAGCTATTGGCCATACTGAACCAACACATAAAAACTCAACAGAGCTATACATAGTACGGGGTGGCACTAAAGTTTGTGGCAAAACCGAGTACAGGTTGGTACATATCTACACGGAGTTTAGTGAGAGTAAAGAGTGGATACACATCTGAGGCCCCTGTCCATTGGGTCCCCCAGGATTATCCCCCTCTGCTCGTACACTTCCCTGTTCTGTTGCTGTATGTACTTGGCAGCATCCTGCACGCACTGAGTGGGAAAGACACACTAACTAGCGTTACTTGGCGCTGTGCAGGCAGTAAGAACGATAACTCTACTTGGACCATCGTATGCGCATGTACTTTTGTAGAGTCAAATAACACAAAGGGTTCTGTGACAAAGGGAAATCAAATTATGTGTGCTACATCAATCTTGAAGTCGAGGAGCAATACATTTGCACAGGTGAACGACTGGCGCTTTATCAAACCACTTAGCCAAGCCGCCACTGTTCAATCGACACTGAGTGTTCTCAACTCCTTCTCTTGCAGGCCCTGAGTCGTACTCAGGTGTGCCAAATTAACTAGCTGCGTCCCAGGGCGTGTGACAAGGAAAAAAACAGAGTGTATACAACAAAGAGGTGGAGCGAAACAGGCCACAATTGTTCGATGTTACTTCATGCATGTCACAGGAAGGCAAGCGTGGGCAAATGACGGCAGAAAACCAGTTAGCTCTAAGTACACACTCTCTCAAACCACACACACAGCATAAAGGCGGCAAAACATACTCAGTCAAGGCCGTTCTTAGTTACTTTAGACACAAGTTTTGGGCTACGACCACTGGCTAACAAAGTTAACTACCTCTATAGCTTTACCGGGTTTTCACTTAAATATTAATAGCCGGCTGCATTAAAGGAAACAATACATACAGTGTGTGATCTGGTTTACCTCATCTAAGTCTCACTCAACAGTTCTCTCTCAATAGCTTAATCTCTACGTTAGTTTAGTTTCTTTTTATGAAGCTAGAGTGGTAGGCAAAGTGCCAGTCATGCTATGGCTCAGACGCCTCTTACAGGACATTGCTTATGATTACTAATAAATACCCCGCTTTTCAGCTTACTCTGGACCCTGGTCATATATTTAAGCACTTAGTTTGAACATTCTTCGTAAATGGTTGTTGTTCATGTACTTAGTTTATATAATTTAAAGGTTATTCTATTATCATAACCTTGATAGTCATATGAGAAGGAACAGACTTAACACATTTTTGACAGCTAATTTATTTTTATTTTAGATTAAATTATATATTTATAGTTATAGGGTATTACGCGACGTGTTTAAATGATCATATCATCACAGTGATTTATATATGGTATTTAAACTATAGAGATTAAAGCCTGAGGCTTAAATTGTATAAAAAACATTTGATGCTGAGCGGAGAATTTCAGTACATTCCAATGGGCGGGTGCAGACAGAAGAAGAAGGAAACATGGCTACATGTGGTTCAGGGAAGGCAAGTGTGATGGACAAACGGCTGGTGTGGCTTGTAGTAGTCGCTCTAGTGTGGACTCCATATATTAAACCACTATCTTGTTGTGAAACCTTTGTGAACCACATTCAACAGAGAGTCTCTCAAGGCGAGTGGGCACTTGTTACATTGGGTAACAACGCAGAGAAGCCAGACTGTTGTACATGTAAAGACTTAGGCAAGGACTGAAACTTAATCTACGTGGGCATGTTGTGAGTAACTGGAGCCACACCCCAGGCCTCAACTATGCTTTACCTTCAAAGAGAGGGGTGAAGCGGGTGCCGTGTTGTGCCGGGTTGGTGATGGTGAGGTTCAAGGCAAACTGTGTTATAAGATGGCAGGGCAACAACACTACGACAATACTCTTTCTTCATAAAGTTTTTTCTCTTGACAACTACTCTAAATGTTGGAGACATAGACGAGTGCAAGAGGACTCATCCCAATAAAGCAACGAATGCTGTGGCCGGTGGTGGTGTTGGGTGTCTGGTTATGACCATAAAAAGGGAGGCTGGCGTGGAGGCGGCAGAGGCATCCGCTTATACACAGCTTGTTAACTCACTCCAATTGCCTAAGATATAAGATGTTGGCTTGGCCTAAAATAAAACCTTTTTTTTAATATATAAGGAGTGGCTTTAGCTACGGTATAGTTGTAGTTGTGTCACTTGATTATAATGTTGTTGGCATGTTTGTGGATTCATACGTGATTATTATATGAATCACCATACACAAAGTGAAGTTCAATATCATATATTCGTTACTTTCTTCACTGTAGTTCTTGTTATAGGGATAGTTATGTGTACTGATAACCTTCAACGTGCCAGTTATCATGTTTTTCCACTGTTACGAATAAGTAGTTACCCTTTTATGTACAAATATTCTTCTGATACGTAATTATATATTAATTTTATAATTTAATTATATTATTTTATTATATTATTATTTTTTCATTATTATATTTATAAATTATATTTAATTTTAATATTAATATATAATATATTTATTAATTTTTAATATTTAATTTTATTTTATAATTTATATATTATATATATAATAATTTATTATATATTACTTTATTTTTTTTTTGTTTATTCTTTTTTATCTTTAGCTCTCATTTTATCCCTTTATTACAGCCAACCTAAAAACACTACAATCTCTCAGACATTATTTTTATTAAGTAGAGATTTTAAGCTGTCATTCTTAACGGTAGGATCTTAGGAGATGATCGTATTATAGATGCAATTCCATAACACCCCATGAACCTACATTCATTATTTTTTTTACCAAATAATGATCTTGTCTGGGAGTTCTGATAAATATTATTTTATTTATTTAAAGGTAAGCACCATATTATTTAACTCCTCTTATAAATTTCTTATCTACTAACTATTTAATATTGTTATATGGTTCCGCATGATAGGCCGATAATTAAGCCCGCAGTGCGTGTTTAGCGTATCGCTCAATAGTCTGTGTTTAGGTTGTGTCGACGCGTCTATTAGTCTGGCGAGCTGGTTAATTCGTGAGTCCTCTGTCTGTGTATCGGAAAGTGGAGAAGACCGCTTATCTCGAAGTGTTTCTTTAGAGGTACAGTTGGGCAGGACCAGTGTTACTATGGAGGCGCTGGCAGTGCGACATCCACATGACGGGCGATGCATCGTCATCATTGAGCAGGGGCGCTGGCATCTCTTAGGTAGATAAATTATTATATTTGTTTACTACGTTTTGGTCTTAAGTCGCTTTGTATTAACTAGAGAGAACGGCATTTAGCCTCTCTGAAAGCCTCGGAAAAAGCCAGTACTAATTAACCG